TCAGTTGCTATTGTTGTTTGCGTTTGCGTCCGAGTCCCTTTGTTGTGCATGCGTTGAATGTCTTTCTTGACTTGTTGTCTTGCGTTCCAGCTCTTGGCAGGTCTGGAACATCTACCATCCGTGCTGTCTTATTTTCTTTTTCTGGTGCGACATTTTATGTCAGCAAAACGTCCCAACTGTCCTTCCTGGAACGTCGGGAAAAGAACTCAACGTGACAGGATATGGCCCTATCCGAAACACTTGTTCTATGATGAACAGATGCTCGTCCCTGGGTCACGCTTTTCATTGCTCCGTATAAAGTTGCAGATGAAACACTCGAGTAAAGTCAGAGCTACGATGTTATTATTAACTCCCCCATAAAATGCATTGTCAGGAAACAAAAGGCCCCATTTCCACTGGAGCGTTGGATTATTTACCTAATGGGGGAGTCACCGAAAGGCCTCAGCGGACGAGTTAAAGTTCGGAATAAGCTTGTAGCTTGTAGGTATTAGTAGGCATTAAGCTATTGCCTTGCTAAGCTTGATGAAAGCTTTTATTTGACGCCTGTTGATTAATATTAGGTATGCCACTTTCCCAGCATGACCTTTGACCAGTGAATCGCTGTCTCAAGAACCAAGAGGCTGAAAAGTATGCCACACTAGACTAAATTATTACTTGCTTTTGCGTCTTCCAATGACACGGTCACAACAAGAAATATGTTTTGTGTAGCCGCTGCAATTCTCGTAGGGCTGCTTACTTTCATTTGACATGGGCAAATCGAATCGAATAGGCGAGTTCGGCGCACAACGGTTTTCCTATTCAGAGAATACAACGTTGTACGTATGGGCCGCAACGACGATCACTTGTGATGGTAAAGGAAAGGAAATTGAGGATTCGAAGCGATCACGGGGTACTATGGCACCATCTATCCGATCCGCTAGCATCGAGCCTTGGGTGAGACATGGAAAATGTAATTCAAGATGAATGACTGACAATCTGCATTTGCATAATAACTAGAATGGTATAGTTGAGTTTGTATGCGGTAGCAGGCATGGTCCAACTAACCCCTATGGTAAAAGTCAGGATGACTACTAGTATAGTATTGTCTCGTCTATAGAGTATATGAAATTGTTCTAACAATTGCAGTCAACAGTTCGCATCCCACTTAAACGGCCGCACCTCATATGTCATTCATTATCGAATACGTACGATCCGGCCTTCTTGTACGGGATCAATAATCCCCTCATGGCCAATGCAATGCTGGCTCGACAAGGGCCCTCGCCAGCTCCGCTTCCGCCTCTCATAATGTGCCGATTTTCTTTTCACTATGCCTTCAGAGCATCCTTCGCTATACTGCATTCTACCCAGGGGATTGCTCACTTCATCCACCAATGGCATCAGCCACTAAAATCTCATTTCATCTTGGCCTCAAATTTCAATTGAGTCTATTCAGAGCACGACATGTGAGTTGATCAATGACCTATCACATATCGGGAAAGGGAGTGATGGTTAATTCAAGATAGCATTAACCAATTAAATCTAAACGCCATAACCGTCGTCGTTCAAACGCTTTAGAAGGGTCCAGTCGATCTCCAGCTGAACCGTAGCGTTGAAGACCAGTTACACTAGCCAACTGCCAATCTGGGTTTATAGGGGTTGCAAGATTATCCTCAGCTAATTATTCTACGCCACATGAAGCTATTCTCGTCGGATTGAACCAGCCGCTTGGGAGCATTTCACTGGCACGTTTTTAATGACCATGCAGACAGACCTGGCATCGCGATGCCGAGACACCCCTCCTCCCTTTGGCCGATCGCCGTTTTCGAAATTACTTCGATTTTTGTAGGCGCTTTGACAATTACTCGGCCGCTAATTCCTGTCAAAAGAGAAGAAACTTGGAACAGATGGAATGACCTTGCAGCTGGTCAACATTGAATGACGGGGATCTTGATGAGACAATTGTCTTAGATATCATGTCGGTCGCGGAATGTCTTGATTCCTCTGGCATGGATTAACAAAGAGGTTACGAAACTGACACACAAGGGAGAAGACAGGCCTGGGATTAAACAACCAGTCCCGAACTATTAGTCTCTCGGCTGCGACAGTTAATTCTTGTCTCCAAATGATGAAGCCAGAATAGCCCACTACTGCAAGACCAACTGCAACTCCCTACATCACTCGGATTAATGATTTGGAAAGGAGAAATTACAGCGCCATCGTCGATTCTTTCGGTAGGCGGTGCGGCACGCGATCAATAGCCTGAACGGAGCTGAAATTACCTTTTATCATCCGAAAGGTTTTGAAACCCTTGACCGCCATTGTTGATAACCTGTTGGTTCCATTTGCACCAACTCAGCTGCCTATACAGTCACTAGTAGCTGCAGGTAAACTGCACTCTTTGACCTATGTCAGGTAGTCAAAGGGGTTCGGCCGTTGATTCAGCGTGGCTAGAAAAAACACAATACACCGGTATGTCGCAGAGTGAACGCCGTGGCTGGACTACCGGACGCCTCGGGTCCGCGTCTCAGAATTTATTGTAGCGAAAGCTTGTCTCTTTGATGCTTTCAAATTCAATCACCCTGTAGAACTCAAAAAGGGGGTGTTTTATTCTGTAGCGCTTCAATTGTTCACACCCCCTCCAAAGTTCATTCATCTCGTCCATCAATCATGAAGCATTCTGCGCATGAATGCTTCAATGACATCAACTGCCGAAATGGCGACAATTGTGTGATTAGATTTCCCCGGAGATGAGGGCACTGAATTGGGATACTCTGCCCAATAAAGTTCTTCCCCCATTTCCCCAAACTATGGTAGTTTCCGGATCTTCAGGAGTGGCTTTTTGGGCCCTGACCAATAACGACGTGTCACTGTCACAAATCAATTAATGGATGGTAGGATTCAATTGAAGTCGTTGGCTTATTATGAAGGGGACAATTTTGGCAATCTTAATTTTATATGCAATGCTACTGTGCTGTGCCTGGCTTAGCACCTGTAGTTTTATGCGCCCGTCTGTTTTGCAATAAGATCCACTATTTTTAGGATCCCCTGCCTTTGTGATTCATTACTCTCATTGGATAGCGTCCTTCAGCCTCGTACCCCACCTTCGCGCTTTCACTCTCCCCCAGCGCGCGAAACTCTCAGCCTCGTCCAGACTACCTCCCACCCTTGGTTTAGCATTATCAAAGGAACCCGCAGTATTCCCTTACTACGATGGCCTCTGATGACGAGCGGCCTGGTGACTCACCTCGGGTTAAGCGCCACAAATCAAGCAGCGACTCTCCCCCCCAACGCGACGGCGAGAATGGAGACGTAGATCTGTCTGCGACAAGGAAGCTATCGATACGAGAGAACCGCAGAAACAGCAGGACTGTTAGTCCAAGTCCTGGTCAAGATGGCGCTGAAGAAAGTCGTTACGAAAGCCGACGTACATCGCGTTCAAGATCACGGTTGAGGTCGCAGTCTATATCTAGCAAACGGTCCGACTCCCGAATGCGCTCGCGATCACAATCTCGAATAACATCACGAACAAGATCACCCCGCTCCTCACGATCACGCTCTCGCTCACAATCATCTTTTCGCCGCGCTCCAATAGACTCGCTCTCACCACCAGAAGCCGAATCTACTCCCTCTCAAGAACCCTTCAAACCCAACTACAAAGCCCGTCTTGTTCTTCGGGGCCATTCTAAACCCATCTCACAAGTTCGGATATCACCAAATGGGCGCTTTATCGCATCTGCGTCAGCGGACGCTACTGTGAAGATCTGGCATGCCACGACAGGCGAGCACATGAACACACTCGTCGGACATATGGCTGGAGTAAGCTGTCTTGCTTGGACACCTGATAGTAACACCATTGCAAGCGGCTCAGACGACAAAGCTATTCGACTGTGGGATCGAGTTACAGGCCGGCCAAAAACTACGACACGAAAGAGCGTAGCTGGTCAGGAAATGGCACCTTTGAAGGGTCACCACAACTATATCCATTGCTTGGCGTTCTCACCAAAGGGCAATATTCTTGCCAGTGGTTCCTACGATGAAGCTGTCTTCTTGTGGGATGTGCGTGCTGGTAGGCTGATGCGCAGCTTACCTGCACACAGCGATCCCGTCAGTGGGATCGATTTTAGTCGAGACGGAACGCTGGTCGTGAGTTGCTCGACAGACGGCTTGATGTATGGACCCCTTTACTTCATCTCCTGATGCATCTACTGACACAATATCTAGTCGTATATGGGACACATCAACCGGCCAATGTCTACGGACTCTCGTTCACGAAGACAATCCAGCCGTCGCCAACGTTTGTTTCGCTCCCAACGGCCGCTTTGTTTTAGCGTTTAATTTAGATAATTGCATTCGCTTATGGGATTATGTTTCTGGTACTGTTAAGAAAACATATCAAGGTCATATCAACGACAAGTTTGCCGTAGGAGGCTGCTTTGGAGTCCTGGATGGAGCTCCCTTTATTGTTTCTGCTAGTGAGGATGGCAGTATTGTCATGTGGGACGTTGTATCAAAGATGGTGCTGCAACGGGTCGAAGGCCACAAGGGTGTATGCTTCTGGGTGGACGTCCACGGTGAGACAATGGTGACCGCAGGACAGGATTGCACGGTAAAAGTGTATCGACACATCAGAGATGCTCCCAAGGTTAATGGCGAAGCAAGTAAGGTGAAGAAGGAACTACAGTCTGTAGCAACTGAAGCACAGGAGGATGTGGTAATGGAAGATGCATAGATCGGTACCATATTTAGTATGTTCTATATTCCAACGAAGCCTAAGATTCATGGCAAGGTTGACGCCCAAGTCAATAACTGTGAACATAAACGTTGTCTTTGAATTGATCAATTTTTTTTAGATGTTCAAATCCGATCTATGAAATCATCCGTCTATTCCCCCTAAACATGTAGCTAGAACAAAAACGTGCCAGATTAGCTTATTATCTACATCGCTCCATGAGAACAATCTCAAGTGTTTCCGTGTGTTCCCTTCCCTGCCTCTTAATTCCCAGTACTATCTGTGCCAACTTCTAATGAAACTGGACATCAACGTTATGGGCACCAACGCGTTTGCCCTCAAAATAAACCGTGAATTCCACGGTTCCGTCTTCACAAGTCATTTCGATTTCGTAATTAAGCTTGTGAAAGACTTTCCCAAGAGAGTTGGCGTATGTTGGAAGCGAGTCGATGTTGATGTCGCGCGTCCATTGAATCACACACAGCTGTTGTACAGTTGGTTTCCATATGTTGGGCGGAGGGAACTCAGAGCAAGCAAAAATGGCCTGCTGGACACAATCAATATGTCCAGAGCACAGTCGCATAAATTTGTGTCGAACCGGATCCTTGGTGAGCATATTGTCTCCTTACAAAAGTCAGCGTCACAAATCATGGAGTTAGTATAGTTACTGTGAACCTGTTACAAGAACCATTTCATCCGACCGGCAACCTGCCACATCTGTTTGTCCTCTGCCCAGAACTTCTCGGATTCAAGATGTTCGTCTGACCGAAATGGAACGTTCGCTAATATTCCGTAGCTTCTTCGAGCAATTCGGGCGTTAATCTCTACTCCAAGACTCGCTGAAAAGCTGTGGCTAGTGATGCCGCGAACGACGGCACCGCGGCAAACTGCGGTCCAGCTATGACGCAATCAGTCACACGCTCACTCGTGTAATATGAGTACAGGTAACTTACGGTTTATTTCCTACGGATTGTAGGACTGTCATGTTGAAATTGGTGTTCAGTCTGTTGAAAAGGAAGGAATTACGACCGAGTCTACCAACAAGAATGATGTACTATGCATGTTAACAAAAGAACTCTCATATACCCAATTATATGAGAGCACTTACATTGGCTGGTTCACCGTATTTCATGTGAACAGCATCGATCTGACGACGGACAAGTGTCTCGACCCTGCTGAAGATGGGATCGTAAATAGAAAGGATGTCATTCCTAAGAAATCAGGTCATCATCCAGCCAACAAACTAGCGTTGAACATGACTCACGAACTAAGCTCAAGTAACATTCGTCGGTTTTGGTTGAAAGTTGAACCGCTGAAACTTCCAGGTAATTCAACTGGCCAAGTCCTGTTCTGGTTCAAGAACTGTCTCTTGATATCATACTCCCAACTGTCGTTGAGAAGCTTCTTTTGGTCTGCAATGCTTACGCCCGCCCATGAGCCTGGGGTGACTTTCTTTTTGATGAGGTTCAGGAACATTTCATCAAGAAAAACACCTCCACATAGGTTACCTAAGACTCTTAGTTGCTGCAGTATCATACATAAATCAGAAACTCACCACCGCCTCCAACGCATTCTTCGACCACAAATGGATCGATAGATTTAATCACGTAGCTGATGAGATCCTGATACTGCATTAGGAATTTGCGAACAGACGAACAGAAACTCGGCCATAACTTACTACTGTGCCACCTCCAGCATCACAGATGACCATAGTGTCTCCCTCCTGCAGCATTATAAGTGAATGTTTCCCAATGTTCCAGTTTTTAAACCATACCTTCAAAGTTGATCTCTTCGAAAGATCCTTCATGGTAGCCAGCGCCGCCGCTTCCGGCTCGGAGATAAAGTGAAGTGTAGTGTCGCCACAGGGTCTAGGATCGAGAATGCCGGAGGCTCTGGTAACCTGCTTCATACGCTGCTGTGCGTAGGGAGGCCAGATGGCGGGGAGTGCAATCACTACGTGGAATCTCGACTTCTGCAGAAGTTCAAGCCCAGCGCTGCGATGAATGGAATCAATTGCGTGGTTCCAGATCCTGCGCAGGAAGCACCCAACAACTTCGACGGTGTCCTTTTTCATAGTCTCCAAGAGCTTTCTGGCGTGTCGAAGTTGAGAGGAATCTTCCACATAAGTAGAGATATCCTCTTCATCAAGAATCAGAAGCTTAAACCACTTGAGAGCATCCCTCTCGGCAGGTATAGAATAACCCCAAGAAGTGTCTCCGTCGCTGCTGTAAAGCAACTGGGTCGGTACCTTTCCACTGTCTGAGCGATGGTTGAGCTCTGCATCCCAGCTTGTGACAATTTCAATGTCTTCGGGCGCTCTCGAATAAGTCCAAGCTATTCCCGAATATCTAGCAGATTTGCCTAGTGAGTAAGAGTGTTACTCGGACCATTTATAATTGGCAGTCCCCCACCATGGAGTAAAAAACTTACGTGGTCCCGAAGTCGAGACCGATGATGATAAAATCACCGTTGGATCCGTTAGTCTCTGTTTTTGCTGTTTCGTTGTTTTGCTGTTCTATAAACTCAGAAAAACGTCTCGAGGGAGTGGCAGAACAGAAAGGGGGCTATTTTGCTGTGTGGCCAGTAGGTGTATCATGTGATGTTGGCTGTTTAGTATTGATAGAAAGAAGAGAAATCGGAGAAGGGGTTAAAAGAAGGAACGTTTTAAGGAGGAATTTGAGGGCAAGCGTCGGTCAGGATGATTCTGTCTGCACATGGACTTGCAGCCAGCCACAAACCGAAGAACAAAGAAGCAAATTCAACTTCTTTTTATGACACTTTATGCATTAGCTTATACGTAGCGCTTACTATTTTTCAAAAAAAACATTTAATCTTTCTTTATTCTCTATTCTCTTTCCTTTTTTTCTTTCCCCCTTCACCGCTCCTTACGTGCCTTTATAATAAAAGCATAACCGTCACAGCATCGCAGCAACACATGACACTCCCCCATAACCTTTGTCATATCTCAATAATACTGTCACTTTCAGAAGCAGCACACTGGGCCAAAAACGTAGCCTAAAGGGTCATCTATCTCCACCCTGCTGGCCATCCTTTCGGTGCGTTCACTCCCACTCTACTCATCAGCTCGCGTTTGTCCATTCTCAGGCATTGGCTTACTGTGACCCAAGACACTACCCTTTCGTCCAGCGATCAACTAGTGAGCATAAGAACTCGTTCACAGAAGTTGAAGTCGAATTCAACTCCTCGTGCCAAGGTTGAATCGTCCAAACTCAATACACACTCCAGCAGTGAGGTTGACAACTCGACCACGAAAGAACTTTCTGCGAGGCAACAGGCGAGCCACGATGGTCTTATCAGGGACTACCGCACTACTGACGCCCAAGAGAGATCTCAACTATCTCAGACGGTACAGAGTGGAATACAAACCGGCATGGATCAAATCGCCGGTTATGTCAAAAGCGTCTTGGTACGACCTGCCCAGCCACCAACGCCAGCGGACGTTGAAAGACTCACAAAACAGCTGGAATCCGAGGAAAGTCGGCACAAAAACCTCAAAACCAATTACGAAAAGCTGGTTGATATGTACAATCTTCAAAAGAAGGAACTCCAGAAGGTACACACACGACTTCGAGATTCTGATCAGGAGACAGATCGACTGCGCAGACTTCTGAATGGTGGTAGCTTCGACAACCCGAACAAGCTAGCCGACGATGCATTCAAGAGTGAATGGTCCAAGATGGCTTACAACATTAGGTGCTTGGTTCATACACTGGATGGTACTTGGTCAAGACAATCGCTCGACGACGAAGTCACGCGGCGGCTACGACGTGTTTCTAAAGATCATCAGAAACACTACCAGTATCCAGATTTTCGCATTTCCCTCATGCAAGGCCGCCTATGGATTCTTATTCAAGATATTGTATTTGACACCAAACAAGAAATTCGGGGTGGACCTGGCGTAGAAACGCTCAAAGCTACGAGAGAAAGCTTTATCGGTCAGTATCTATGTTATCTCTTCATAGAATTATCCTGATCACTGTTTTAGCACATATTGGAGAAATAGAAGGCAAGTTGGAGACTGAACCGTCTGTTGCTCTCATCGCAGGATGGTTATACCGAGGTTACCCAATAATGGGCAAGCTCTATGGCAACGACAGCATTGACGTCAAACGTGTGGTGGACTTGGAGACCAAACGCCTGCGACCTTTTATGGCGGATAGTCAACCCAGAACTGACAGGACTGATGACATGGTCTCGGGCCAGCTAAAGGACATCATTGACTCTGCTATTGAGCTCGATCAAATTATGATGAGTTCCAGGGCAATCTACGAGGTTCACTGGGGGGACCGATCGCAAGAGCCAGGTAACTTAGGGCGATGGAACCCAGAAGCCATGGAAGCTGACGTCTGGGAGCATAAGATATCCCCAAGGAGCCGTGTCCTGTTCCGTATCTCGCCTGTTCTTTACAAATTTGGCGCAAATGATGGTCGGGGATATGATTCATATATGGTTCTGGCCAAGGGCATTGTAGTTTGCGATTAGCACAGTGTCATCAGTTACTCGTTGCGGTTGAAGAAGAACGGATTTGGGAGTAGGATGTACAGGGAAAGAACTTGGGTGATGGTGAGGAGCAAATGGGAAGCGTCACAACAAGTTTTAGTGTCAGCACCGCTGTGGAGATTTTGATATGGGAATAAGTCGAGGTACAGATTGTCCGATAAGTGTCTTTGCAATTCGCTCGTAAGTAGTTAACTCAATAAATGTGTCACTGCAACCATAAAACAAATTCATAAAAACTTTCATACTTTTGACTAGAATAAACAGAAAAGAATTACAAAGTAAAAGACCCTCCATGATACTCCTGCTCTCTTCATTAGCAGTAGTACTCCACCGACATATGTTCTACCATTCCATGTATGCATCTATATCACACTATCCCGAAACCACAATTAGGTATTAATCAGAACCCTCAAACTCCGAATCCAAAAAAGAGAAATGCTGTCCGTAAAAAGGAGCCATGTCGTCAAAGCGATGTCGTTAGTAGCTTAAGCGCCGATTCCAAGGCCCAGCCTGATAGCCGCAGCCAGTCCGCCTTGTCGCGGTTGCTCATAGCTGAATGCCTCGGGTGTGGGGGTGGGCTGGAAGGGTGTCACGGTGGGACTGGTTGTGGCAGTCTCGACGCTCGTCTCAGTGATTGTGGTTTCCGATGTCTCGGTGGTGGAAGTGAAGGCCTCGGTGGTTGAGGGGGTGGGGATCACTGGTGGCACCTGAGAGCTGGTGACAGTAGAGGAAGTGGTCTCAGCAGAAGACGTCTCGGTCTCTGAGGTGGTGGCGCTATCTGTGGTTGAGATAATGATGGGATCCTCAGAGGTTGTAGGGATTATAGGAGGAATGGTCGAGTTGGTGGGAATAGAGATGGTAGAGTACTCAGAAGGCTCACTGCTGATGACGGGAGGGTTGTAGACGGGTGGTGTGTAAATGGGGTCAACATCAGCGCTGGTCGAGAGCGAAGCTGAAGTCTCACTGGCGGAAGAGCCTGTGGGAGTTGGGATGATGGGCTCAATCGTTGAAGAGTTGCTGGGGATGGCAGGGACTGGGTACACAGGCTTGGTGTAGACTGGCGGGGTGTAGACTGGCGGGGTGTAGACTGGCGGGGTGTAGACTGGCGGGGTGTAGATTGCATCTTCGGTGGTCGCGGAGATGACTGGAGGCTCAACAGTAGAAGAGTTACCAGGGATTACAGGACCAGGGTAAGCTGGCTTTGTGTAAGCAGGAGGCGTGTAGATGGGAGCCTCGACAGGCTTCGTGTAAACAGGAGGAGTAACGACTGAAGTGTTACCAGGCAAACTAGGCTTCGTATAGACTGGGGCTGAGTAAACAGGCGTGTTCACAGGCTTGGTGTACACAGGCACAGTTTCGTTACCAGAAGCAAGAGAAGAGTAAGCAGGCTTGGTGTATACGGGAGGAACGTATCCTGGTGGTGTACCAGTCGAGTTACTATAAGTAGGATCCGAGTACACAGGCTTGGTGTTGGCCGGCTTGGTGTAAACCGGGGGAGAAACCTGACCATCAGTAGCACTGTAGACTGCGCTCTCTCCAGGGGTCTGGTAAGTAGGCGAGGCATGCTGATCGATAGGCATGGTGAATGAGTATCCGGCGGTTGAGTTCAAGTGAGGATAGTCATTGCCGGTCCTAGTTTGAGAAGGTGCCGCATATGTTGAATTGACAGGGCGGTAGGGAGAACCGGTGTTCTCACTACCGTATGGAAGAGTCGAAGCATACTTGGTAGGAGGCACAAGGACGGTGTTGCTGATAGTCACAGTCTTGGTGCAATCTTTGCAGATCTCAGTGGTGTAGTGAGATCCGTTGGAAGAAGCAGTGACTGTAACTGTGACATCGACAGTTCTGGTAGTGACAAAGAAATAGTCGGTAGGGCATTGGATGGTTGGCTCAAGAGTTGTCGAGCTGATGACAGAAGTAGTCGTGTTCTTGAGAGGCGTGTAACTGGCAATAGGAGTATACTTGGGAGGAGTATAATCATTGGCAGATCGAGCAACTTGAGGTTGAGTCTGAGAACATGTTAGTATGCGTTTGCTTGTAAGTGAGATGAGAATACATACTCGACGGAACCAAGAACCGCGAGGAGCAGCTTCAGCAACCGTGCCAAGAAGGCCAACCGCGCCAACAACTGAAGGCAGAAGCATCTTGTAGAGTAAATCTTGAAGAAGAAGAGAGTTGATTAGAATAATCAGCTATAAGCTAATGAAGCTGTAAGTGAGAGTAGGACAAGAGATGCTGAGTCTGGTGGTGAGAGAATCATTTCTGGGACGAATCTCATCGTCTTTAAGTACAACTTTATCTTGATCAAAGGGTTTTTATCAAGGATTCGAATATAAGCACAAGGGTGGTAAAATATTGAAAATTGGTTGATTATACAAAAAGGGCACGACGTTATATTGGAAGAGGGATGGTTGTATAAGAAAACCTAACAAGACTTGTACAAACAAGGGCGGCGGCTTTACTTGTGGGGGGGCACTTTATCGATTGAAGGGAGTTTTTGGCGCCAACCGCAAGGCTTGGCCTTCAGTGGCACAATAGGGAACAAAGGGCGGAAGAAGCAATTAATTGTCTACAGCGAGGGAACAAAAGGCAAATAGTGGACTTTTTAATTCCGATCCGATCCAAGGATTGACTGACCTCAGGGTATCAGAAAAGTTGACCGCTGGAAGCATACGAGACGAAATTAGTAGGTCACTTTATGCTCCTTAGGCTATAGTTCTTGGACTACCTATTTTTATACCCTAAGACTCAGAAGGCCAACTTTTCTGCTACCCACTAGATACATACTCAAGTATGCCCTTGATTTATAGTAATGGGATATTAGTTCCAAGTACCTAGCTCGTCATCGCACAACTTTGTGTCCCTGTAGCCAGTCGTATAATGATACAATCCCTACGGGTAACATCACCAAGAGTGCACACAGTTCATCCAACTATGAGGTACAAATCTGTTTCCATTCACAGCCAAATCAAGTGTGGTCTGTGGGTATAATGCCTGCCTATCTGTCTGTAACTGTGTGTGTGCGTGCTTGTCCTGTCGAATCATCCATAGTGTGCAGGAATGGGTATCAAGAGGGCCACGCAATCGCCATCGTGCCCTTTGTAAAAGATAACAAGAAACTAACAAAAACCATATGCTTATGCCGCCAAGAATAATCAGTAAACCGTCGCCCGTGATGCAATCATAAAGTATCAAGTATCGTCCCGTGCCAGCTTGAGCTACGCATGCTATAAGCTGGCAGATATCGAGATAAACCATATCTCAATCAATCGTCCACCTCCAACCAATCAATCCTCCCAGATGGTCTCGAGATCAATATCCCCTCGACGCTCGGCACCGCACACACTCCAGCGCTTTCGCTTATCTCTAGAGCCGAAACCCATTGTGCGTCCTCGCATCTGCCCATCTTTCCCTTTCAGGTCTGCGGAATCATTTCCTTCAGCAGCATCTGCATCAGCCTTGAGCTGGGCAATTCTTTCAGCTTCCAGCGCCGCTTCTTCAGCGTCAGGCGTGTCAGGAATGGTTTCCAAACTCGAGATGCTGGGACTTCGGGACCTGGTCGATGTGGGTGTGGAGGGTACAGAAGAGTAGGTGGTTCCATAGCTCCCTGAAAGGGCGTCGTAGCTTCTGTAAGAGGATGAAGACGAGATTGAAGATGAGGGGGTCGAGGGAAAGGTTCCCAGGGAGCCAGTGCTCGAAGACGTGAAGGACCGCAGAGGAGAAGATGGTCGTCGAAGTCGCGCGGGAGTGCTTGTGGAAATTCCCATAATTGGAGAAGTGCTTCGTCTCTCATGCCTCTGTTCCGGCTCAAGAACCGAAGTTCGGATTGGCGAAATAGGTGGGAAAGACTCATCAGCAGGCTTTCGTGGAATTCGCACTCTACTAGGTGATCCAACTGGGCTTCCAGGGCGGTGCTGAGGTAAGAACAGAATATGGCCTGAGCCGTTAACGCCTGGCATTGATTGAGTGCGGGACATTGGGGGCGCAAGACTTGTTGTAGAACGAGATCTGGTGTGGGCTCCCGACAGCGGAGAAGTGGTGCGTGGTCGATAGGGAATGAATGGCGAGGAAGACCAAGATGGTGAAGAAGCAGGCGAAGTCGGACTGGGGTCGGTACTTCGTCTCAGGTTTGGTGGCTTTCGGGGCAGATCGATGCTGAGGTTAGAAATGGCGTTGGGGTTTTGCAGTCGCGGTGATGGCACGACTGGTGAAGCGGCGGATGACGCAGAAACAGAGGTGGAAGCCGAAACAGGAGCAGGGGTAGGAGCAGGACGGAACTCCTCCATACGCTCTGTCTCAGGAACTGGTTCCATTTTGAGATTGGTAATCGGTGGATGGAAACAGAAACGTGATACGATGTACGGTAATACAGTACGGCACGGCACGACACGGGTGACAAGAATTTTGGGTAAGAGCCAAGCCGGTGTCGTCAGGACATCAACGGTGGCATGTGCGATTGTGCCGGCTTGAAGCTTGATCGTGTCTTGGCCGACGAGCAATGGCGTCGATTTGGGGGTTTATTCGTCGAGGCAGAAATGATCGTCAGCGGCAGTCCTACGGGGAGCTCTCTTTGTCGGCGGCTGCAAGTCGGTGCTCTTTTTGGATTGGCAGGCGGCGCAGCACAAGCAAAAGGGCGTCAAGGGAGCGAGCGATCACAGTGACGAGAGAGTGGGATTGGATTGAGTTCGATTCAACTGCAGCGCGACAGAAAGGCGGGGGTGGATCAATCTTTTGGGGGAATCCGAGGTAGAAAGGACGCTTTTCTGTGTTTTTCGAGCCTGGTGGAGAAGCTATACTTTTTGTAGTGCGGTGTGCTGCAGCTGTAGCTCGAGAGGTCCAGTGGGATTTCGGTTTTGGGGTCGAGAGGAGAGTGTGAGAGAGAAAGGCGGCGAAGGGGAACCTTGTACTCGTTTCTTAAGTCTCGGGAGGTGGCACTAAATCAGGAGACGTAAAAGAGGAGTAGGTGAAGCAGAGAGAAATCAAGGGGGTTGAAGGAGAATAAAGATGAGGAAACGGATAGAGCGTTTGAAGGAGAAGATGAAAGCAATTTGAGATTGTTTTTGAGAGAGAGAAGGTAGTCGCCAGTGAGGGAGAGTGACAAGTGACAAGTGACACTGGGCGCGTGTTTGAATTCTAACTAATCCCGTCCAATGTGATAGACGGTCAGTCATGGAGTGCAGGGTCTACTAAGGTACCTCCGCTAGTGGAGGGGCTAGGTTAGGTACCTCTTGAGGAACGTGCAGTGCCCACTAGGGATCCTTTTAGCGGGCTCAGTGGGTAATGGGTGTCCAGGGTATTTGACGGTCAAGAATTGGTTGACAGTTTGATAAGATGGAAGGATAGTAATATCAGAGGAAGTAGACTGGGGGAAACGGTTACTTGAATATCATTAACGTTAGGTATTTTTCTTTATATTTTTTGAGTTCAATAATCAACTTCCTGCAACGTTTTCTGCATTATCGCTTCCGCCAACGTTATTACAAGGGTATCGAATCTAAAACAAAGCAGCTTCGCCAACGCCACCGTTTTCTTTCTGCATACCTGACACTTGCACCTCCCCCCAGTAGCGTCCAGTCAATCAAAGGAATTATTCAAATCACAACAACAACAACAACAAGCCATAATTAAGAGGATGATTCGAGACTATAGCATTCAAGTCATGCACTGCAATGCAATGCGACGCGGCGCGGGGTAGGGCGCATTACTTCCATCGTCAATCGTGTCTTCTACTCGCTCCCTTCAAGTGTCACATCACATTCCGTTTCCACATCAACAAACAGACACAAACACAAACACTTAATAAGCACGCATTTACATTTGCATTTAACCCAACCATTCGGATTCACTTGACTATTCATCCGAACTTGTCACTTAATTGCCTCAAACCTCAGTCAGTCCCTTGGGAAACGGTCGACAAGATACACCATCGCAATGAGACGATCTCAAAGATCGGCCCAAAACTAACCTCGACCGCCCTTCCAGAACGTGACACTACCTAAACTGAACAATCTTAGCTGTGAATTCCCTAATCCGGTAGCCCGCCGCTTGACCGTTCGACCGCTGAAACCGTTCAGCCACTCACCGCGTTTGCATTCGACTCTACTCTCTACAGTCCCTGCAGTCTGGTACGAATAGACGCCTCTCGGAACTATTCACTTGAGGTGCCGGGTGAGTTTCAGGGGCCTCGTCGTGGGCCCTTTTACGGGGGAACCGAGGGCCCGGGCCAACAGGCACAGTAGCTTCGCTTCTGCTTGGCTTCTGCGGATCAGAATCCGGGAGGCCTGTTGAGCATAGCAGCAAGACAAATAAGTGGAACAAAAAGGAACAATAAAGTCCCTCAAATGGCTCAGAAACGACAGCAGCATAAACATCAACGTGGAGCATGCATAGTTACATACTTCGCTAGTCAGCGGTTGTCTGCCGTACTGTACCTGGGAGGCTTAGATAGAGTTGCGCCAATCCTAGAATTGTTCATGCATGCATTCTGTATTTATGCGTGGCAAAGCTCCATTTCCCTTTCATTTCATTTGTCTGTCATTTCACTGCGCTTAGCTCGCTGGTCATCCAGCCACGTTCTGAATCGTGAAGCCAATAGCCACTCAATTTGACGTGACAAGTTTTTTGAGTCAGTCAAGTCCGATGACCAGCAACCAACCAACTATTCGTACCAAGTACAGAAGCCTGGACCTGGACCCGGCTACTGTGATGCCTTGATCCTGGTGAGACCCTTGCGCAGGGATGGATGCTTAAGGGCTGAAGAAAGCACAAACAGACACTTGAGCTCATTGGGCACAACACCATAATAGTATGGGCGCTATCTCTAGATGAGTGATTTGCCCTGGTCGAAATGACGTCGAGTTTTTGAAGATGTTCTTAATGCCAAGGACCAATATCCATCATGCATATACAGACTGGGGGGATCAAAACTCGACTTGATCAACACCAATATCCCATCACATGAGCAGTAGTTGATCACGCGATGTCTTTGCTGCTCCCTCGCTGAAACAAGATCCTGAACCCCAGATTTCTCGCATGTCTGTATACAACCTTTGGGGACCTGACGCTACTGCACGACAGTTCCATATTTAGTTCCCGCCAACTCAATATTCCGACGCCATCGTATCAGCTCTTGTTAGAACAAAGCGTGTTTTCAGCTCTTTATTCGTCATGATGTTTCCAAATTGAGAAGCTATATCTTCGTATAATAACGCCGAACACGTAAACGGAGGCCTCTAGTAGCACAAGCAGAGGCACAAGCAACACGTATGTTCATCACTCAACAGACACTTATCGGTCCATTTATCAGCGATAGAACTTGATACGCAAGACTGAGCCTCTTCAGGGGAGTTTTATTAAGGACATGCTCGCTTATATGCGGGAATTCGCATGGTTGTAAGCGACAAGCTAAGCGGTCATGTGTAGACTTGATCACATGCGTATTGCTTTTTTCACAATTGAATACTGCGCGTATTGTTCATGTTCAATACGTCTGAATTCGCTGAGCTATACCATGTATCTAGTTCATTCTTATTTGTCCAAACGTTAAACCGCCCTCAACGCCATAACCATTGACACAACAATCAGGAGAAGCACATGTGCAGTCCAATCTATCCAACATCGATTTCTCAACCTTATCCAAATGCAGAATGCTTAATGAATCATAGCATCTCCTATTCAGTCCTTGATGTTCCAGGAGGCGGAAGCTGGTCAGGTCCAAAAGACATTGGCAAAAGCTGCAAACAGTTAACCACGAATCCGAATACAAGAAAAGCACCATGAACTGACCTGTCCCAACTTTGCAACTACAAAGTCCTCATTCTTGTCAAACATAAAAACAGGTGTATCCAACTTGCAAAACTCTCGAATACTGTATCACAAGCAACCTCGTTAGCCAAAACAGCACATTGTCCTCAGTCACTTCACTCACAACTGTCTGCACATTCCACAAGGGCTCGCAGGAGGCGCAATATCTGTAGCCACGGCAATGGCTCGGAACCCACGATGACCGCTCGTCACAGCCGTGCCGAGAGCCACACGCTCTGCACAGGTTCCCACAGGGTATGCCGCATTTTCGACGTTAGCACCGCTTGTGAGCTTACCCTCGCTTGAGAGAACTGTAGCTCCGACACGGAACTGGCTGTATGGGCAGTAAGCTGTTGCCTTGGCTGCTGTTGCACGAGTACGGAGCTCCGAGAACTCTTCCGACGTGATGCCGTGTGCTTTGCAAACCTCTGCCGTTTTGGCGGTGTTGCTTCTGGTGATAGTCTCTGGAGTTTCCATTGGTAAGAAGAAAGAGGAGGAAGAAAAGGGGAGAGGGGGAAAGGGGGAAAGGGAAAGGAAAGAAAGAAGGAGAGCGTGTGATAGAGAATGAGTGATGCTTATATGTAGGTATTCTGTCCCGTGTCCCGTAACGCGGGCGGGCGGGCCCTTATCGTTCATGTCTCCGCATCGGGCGTCTCCGTAATGCGGGGCTGGGCGCCGAAATGACGGACCTTCGGCAGTTTCCTACCAGTCAAACATGGTAATCGTAGTAATATTCACTGTTATCTGATTACAGATACTCACGAATAACTTCCAAGTTTCAGTATGTAGGTATTATTAGATGCTGACACGCATCTATTCATGTTCATGTTTCATTGTTACTATATGTATGCACGTGTTACCTTTCCCCTCCAAATTGTAGCCAGCCATTCTCATTACAAATATAAGCACATAAGACAGAGCAGCACAAAACTCCAAACTCGTCGCTCATGCCTACTGTCTACCTAGCGAGTTGTTGTAGACTGGTGCTTGAACGAACCCGACAATTCCCATCCCTCCTCTTCTTTCATCTACTAAACTTCACTTCTCTTTCATGATATTGATCCCAAATAATGCTGACCCGTCGAGTCTTCTGACTCAAGACGTCTAGTAAAAGCCATCAGACCCTCCAAGCCTGCTCGATACTGAACCAACAGTAGGCGTCGACTGTGCCGAGCTGCTTGTGTCGCTTGGTGTCGCGGGCTCTACAACCTGACTTCGGATAGATGTAATCCATTCGTGTTGTAGCAGTTCAACAGCTGATGATCGATTTCGGGGATCTCTCGTGAAACATCTCTTCAAAAAGTCGAGTCCTTGAGGGCTGAGTTGATCCGGGGGTGGCAGCTGGGGTGGGTTTCCTTGAGCAATATTGTACATGATTGCCCACTCGTTGTCCAGTTGCGCCCAAGGCCTCCTGCCCGTAGCCATTTCTAGGATGACACAGCCCAAGGACCAAATGTCGACAGACCCGGGCTTACCAGGGTTCTCGCCCTTGATCACCTCAGGTGACATGTACATCGGCGTTCCTGTCATGGATCGGTTCGGCATGGACGCCTGTACATCTCCGGCAAGTGTGCGCCCTTGTCGAGCAATCACCTTGGCGGCACCAAAGTCCACATACTTGATGATTCCGTTATGGTCGAGTAAAATATCTATGCCATAGTTAGTACCAGGAACTCTAATCAACTTAAAGTGCACCACTTACTTTCGGGCTTGATGTCTCGGTGGGCAATGCCACTTTCGTGCAGGTAGACAAGACCCTCGAGAAGTTGGAGCGCGTAAACCATGATGACTTGCTCGTCCTCGATTCGACCATGCTCCAAAAGACTGGCCAACGACCCTCCCGAGCAGAACTCCATAAAAATGTATACTCGATCGCGATGAACTTCGATACCATAATATGAGACGACGTTGGGGTGGTCTAATACTTCTAGTACACCCATCTCCTCCCTGATCTGTTCGGCGACCTGGGGTATTAACTTGGGGTCCTGAAGTCGAATTTCCTTGACAGCCATCAGGTGGCCAGTGTCAAGGTTCATAGCAGCGTAGACGTTACCAAACGTGCCGCCTCCAACGAATTGGCCTTGTTGCCAACGCATTGTGACGTTGGTTGCCGAAGACGAAAGGTATGCCAGCGACCGGTCAACCTCGTTATTACCTTCCAGTACTCTTCCAACTCCTTGTCGTTCAGCAATCTTCTCGCATCGGTATTCGTCCACCCTTGAGAGCTCCTCCATACGCTGTTCTGTAACGCATCGAGAGGCCTCCTCATCATTCATCATTCGGTTCTTGTCAAGCTTTCGGAACTGTCCAACCAGTGCCTCGATCCGCTCCTTCTCGGCTTGGGCCGCCAAATTTGACCTGGCTCCCATGATATCAAAGTGGGAGATGAGAAGGGACATACATCCAGCAACCTTCGAACGAAGCTTGGCATACTCGTCTTCACCGAGGGCTAGAATGTGGCGTCCTCGTGTCATGCCCATGGCTAATTCGAGCGCGAGTACAGCCCAACGGAACGTCTTTCGATCTGATGCGACACAATCATCGCAGATGAAGCTGACCCAGTCAAGGGCAAGTTTTGTCAACTTGAGGTTGTTCATCTGCCGTCTGTTGCTATCCATGTAAAGCAACGAGCGCTGTCCGAATTCTGTGGCGAAAACGAAGCATGTTTGGATGAGTTCCTGGCAATCTTTGCCTCTGGCTTGTTTTCTGATAATCTCCACACTGTCCATGAAGTTGTTGGAAAGCTTGTAGGCCACCCGCCTGATCTCTGTTAACCTTGAATTGACCTTTTGTATGTTGGATCGCGCTTCCTGAACGAGATCAACATGCATATCGACATTTTCAATGAAAGCTCTTCGTGCATTGTGTAGGGCCTGAGGGCTGGAAGCACAGAGTCGAATGTGGCCACGCTTCAAATCAATGTTCAAATCACGAAGTGGTACTTCGATCGTTTCACCAAACCAGTTAAGCGGATCCTCCGGTCGAAGTATAAGAAGATATTGTTCTCCGAGCTCATCGGGAAATTGATCTTTGGATGTGATAGCCATCATGGCCTGGATATCTTCAAGCCGCTCACGTAACTCCGGGGACGCAACCACGTAGACATTATCCTGTTCGAGAAGACGTGTGTCCACTTGGAAGTGGCCGGAAGCAACTAATTGATCATAAAACTTTTGCATGGTTTCGGGTGGGAATGAAATGCTGTAGTCAGAGGCGTGCTCGTAGTTGTCGTTCAGCATTCGAGTGAATCGCTGAAGCATTCGCTGACGAACGCGCACGGAATCAAGGCAGGCCTTATAACGCTTGCTCATTTCAGTCGCGGTCTCCTTCGGTTTCGCTTGCAGTTCTTTCTCAAAAGTCTGGCTAAGTCTGTGCAACGCCTTGAACGTCAATGAACTGAATTGCTCTGCAACCTCAATGTGGCCACGCTGCAGGTGACTACCGATCTCGTTGGCAAAGTCCCACTCCTGGAACAAGAGTTCGGCTTCTTTGAAAGTGTTTTTGTTTCCGCTCAGCTTCCAGTTTAGCATCTTGAAGTAGTACTTCAACGCTTCCAATACGACTTGATCGAAAGATTCATCGATGCAGGGCGGCAGATCCCAACCTGGCTCGGGGTTCGCAATGGAAGTACACTCAATCTTGATTCGTATGGCAAACTTGAGCAGTAGCTGAAACTGAGAGATCATCTGGTCTTGCATCAAAGGATTTTGCTGGGCAGACTCCTTAACTCTCCTAGCATAAGCGAGACGCATCCGGGTGATCTCTTCGATGAGGCGCGAGGGGAAACTGATCAGAGTGAGAAGCTCCTCGAGGTAGGGTGGAAGATGGCGTTTGCGAAAGGCCTCAGAATTCCTAATAAGAGTATCCTTCGCCTTGCTGATAACTGTGGATATAGGCGCAAGCATTCCCTTTTCTAGGTTTCCATTGTCGTCGTTGTAAAGTGACTGGAGGCCGTCTTCCTTCATCAGTCGATCAAGGAATGAGGTTTCGTCGTTGTTGATACCGTTAACAGCGGGCGATCGCTGCTTAGTGCGTGTAAAATCGAGCTCTTCGTTCCCAACCCACTTCTTCAAGATATTCAGTTCGGTATTGATCATTTCGTTGGTATTATACCACGAGATAATGGAATCATGCGACTCCTTGAACGCAGCAGAATCTGCTGCCTTATGCTCCGCTGCGAGTGCAGCCCAAGAAGGATACAGATTCTCACACATCTGGATCTTAGCCACCATGTCTTTAACCTGTTCGTACGGTGGTTTTCCAGCCTCGCTCTCGCCTTTTATTTGAAAGTTGATGATTTCGTCGAGAGTGCGGTCGAGCGTCGATCGAGATTCCTCCAACATACGTCTTTGGACTGGAATATGCCTTCCACAAACTTTGGAGCGGATGCCTAGCCACAGTTCGGTCTTGTGAGCGCTTTTCCCAGCCTGCTGGTCTGCAGATCCAATCAACCGTTTCTTTTCTTGCCGTACTACGTCTCCGGTAAGGACAGCCTCCAGCATGCCATGCCACTCGAGCCTTTCGCGGTTATCTGGGTCTTTCAGATCCTCATCTGTGGGTTGAAGAGTGTCATTGCCGTAGAACATAATAGTCTCCTGGTCGAAACGGTCGTCATAAGGGCCCTCCGATGAAGGGGTCTCCCCTTCCGAGTCCGAATCATTTCCGTTGAGAGCGGAATACGACGTAAAATATCCTCCACTGTAATCTTGTCGGAGTTTCTGTACATATGCTCGCTCTTGTGCACGGAACCTGCTTTCGTTCCGTGGGCGTGTTTTAGACGACGATCGGATAGACTCTGTGAAAGATGGTGTGGCTGGTGGGTGAGCTGGCTTTCTTGACGTGGCAGGATTATACGTGTTCGATGGTGTCCGGGCAGGCCCTAATGGTCGCTGGGGCCAGGAGCCGTTGGGCGTGTAGGCAGCGCCATCATCACCACCAGCCGGGCCTCGCTGAGCTTTGGAGACACCATTAATGACCGTCCCAGTAGCCAATGAAGTTAGAGATCCTGTGTGGCCCGTTGCCTCGTATCGAATCAGATTGCCCAGTTCGTCGTGTCTTTCTATCGCATGAGGATCGCCGTTGGATTCGATGGGAGTTTCAAGCCGATGGCCTCGGGCCTTGTCCGGGCGGCCATCGTCTTCACTGCCTTGAAAACGAACCGCACGAGGTGATGACTCGGCCATCCTAACGGCTGTGACTGGGCTGGCACCCAGGTGGAGTTGGTATTGTTAGAGCCCCTCAGCGCCGCGTCGAGTTCTCGTCTCGTTGGTAAGAAGAAGGTTGATGGGGGGCAATGAAACCAGCACCTAGCGACTATCGTGCTGGTCGAAATGTAGTCGGAAAATTTATGATGGGTCGAAGATAGGCATGGAGGGAGGAGATTGAGCTTGAGGAGCTCCTGTTGCATGTAGATCGAGATGAATCGCATGGAGGAGTGGCAACAGTGAAGCGCGTGCAAATTCGCAGCCAATCATAGCGCACCAATCGACTCAGAGTGGCGTAGCTAGCTGCGTCTTGGTGTGGCTGCAGCTTGAAGATGTGGCTATGCATGTGATTGATGTCGGATACCAGGTGCGTCAAAAAAAGACCGGCATGCTTTTCTAGTTAATGAAAATATTTGATCAAATTTCCGTGACTGTGTAGCCAAAGAGAGCACTAGTATTTTCGTCTGGTGCTGTTCTTGTTTCTGTTTTTTGTGACCCGCCTGGTCGGATACTAGATATAATAGAAACGACATTGAACAACCAGATCATCGAACTGTAGATTCATTGTTACATATGCACAAGCTGCTGATATTGTTTTAAATAAGCGTATAGACTCTCGCCATATGAGGCATCTTACTTGATATCGTTTTGCTATAGTACTTCAGTAACGTTCTTAAGCAAGTGGTGTTTACGTCTGAAATTTGACATCCAAGGCGGATTGCTCAACTAGAAACCCTTCTCGAGAGCAAGACTAAAATTACTAACACACAAGTAACTTAATAGTGACACTGCCTTCAGCCACTGATATTGTAATTGTACCAGTTCGGCAGCATTCAAATCGGCTGTGCCAGTCTCACCTCATCTTCACACATTCACAACCATCTCGCACAGTTTACCCTACACAGGCAACGGAATTGTTGACCGCCAACACACAGTCAGCTTGCCAAGATTTGTTCAACAGAGCTTTCAGTGCTAAGCCCAAGCGTTTATGTCATTTGCCGTGCTTTGCTGCACCGGGCATGACCCTGATGACGGCTCGGAGATATCCCCGAGATGCTTAAAACAAAATTACTCGCAATTATGCGATTCATGCATACCTACTGAAGAGATTATAATGAAGAGATATAGTCTGTGCCCGCGTCAACCCGACATGTGCAAAGATAGTCAAGCCACAAGCATAAACTCTGAGCCAAGGGGGGGACCGGATCAGCCGTAATCCGACACAAGTTTCTACAATCGGATGTTAGTCTGCCAAAGTAACTCCAAAAATTCTACTATGTACCCTCACCCTGCGGCAGACCAGGCTCAAAGCCACTAACACCCATGGTGAAACATAACGCTCTGACCCGATGCCTCCTTGACAAGACCTAGAAAGGAAACCAGTACCTGAGTACATACGACGCAGATGGTGGCTTCAAGGTTACGTTTGACTGATCTTGCCGTTTTCACACTCTGATCGGCAAGATCTGGTTCATATCGGTTATAGAATGATAAATTTTACTCGCCTAATCTCAGCCTCGATTAGCCTGACTTCGGAGAACCAAAGGTCTTGGTACATTGCAGGAATTGCAGGAATCGTCTGACTCGTTTTCATTACATAGTAGAAGCATCAATATTACCGCGGCTGTGTCCAAGATACCGCGTGCTGTGTTGACCAATAAGCAGTCACGCGAATGCAGCAAAAGCCGGACTGTATCCAGCCCTGACGTGCGGCACGGAGCCGCTATAGAGAGCTAGATTTTACCAGCAGGGAACATCGTCGTTGGGTTTTCCTCGTTTTACTTAATACATACACAAAATCGGTACCAGCAGACATATCACACTTCCACGTTTTCACAGGGTTCACCGCGAACTGTACCTGGTTCAAACCCGTCAGATTGCTAGGCTAGTAGAAATCCAGGTTGGTGGCCCAAGAATTCCGATGCTATAACTCAATTGAGGGCGGCGGTAGGCGCTAGAATTTCAGTATGTTCGCTATCAACTGGCCGACGAATTTTGGTACATGATCGACATCGATACATCGTGTTTAATAATCATGTGGATTGACAGGAGTCTCCGCGGTAGTCAGAGACGACGTTGTGTGAGTACCGGTATATGCTGATCAATAACGTTTCGAATATCCGGATGAGATCCTTGCAGCGGCTGCGCAGTTGTCGTTAAATAATTACACAAAGATGCCATCAGAGATACCATGACGAAAAAAAAGGCACCCTGGTCAGATCAGCATCGGTATTTATGCAGCTTGGCAGCATTAGTGCACATTCCCTACGCATGCACATTGGAAATATTGAATCATTGTTGCTTTGATCAATGCAGCCAGATTAGTTGGTCATTGCTTCACGCTGTCGCCATGCTCAGGGACCTTGAGCAAGCCACGTTGCCGTCAAGGCAAGACGCACGTCGAAGAATTCCGTCCTGCTAGAAGATTTCGTTATCACCGCCTTTTATGGTTAGCCTGCCCAGTAGTTTATTTGACAAGTTCAAAACCCTCAACTAAGCCTGAGCGGTTGTGCCAACATAAACGGTTGGTGGTATGCAACAAGCGGTATCCGGTTAGCAGTAATTAGCATACAACCCTTTCACCTGAATTCTAAAACCCCTAATATGTACCCTTTGTTCTTAGGCTTCAGAAAACGCAACATGGTTGATGGAGTTTTGGAGCTGCGTGGTCTCGTAGTCAGGCTCTTAGACGACTCAGCTGAAAAGCTTCCTTCCATGTGAAACCAGCAGCCGAGCCTTGGCATCGCGTGGGGCTACAAACCAAGATCCTTACTAGGGCTGACCAGGATGCACGAAATGAGAACGCTCCTGTAGGTACCCGACGTTGTCGCAACTTGGTGGGGAGCAAACTTTCCACCCCGGATTCGAACTGACTGCCAAGGACTCGAATGCCTGCTTCATGATACGTTTGAAGTTTGGCTATGCTGCGTTGGGGGATGCACCGAATGCCTCGAACTATCTGAACCAATGGCAACATTTTGTCTCTCAAGTCTCTCAGGTCTCTCAGCTGTTGTTGATGGGCTGGGATACGGGGCGAATTATTGATCGCCGTGCTCGGATCATAACTTGACACCGACACCAACGGATGTCAAACATCATGAGGCGGGATATTGTGGGTTGCATGACAGGCAAGGCGAGCAAGCTGGATTCTGGGCCGAAACGTCTTGCATAAAACTCCGTGCAGAATACCCTGATTGCAATGGGACGATCTACTATCAAGGTAGTCAGATGAATATGCGACGGACGGGAAGCGGGAGGGGAGTAAAAGTGGAAAGTGGGAACGCGTATTACGGAGAATACCATCATTGAAGTTAGAATATTCCTAAGCAGGGGATACCCTAACAGACACAAACAATTAGTCTACTAATGAAGTTGAGATGAAAAGAAAGGCACCGCAGCTGAACTGGTCTGGTACGGGAAGCCGCAATGCTCAGCCATGATGGGATTCACTAACGTCAGCTACTCCTACCCTAGTAGTAGTTAGATGGTCCCCATCGTTGCTCCTTACTATATACCTCGAACTACAGAAAGGGAAGGAAGGAAGGAACACAGGGAATTGTCGAACGATGGCATCCTGCGGCAACAGGATTATTCATCCGTCATCAAACCACCATCCTCATTCATCTACGTACCAAACATTAAGCCTTGCAGGACGATCGTTTGACCACTGGATCCTTGGCCTCCATTAGTGCATGTAGAGAAAGTCGCCATCACGCCTTGTACAAATGGATGGATAACATGGTGCTGTACAAAAAAATGGTTGGAGCTAAAGTTCCGTAAATTTCAGGAAAACAACTACTGATTTTATGTCTTGTATCAAGGAGTCGGCCCTAGCTACGACGTCAACGGTTTGGTTACGATTGAGCCTATCCCGACATATCGGTACGCACGTCAAACGCACCAAAATGCTCAACAAGGGCTGTTTCGTGGCGTTGATCCTAGTACTCACCGTTGAAAGGGAATTAGGGAGAAGGTGACATCGCAATCTGTTAGCGATGCATTTACACCCACCCTACAAAGTTTGACCAATATTTGCCGTTTGCGCCAACGGACCGCCGCCCATGGAACCATCAATCATCCAATCTATAGACACTGCACTGTCTTTGGCAACCTTGCACCGGTACTGCCGGTACCTAGTGTAGAGGTACACATTTTTTTTTGGTCAAACTGATCATCGTAAATGGATCGTCGGCTACTCGCGTTTGTTTTCTTTTTCTGAATCTACAGCAGTGAGTGAGGCTGATGGTCGATTTTGTGTAGGACGCCAGTAGCAAGACCAACAAAGACAACAGCCTAGTGGAAGAAATGATGGCCCAATCGCATTATCAATTTCTCATGAGGATTCAACTAAAATTTAATCTTCTCCTGATGGCGTGTGCCCGAGCGCCCCCCGAATCGTCCTTTTTCTTCGACTTGCATCGTTAGGACATCGCCCCTCACCAAGTCTCTGTTGGCCCATCTTCTGACGCACCCATTTACTGCCGTTCTCTCTCTATGTAACAGCAACAGGGGTGTCTCGGCTCCTCGTACCGATATTGCAAGCTGGCTGCGTAACCTGATGGTCTTGCTAGGGTTTGCTGGAAACAGACGAAAGAGCAAGGGCTAGCTATTTTACTGCGTCCCGTCGTTCGAGGTCCAGGATGAGACCGTTAGACATGCGACACCCCACTAGCTAAGAGTAAGTTGAGCGTACACTCCACCCGCTGTCACACAGACCTGGACCTGGCTTGAAGCCGGCATGACAGATCAAACCCTGGACCAGGCAAAATATCTCTACTAGCCCTTACGTTTGCTTTCTTAATCCCCGTCCCGCTGGAGCAAAGACCTCCGAAGCAGAAACAAGCATGTCAAGGTCCCCGTCGACGCAGTGTCTTCGGGATCCTTGACTCTCGTACTGGTCCCCATCTATAACCACCGCCGAGATCGCCCTCAAAAAATGAATTGATGCCTCTTTCTTCTGGATCATCTTGCGCATTCCCTTTTTATTACCCAAAGCCAGTGAACTGAACTTTTGCCTCATTTGTGATCCCACCCACACAGAGTTCAAGCCTATAATAAACACTGTCACTCCCCCGACGCTCTCTATATATCCTGTCCAACGCACCATTCGGCTTTGACATCGCAAAGGGCTATCTATCAGAAGCTCCCAACATCCATTACAGCGGGTCTTGAGTTTGTTTAGCCTTTGCTGTTTTGACTTGGCCAGGCTCGAGTCTGTATCCACAAAGCTCGTTCTTCAACCTTTCACAGTGTCCTCTGTTGACGAAAAAAAGGCATTTTTGGGGGTAAGTTGTTTTCATATCTGGAGGGAACGCTGTATTTATCAGAGTGCGTGAAGCTAACTGTCTTGTGGATTACCTTCCAGAATCAGCCATCATGTGCGACTTTACCAAAAACTATTACATCTACATGTCATGTACCGATCCTGGAACGCATTTTTGCAAGACCTCAATCGACGGAAGCCGCGAGCATGCTTGCTCAAAGGGGCCTCATGAACGCTACATTGTGCTTCCTGAAAACTGCCCGCTCTGTTGTGGATGAAGTGGACAAGATGCTGGAAGAGGCTACATGATTAAAGACAAAGCACACCCTGCCAGCGAAAACCCCATCATGCCAACTAGCGAGGAGCCTCAAATCCTACGTTGGTGTAAAATTAGGCCTCTGTAACATGCTTGAGGCGGCAAGAACACTTTGGTTGCAACCCTGAGCCCTCGTAAACGGGCGAGTGATTCGAGTTTGAGGGTAACGAGCCCATGGTCTCAGCCTCCTGGAAGGCTCTACAGAAAGGGAAATAGGATATGACCAGGCAAAAACGGGACAAAGATAGGGAACGCATATTTACATGATGAAAGATAATCAGGAGACACAAAAGGAGACGAAACGAAATCAGCGCTTAATAGTCAAGTTTGAAAATTGAAACTACTACTGTTTTCCGCGGCCAGTACCGTTGACATGTTGATGTTTTATATTGATCTTACAAGATTCAATCACTAGAAACCGAATGTAGAAGTCGACAACCGATGCATCCTATATGATGAGTGTTGCACTGACTGATGCGGTTACGGAACTTGAGCGAGCTGGATCAGTTGGACTATTGAAATTAATAGATCGTATGTATGATATGACGAGAAGTGTTGGAAACCACCCTGATGGACCTTTGCCCTAGCCCAGAACCGAATGATTCTCAAGGCTAGCGGCGTTGTGAGGATGGCGAGAGGTGAGGCGTATATCAGTAGGGAGAGTCAGTGGCCTTTGACTCGGGTTCTATAGACCAACCACGATAATACACGCATTTACAAGATGTCAATGGCTGTGGTTATCACGTAAATGAACAAGGATGAACCTGGTGTTCTTGCTGACTGAATGGGTGCATTGGGGTTGATCTCTAGCGACCAATGTCATGTTGGTGATTGAGGCGTGCCTTGATTAGTCGACCTGCTTCATACTATCTCAGGTAGGTAAAACGTGCCTTAGTAGGTTGGGGCTTCTGGAATGGCAAGCCGCTAAGGATCGAGACCTTCAGCACCCCCACCAAGCAATCCCCTCTGAAACAAAAGATAAGGTACGTATACACATATAAAATAAGGATCAAGATCAAACAGAGAAGAGCTATCCAACGGAGAACGGGGCTTGACCGGGGATAAAAGGGTCTAGACTGCGGGGTGTGAAGAGGGGGAATAAGCATAAGCGCGCCCTTAGCTACGATGCCGCGCGGGATGAGCCTTTTAGTAAGGCGGACTATAATAGCCAATGATTCCTTGGTATCAAGGAGACGAGAGACAACAGGGCTTGTTCTGCAGCTGAAGAAGGGATACGGAGAAAAAAGAAAAGAGAGGGAAAAAAAGAAAAGAAAATTAAGCGAGATCTGGTCTATATCGAGACCCGGTTGGCTGGGGGGAATATCAGCTCATACGCGCTTAAACTTGAGGCGAAGACGCCACTGTAGGAATGAATGCCCGATGCCTAACGTCTGGGTACAGGGCTACCTGCATGATATGTGATCAACATGATGAGATGAGGGTGATAATGATAAAACCAGGCACCGACCTTTTTGCTGAAATGGATTGCGGATTAACTAGTGTTGGATTGTGACTGTCTATGCGTATCTACCTTGTTCAAGACTTCTCAACTATTCTGTATTGAGAAAGTCTTGCGTGAAGGAGGCATTCTAGGCCGGCTGATGCATCAACCATAGCCCTGTCGTCGTATTAGTGTATGATGAGCCAAGCCGTGCCCCAATTCGATAGCACGGAGCGTACCGATTCTCGTTTCATTAAGATCCGAGAATATTCAAGGTGATGGATCATGATGTGGAGACTACAGATAAGCTTAATACTACCAGGTATGTGGATACATAGCCCGTGGAGAACTTTAACAGAGTCTAGTATCTCATGGAGACATATATCCGTATATACTTGGCTCTTACTATAAACGTTGCCGGCCGAGAATGCAGGTACAGGGGCAGATGTGACGGCAACACGGCTCGTTACCAAGAAACCTGTAAGAGTAATCTAAGACAATTCAACCTTGCACAGACCAAAACAGAAACGTCTCACGTGAATAGACGCTATCCGGGCTTAGTATTACTAACGAAGTACAATTTCCACATATGTTTGTGTAAGTCAAGTCGCCGAGGCATACCCAACAAGGACATGACGAGCGAGAGCCTATTAATAGCAAAAATACATGACATGCAGTTAGCCTTGGTAAAGTCTGACCCGGGAATTCGTATCTGGTTATAATAAACTTTGATACATCCATGCTGTTACCGTCAGGTCTATGTTATGGTTTGCGGCTCGGGCCTTGAACTCGGCCGAGAATGCGGCCAAAGAGTGGAGTTTAACCCCGGATTCCATGAGGGACTTGGATCCACTCAAAACCGAGGCACGTAATAGCACGCGCGAAACCTCCGACGGACCTTTCGGCTAATGACCCTCATTCTTTCTCCTGACAACTAAACCATCAAATACACCACTTCCCCGGATTATTTATATACTAAATCTATATCAACTTCAGCCCATCTGCTTGAACAAGATTTCATTCAATTTTTGCTCTATAATACACCCTCACCACGTCTGTAATTGAGTCGGATTGCAATGTCTGTTCCTGAGTCCGAGTATCTCAGTCCTGTCTGGAAGGATAGCATCTTCAGTCAGTTTCCCTCACAAGATCCCACTTGAACTAAAACGCTAACGCATATCAATGTATAGATGGACGCGTTGTCTTTGTCACCGGCGGCGCAGGAAGCATCTGCAGTATGCAAACCCGAGCATTAGTTCGTCTCGGCGCAAATGCATGCATCGTCGGCAGAAGCGTCGACAAGACTGAGAATGCGGCAAAGGAGATCGCAGCTGTTAGACAGGGAGCCAAAGTGATAGGAATTGGAGGCTGTGATGTTCGCAAGGTATGACGCGTGCATTCTCCTAACACTGATTATGCTGATGCTGACTCTCTCCAGGTTGAGAGTCTTCAGGCTGCTGCTGAGCGATGCGCGAACGAGCTTGGAGGAATTGACTTTGTCATGTAAGACCTCAACGTCTGTGAAATATTACTTGATTGAGTTTACTAATGCTTGTTGGTAGTGCCGGTGCGGCTGGCAATTTCGTCGCTCCCATAGAAGGACTTAGCTCCAACGCCTTCAAATCAGTGATGGATATTGATGTACTAGGAACCTTCAACACAGTCAAAGTCACTATGCCATATCTTCTGCGCAGCTCTAACCCTCGCATCATCTACGTCTCTGCAACATTCCACTACACAGGTATGCCACTCCAGGCACACGTCTCTGCCGCCAAAGCATCCGTGGACTCTATCATGGCCTCTGTCGCTCTCGAGTACGGACCAAGAGGCGTTCAGAGCAATGTCATCGCCCCTGGAGGTATTGAAGGCACCGAAGGTCTTGCACGGCTAGGAAGTGACGCAGAGAGCGAAAAGAAGAGATATGCTAAGAGCATCCCAATGGGTCGTGCAGGCACCGTAAGGGATATCGCAGATGCAACTGTGTTCCTGTTCAGCGACGCCGGAAGCTATGTTAGCGGACAGGTCCTGGCCGTGGACGGCGCTGCGTGGAGACGTCAAGGAGCCATGGGTGTTGGAACCGAGGCTGGTATGGAGTATCCTGATTATCTTCTCAAGGGAGAGTTTTCGCAAAACTTGCGAGATCCTCGAAAGACGGCCAAGGCAAAGCTGTGATGGTTGTTAGTCATTGTGGAGAATCGATAGAAAGGTGGTCATGATAGATGCTTCGATATTCAAGAGGGCTGGTATCTTATCATCAAGTTGGAGAATCGGAGGTGACGGAGATGTGCGTTCTGGGTCGATAGATAAACATCCGACTGGGAGACCCGCTTTGTGATGGCATCTCCGGGGAGAATACGGAAGACAATAGTCAGTAGAAGAAGTGTTTGTTTAGAAGATTCTTTTTAGGAACAAACCTATATTCCGAAAACATTAGAAAGTCGAGTTGCAAGTATTAACATATATCGAATCAACAGAATATGAATATTGAACACTTTTTACACCCCACAAAGTATTGGATATTCCCTATCTGTCTCTGTTATCTGGGAGCGAAAAAGAATCCGACGAGGCCAACAACCGATACAAAACGGGGATAAGACGGCACAATCGATCCGTCAATAGTGCCGCGACCCGACCGATATCCAATCAAATCCGTCTCCGATGGCCGTTTTGAATTCCTCTTCTCCTCTTCAAAAGTGCTTGAAAAAAGGCAATTGGTCAATTTGCGGTTTCCATCTGATTACTACCTGGTTGGGAGTTTGCATTAGTCTGCCGGTCAAGGAGGGGCAGCTACGCAAGCTGTCGAAGCTTGACCTCGACTAGGTAGAAATTGGAAGCTGGATGTCGAAAACCTCCACTTTACTTGGCAGGTCTGTCACGGAGAATTTGTATTGATTTGATGTGCAATTGGAACGAGATGAATCGAAACAAGAGGATACACTCAGTTGGACAGGATACTCTAGCCAAGACAACACACGACAGCCCTGTCAAATGTAACTACCGTTAGACAAATAACCTTTTACACGGAGACATCGTTCATGAATTGACTCAATATTAGCTCACTCTCAGGTACTCAAGTAACTAACTGTATGCATATCCATAACCTTGTAGTGGTTTACCCGCTCGACGCCGAATAACACAAGGCGGGGAACTGCCCGGCCCATTCATAACATTATTAGTATGTAAAACAATCTGGGTAATGATAAGACGATTACCCTGAGAGTATTTATACTCTCTTCTTTCCCAATCTCTTCGTCACGCCCTTGTCAGCGTTGGCTTATACTCAACCAAGCGTGAATAGCTTCACCAGTATCTACATCTAGCCAAGATGCACGCCAAGCTACCATCCCTCCTCTTCCTCTCCTCTCTCCCCTCCTTCACCCTCGCCGAGGATGTTTTAGGCCTGTACATTTTCCACCGTCATGGAGACCGTACCGCCAAGGCTTGGAAGCCCGTCAACTTCACTGCTCTCGGAGCCGACGAGGTCCATTCTTCCGGATCCTGGTACCGCGATACTTATGTGAGCCAAGATGCGCCCCGAAAGATCTCCGGCCTCAGCTCAGAGTCCGTGGCTCTATCTCAATTGGATGTAACCTCGCCCGTGGACGCCGTCCTCCAAAGCTCAGCTCTCGTCTTTCTTCAGGGTCTTTACCCTCCCACCCAGCAGACTGAGACTCTCGCCAATGGATCCAAGATTGAGGCTCCTCTGAGCGGATACCAGTACATCCCAATTGCTTCTGTTGAGACTGCTGCTAGCGATAAGCACTCCGAGAGCAACGCTTGGCTCCAGGGCAACAGCGGCTGCACCAACGCTGAGGCCAGCTCAAATGCCTACCTCTCTTCTTCCGAGTATGATCAGATCTACAAGGACACTGAAGACTTCTACCAGAGCCTTCTTCCCGTGATTAAGAAGACCTACGGCAAGGATGAGGCCAACTTCCGAAATGCCTACACGAGTACGTTAACGTTCTTTCCAGAAACCCATCTGCTTACACCTTGCTAACAAAACCAGTCTTTGATCTTATTAATGTTGCACGCATCCACAACTCCAGCATTCCCTCTGACGATCTTCTCAAGGAGTCCACTTTGGACAAGCTCTACAACCTCGCCTCTATTCACGAGTGGAACCTTGCCTATAACAGCAGCGAGCCTGTCCGTGCCATTGCTGGCTCCGTTCTCGGTGGCCAGATCATCGAGGCTCTTGAGCCCCTCGCCGAGGGCAAGAAAGCGCCCAAGGTGAACATCCAGTTTGGTGCCTACGCTGCATTCATGGCTTTCTTCGGCCTGGCTGGTCTCGACAAGGCCAGCTCTGATTTCATGGGCATCGTTGACTACGCTTCATCCATGGCTTTTGAGCTCGTTACAAACGCTACCAACCCTACCGTTGACGATGTCAGTGTCCGCTTCTACTTCGCCAACGGTACCGCTGCCGAGAACACCCCCAAGATTTTCCCTCTCTTTGGAGATGACTCTACCACCATCTCCTGGAAGGACTTTAAGGCTGGAATGTCCGAGTTTGCTATCGAGGACACCAAGCACTGGTGCAAGCTCTGTGGAAACACTGACGGCACTTGCGCCAGCAGCAGCTCAGATGACGACGATGACTCAGCTTCTTCCAGTTCTAACTCTGGCGGCTCAAGTGACGGTGTTTCTAAGCCTGTCGCCGGTGTAATTGGAGCTCTCGTCACGTTGGTAGTCATTATTGGTATCCAAGCAGCCGTTCTCCTGTTTGGTGGCTTGCGCCTCGTCAAGAAGTCGACTCTTGCTCCTGCTGATGCTTCGGCACCTGTTATGGTCAAGGCTTAAGGGAAGGACAGAGTTTTAGATAAGGAAGAAAATGTGTCCCATAATGATGCTATGATATATATACCAATATGATGGTTGCGTAAAAAATTGATCAATGATGTCCTGGGAGAACAACTTCATCTATCATGGCCAGAGATGTTGAAAAGGAGATGGGTCAAATAAACAGCCCATCATAGTAATTAATTATTAAATATTGCAAAAGAATTCGTCTAACGTTTCCAACTAAAGAATCTGTCCCAGGGCATTTACCTGAGACCAGTCATAGCAAGTAAATCGTGGCGATAGTAATAGGCTCGTACCCGCTTGCCATATATGTCTAGAGGGTGTTAGTGAATAGTTAGGTCACGTATCGGAATAAGAGACCACTTACACATGGGAATGCTTAGTAGGCACACGCCCACTTGAATCGAGGCGATTGATATCATTGTCCGTTCGATACCGCCGTTGTTGATCCAATTATAGGCGAAGAATGTCAGCATAAAGCTGAAGAAGTTCTTGAATATGATCATGATTGTGAACCCTTCGATAGTCAAGTCACCTAGTAACAGGTTAGCAAACAGAAATGCGACATTTGCTAGAACAACATACGGTATGCGTCAACGATATATAAGGAACTGGCTACAGCACCAATAACCATCCCTGCGACCTCGAAGCCGAAAAAGATCAAAGGCACTTGGTACGGATATTTCTTCTCTATCACACCGGGAGCTGTTAGAGCAAAACCGTATAGACCAATGCCACCAATGATCATCATTGGAATGACAAGAAGAATACGGAATTCGGGCTCATATATGCCTTTGTTGAGCTTAGTCAAATATTTCACGCTTGTATCGGCAAGAAGACCTGCCAGAACGAAACCTAAAACAGCGCCGATGAAAGGACCTGTGTAAGTGTAGCCAGCATCGACTTCACCCCAGTAGTAAGGAGGACCGATGAATATCGCGGCCACAATGACTCCAATGAACACGGTCCAACCAATCATGGTACCCTGGATAAGGCAGCCCCAGATGAACGCTGGGTGAGTGAGGAGAGGAAATGGTCGTAGCAGAAGCACCCAATATCGCTCGTCCGTTTTCCGGCCGTCAAACAACGAGATTGACTGAAGAAAGGTCTTCTTGGGAGTGGTGGAATTACCAATAGGCTGAAGAGCATTCGACCTGGGAAAGAATGTAAAGCCTGGCGCATGTTGGTCGAGTTCTTGAGCCGTTGCTTCCCCGGACTCTCGTTGCGGCGGCGGAGTTTGACGTTTGTCTTTTGTCGTCAATTCTATTCCAAGTTCGCCAGTGGTATCAGTGTTCAGGCTTGCTTCCCGTCGGTATGCGGTCTCGGGACACAAAAAGAAGACGGCCGGCAGGGTAGCGGCAAGAAAGATTGCCACGAAGTAGAATGTCCATTCCCATCCCATTTCATGAGTGATCTTGCCCACCAAAATAGGCGTGAAGAAGGCACCGCCAAAAACAGCCAGGTTGGTAAAAGCCATACGAACTCCTCGCTGGTGAACAAAGTAGAGATCACCAACAGCCGCATTGAGAAAACTCTCATATGGCGCACATCCTACGCCTTGCACGATTCTGGCACCAATAAAACTCTCATAATTTGTCCCAACAGCCCCAGCCCATGCGCTCGAGGCGATAATAATAAGTATACCGATGAGGAACAGGTGTCGCTTTCCCCAGATGCGGCCGGACGGAACGAAGAAAATGGCACCAGCACCACATCCCAGCAAAAAGTATCCTGTCAAAAGCGCGACCTTGGTGAAGTCTTTGGCGAAGAGGAGAGAGATCGTGATGGTATTGGCGGCGAGGATGGGACCGAGAGCAGTAGCAAGGATGCCAGCGAAGCAAAGGAGGAAGGTTATGAAGTCGCGTCGCAATAGCGACCAATTCAGCGGATCGTTTGGATCATCGGAAGGTTGAGGGATCTGAGATTGGTGTCAGCTTGAGCGCAACAGGTACAGGAGCCACTGAAACGTACTAGAATGATGGTATCATCTCCTACTCTGGCCCGCTTGAGATTTCCGTGCTGCTCATTAGCTGTTTGGGGTTGCGACGGGTCGTCAAAGTATCGTGTTGTGCCTAGGGGTAGATGGCGAGTTAACTCATCGTGTCCAGTTGGCATTGACGCTGGGAGGCAATCCCCCGCATCATCAATGATATGATTGCAAATACATACCAGGAACATGCTCGATGTCTTTGGCCTCGAGAATGCCTAGGGGCATCTTGAACTCGAAATACCGATCTAAGACTGGGGACCGTGGAATACTGTAGTAATGTGGAGCGGCGAATATCACGTCATGAAGTCGTACACGACTCGACTGTAGTTGGCAATGGTACTGTAGGCGACCTTTGAAAGTAAGAGACCTTTCTCCGAGGCAAGATTCGATAGGTTTAGTCTCAGTCGGTGGCTTTTCAGAATGATATTGTCAAGTCGTCAACTTTTTACGTAGTAGTTAGAGATGATCAGTGCCAGCACCAGAAGTGGATGGTGGATGTGAGATTCGCGCAGTAAATATGGGGGTGGAGATGGTCCGAGTGTTCCGCTTGTTTCTCCAATTGCCGTGATTAAATGACTGGGGTACAGGGACCAGTCCAGTGGAATACCACCTACAAAGTTAGAGAGACTGCAGATCAGAGAGTAATTCTTCCAGGATTTTCATCCTTCTCCATGCCTCCTGTCCCCTCATTTGCTGTCCATACTTGTTGGCGAGCAGGTGACAGGCAATGTATGTACCAACGTCAATTTCCAATCGCAAACACAGTATCATTGTACTGTGATAATGCAAAAACAACGGGCGATCAGGTTGATCTACTTCTGCTACAAGCCAATATTATCCCATTGTGTAGATAATTGGACATGGATAGAACCTTCGGTTATAGCGACGTGGGATTTACACAGTATATTAGTTTGATCTAATGGAATGGTTGAGCGGCTTTGTCTCAATGGCACACCGAAGAAGTAATGCCTTAATAACAGGTATTTAGTCTATTAGAAAGTTTTCCTCCTTTGATTGCAATCTTTCCTAGAGCCATTCACTTGCCCAGTCCCACCTCAGTAGGGAGGTAGGCACGGTGCCTAGTTCATCCAGGGAGGCGCCCAATAGCCAATATCTTGTGAGACAGAAGTTGGCTCAAGCTCCCAAGTTCAAGAGGTTGGTTTGTCGGTAAGGCAAGAGCTCCTGTGGGTCTTTACGGGAGAGGGAGGCACTTGCCGTACGTTTAAAGCAGGAACAGACCAGGATCTATCGTACCTTCTTTGCTCGCTAACTTAGGTATATAGTGCTATTGCCAAGAACCATTGGTCACTACCCAAAATGAATGATCTCCAGCTCAAGTACTGAATACAAGCAACACGGCATGACTTTCGAATCTCTTGGAATCCAAAACAATTACGAATAGATGACGAACGGCTATCACGAATCCTCCTCCTATTCTGATCAAAGTCTACATTCTTCATCAACATCCTTGTTTCGTACCGAGGCAAGGCATTGAGCTTGGTATATGCCATTACAGGGGGCATGGCCCTTGTCTCGGGCAGCCCACAGGCGGCCCCGAGGATCCATCGTTGGATTCTGACATTCGTCGCTTATTCGGAGAAATCCTCAGCCATGTCTCGATCGCTCCGGCACGATCCCAGCTTAATGGAACTCTACTCGCCAGAAGTCATGTCAAGGGTGCAAACACAAGCCTCTATGCACGCTGGGCGGTTGTCTCACGGTCTCCGTGCTTGCATCTTTGTACTCTGCCACTAGGAGAACGAGCGTCACAACGGCTTTTTGCTTTATACCAAGTTAAAATCAACAAACGCATCGGCATGTCCCTTTTCAGCGTTGTGTGCATTATCTCATACGACATATCATTAACCTACTTAGTTTTTTCGACCTCGGCTCTGGGTAGCTTCAGTTACCGCCATCCGCCTACGATTATGGGAACCACCAGGATGGTGGCATCACTAATTCTACCCCCAACAAGCATTTTATCGTATGTTTGTGAAACCGTCTGTCTCTCTGTGTGTGGAGCGGAGCCAACCATGAGGATCTGTGTTCTTAAAATAAGAAGAGCTTGTTTCTTTTCATTCAAAGATCAACAGGCTGAGGCTGGCTGCCGGAGATCCAGCAAGACTTCGCCGAGACAGCCTGCAAATCAATTGTTGACATCTTTTGTTGGATCGATGATCTGCTGAACTAATGATGCTTTGGTAATACCTTGCTCAGCTGAGCAACACTCGGCACTTCATGACAAATCCTCTACACAACATCATGGTTGGCTTGAGGTTTATCCTAAGCTCCAATCCCCTGCATATCACGGCTATCGTCTGGCTCAACCGAATATTACAAGTCTTTTCTTTTGTCGTTTCAGCAGATGTAAACCTGTCGATCATGTCCAATTCGGGCATTGCAGGAACTCAGCCTTATTGCAAGAGATGCTGAGAAAAGAATGTGCTCCAAATGCTCTCAAATCCAGAAACTCAGAGTATGGAGAATCGTTAAAAAAGACGGCATGGATAACGAGCACGTTGCTCGATGAATGCCATAAGGTTTTCTCCAATTTGACAGCCTCTCCCGCTATCGGGTTTGGAGAATGCCCATCAACAGTAGACGCCATTTGCGGATGGTTATTTAGCTAATTGGGATCAACCCAACGGTCTCTGGCTATCGGGATTGTGCCACAGTGTCACATATGCACATAAGGTTCTGCCATTATAGGGGTGGGTAGTGGCGGCCGCATCGCCATTCGTCACATGGATCATCTGCAGCGCGAGGGTGTTGTGCGCCAGATCGGAGCTGTAGCGAGCCTATAGGCAGGGAAATTTTTAAAGTATGCATTCATCGGCTCAACGCGACACAAAATGACGGCGCGATTGTAGACCCTGTAACACAGCATCGTTAATAGGGTCAGGCATGTACGGACATGGCTGCAGGGAAACGAGAAACTCATTTGCTGGTTGTTTGACTTACTTCTTTCCCTACCACCTGGTACGCTAGACCATGTGGGAACCGAGAAGGACGATCGCAAATCATCTCGTCCAGTCACAATTAGCAGCGCAATTGCCAAAGGGATGGAATTGAGGGTCAAGCACGACTCTCCTAGCCCCCACAAGATATCTCCCAGTGGAGTGGTCACCAGCTCCAGACAGTCGGTGCAGATTATGGACGATCATGTACCAAGGATCTGGCTGTGGCGGCAACAACAGGGGCAACAAGAGCACCAAACGAAATAAGGTCAAGTTAAACCGTGCGCCTAAGAAGATGGGAGCTTCTAACGTCGTTCGCTGTAGGCTTGATCGATTTAGGTGCTTGGTGGATGCGCTCGCGCGTATCGATCGGGTGTGGGTGGGCTCTAGATCTGGAAGGCTGTCATGAGGGAACCACCGTCGGAGAGGGAAGCTCGACCCCCGGCCCGTTGTGAGATCCAGCAATGACGTTCAGCGGCATGCATGCAAACCCATGGTCTTTAGTGACGACACATACGGTACAGTATCGAGACTTCATGGTGCATAGCCAAGCTCATGGCACGGTGTGGTGCAATTAGCGGTGCGGTCTCAAAACGTGTACGGTACGGTACCGCACCAGCTGTGTGGTGCTAAACTCTTCAGAACCATAATGAGACAGGACAAGACGTTGGATTATCTTGATACCCTCCATTTCCCTTGCCTCACACCGTCCAATGGCTATCGAAAAGGGGCCTTTTTTTTTGTCTGCACTGACGGATTTGCGACCGCTTCTAGCACTGGAACCTGACGAGCTTTGATTTCACCGAAGTCTTGTATTATTTGCTACCCTCGTCTCTGTCGGAGCCGGGCTTCGCTCCGGTTCGACTTCTGTTCACATCCTGCCAGTCCCATTTTACGAATCTTTTCTCCGCGCCCTTGCTCCTCCCGTGCACTCTGAAAAACTCTCTCCTAAAAGATGTCTTCTCGAATTCTGACTATAAGGCGGCCTCTTTAGCCTCCTGTCATTGTTAAATCCTCGATGTTCCCTGCACACTTGATTGAGTCAACTAGCCTTCACACTCACAACAGAAACACTAGCAACGCAACCACACAACATCCCTTCATCCCAGAGACCGTCATCACGTACCCATTTAAACCCCAGTCTTCTCTTGGACATCCGCCTAGACTTAGTTGTGCGTGCGTGCGTGCGTGCGTGCGTGCGTGCGTGCGTGCGTACTCTTGTCCTGCCCCCCCAATAATTTATTTCCACCCGCGCCCGGGAGCTTCACAGAACTGTCGCAACATAGTTCATCCCCGACCAAGGCCACCAAGGAGCTAAACGCTCTGCCAACTTTTGTTTCAAGGCACTGCACTTGTACTCAATGGAGCTAAACGGTTACACTCGGAAGTTTAACTCATATTAACCAGCTTATTAGAGCTGCGACACTTCCATTCCCGTTTGTCACACTCATATGTGAGCATCGGCCTTGAATACCCTCCAAATATGGACCTAGGACCATCCTCGTCCAGCACCGTCTCACCTGGACCTGGGCCGCAGACGAACCGAAAAGAGCGCGGCGCTATTGCTGCTCAGGTACGATATTTTCTTCATCACATTTTGTCTCTACGCAATGTTTCTATAAGCCCTTTTCGCGAGCACGTCGTTTTCGCTCCTCCCAATTCCACCTGTTGTTTGGCTGCAGTCTTGTTAGACTTAGACGCCGACCCCTGTGTTAACCCTGCCATATGCTCTGGGCAAATACCCTCGCACTGAGCTCGTTACTTCATTTCCTCTTGTTGCCTTCTTGGACTGAGTAAGCACCTGTCTTCGAAACGAATTAACTAACATGCTTAGGCTTGCGAAACGTGCCGCAATCGAAAGCAGAGGTGTGATGAACGAAGGCCTAAGTGTGGTACATGTCAACGATTCAAACTCGAATGCCGATACAGAGAACCTCAACCTACAAAGTATGTTTACATAAAAATCCGAGGAAGTGACAAGGATACCGCGCCTGGCCTTTTTATGGCGATACCGCCGTTGTTCCCTTGGCCGCCGAATAACTCGATTACAAAACGCTAAACTCCGTCCATAGGAAGGATAAAACTCTAGTTGAGATTCTAGATCGACTCAAAAGTGTTGAAAGCAAGATTGAACACATAGGATTGCGGGAAAACACCACCCCTTCCATTTTCAACACTTCCCAACCCTCTGGTGTTTATCCCAACACACCACTGTTGGTCGATCCCGAATCGCAAGACTCTCTCCCAGGGACATCTATTCCCCCTGCGAGTCCAACGCCCAGCCGCGATAAAGGCGGCTACCGATATGACTCCTCGGTGTCCAAGGTATCGGAATGGCCTGTTGTGCGCCACATGTTCGAACGCCTTGGACAGAAGCCCCCTTCACCAGTAGGTGAAATACCTATGCTTCCGCGGGGCCTACGCGAGTCCACTGTTACCTTGCCACTCGATGGACTTCAGCTAGTCGGGATATCAAGCAACAGCACACTGCAGTTACCCTTGCACTTTTCGGCTTCCGCATCTTCTCTAAACCATAGCCCCCCCAGTGTAGACTGGGAGACGGTACAAAGACTAAGCAAAGGATATTTTGATGTCGTCAATACTTTCTATCCCATACTGGACAGGCAATGGTTCAATTCAAATACCCTGGGCTCAATCATCAGCAACGGCTTCCACGAAGGGATAATACCAAGCCTTGTACTCCTCGTTCTTGCCCTTGGGGAGGTGGCCCTCACCACATCCGAAGTATCTATCTCAGCCTACAAGCAGCGGCCATCTGGGATCAAGGGGGGAACTATCGACAGACCACCTGGCCTCTCTTACTTCAACGAGGCACGGAAAAGGATGGGGTTTGCTTTAAGCGAGGTCAGTCTGGAAAATGTGCAAATGCTCGCGCTTGCTGCCATATACTACTCAAGCTGCGGGCAAGCTCTTGTTAGTATCATCGTTGAAACTCTTGAGATTTACCCTAACAACCTTTTTAGGAATGTTGGAGGATGACTGTGTCTGCTTCCTCAGCCTGCCAGGCCTTGATTGTAAAGTAATGAGACATTTTGTTAGTTGTCAAGTTGATGTTGTCTGACCCCGATTTACAGCAAACCTACCGAGCTTCATGGTCTCCGATCAGATTTGGTAAAAAGGATATTTTGGCACTGCTCAATCATGGAGACGTGAGTACTGAATTCCTGCTTTGAGGTATTAACTAACAAGATAAAAGTTGCTTTCACATGGAATTCGGTTTACCCTTGACCGGATTAGACAAGTTGGAGGAGACAATCGGTCTCCCTGACTTTAATGGACAGATTACTGACGAGGACTATATCACTAACCAGGCTACGCACTTCCAGGAGCATTTTGCGTCTCAGATTGTGCTTCGCAGGCTCTCTGCGAACTTGCATTCTGTCCTCGACAAGAGTAGGCTCAATAGCATTCAGCCCCTGGCGCGACATTTGGCTAATCTATCTCAGCGTTTGGTCCAGACGTATCCATATCCTTTCCAGGGTTCGGACACTTCAACGGCGCCTCGAGTCCCGGCAGTGCGACTGTTATGAAGCAGCTCGATGCGCAACTCGATCAGTGGAGAGGCATGTTGCCCAGCCATTTGAGATGGCAAGACAATCAGGATTTGACATTTTCAGATCCTTCACAGGGTGCTTTCAATGATGTTTATGCTGGGCAGTCTCTGCCTAGTAGTTATATGTTCACGCCAGATCTTGACACGCAACCAGCAACGTATCCATTTGTAGCCGATATACATGTTGCAATCCTTCGGACACGATACAGCTACAACAAATATCTCATATACCGCCCCTGCATCTACAAAGTCCTTCACCACCCGGATAGTGTGACACAGGAAGATGCCGAAGGTGCGGCCGAATGTCTCAAAGCGTCACTCAAATGGCCCATCGCCCTATCGCCCACCTGCACCAACAAGCGACTTATACCAATGACTTTCTTCTGGTCCCAAAACCTCTTTGGAGTTCTGGTGCTGTTGCATCTTTCGCAACAGCACCCAATCATGGTGCGCATTCGATCATCGCTCTGCGGGCAACGCTTCGACGTTGAAGCCTCGCAGACTGTTACGACATACTTGGATTGGCTACGCGACATGAAAAAGATAGACTCAACGGCGAACTGGTGCTGGAATATCATTCGCCTAGTCTATCGACTGGACGATTAAACGACAAAAATACAGGCTCACTGGCAAATAGTGACAACATAGAGCGAGGCTGCATATTAGACTTTGCGGATCAGGTCACCAAGCGAAGTATCGGTTGTTTCTTTACAGCCGGGAAAATGAATGGTTTAATCCTGTTGGTTAGTGTGTGCTCTAATAGTTCGAGTTAGATGTTACGGAGAAGTTCATGGGATACGTGTTGATCACGTTTTTGGAGGAGAGAAAGAGAATATTAGTATTTAATACCCAAGGCGGATAAGCGCCTCTTTTGATTTGATTTTCCCGGATTCACTCTACAATGTTTCGGCTGCTATATGGACTCGTTGGATTGATACTGTTCTGCTTGTCACTGGATGAGCCAGCCTCCAGAAGTAGACAAAACTCACTCGGTCTCTCGACATAACTATGCGGCCCCTCAAAATTACCAGCCCATTGACACGTTCCCTGGTCGAAACTCTGACTTTGTGATGGTAGAGTTGTCAAATCATTCTCACATCTCTCAGCTACAGCGTGCAATTAGCGAGCTTCTGGACATCTGCAGCCGCAACCGGTTTCGGCTGATAGCAGATCTCAATGACAGGGAATAATAAGGTATGGATAAGAACTTACACCATTATGACGTGATTTCTAACCACGAGGTTACTTTAGCGCCAGACCTAACATTAGATATCAAGGAAGTCTGTTGTGTGTGTACTCACTTCCGAATCAATAGTCATGGATAAGAATAATTGCCATAATATCGTAGCTAAACATCAAGAACCCTCAAGAGGAAAGGCGGCAGCACTACGCCTGCTTCAGTTATATGACAAGTGACAAAAAAAATCTGTGACAGGTGTAATGGACGTGAGAAATCACCAAGAAATACCACTGTTTCTTCTGCCTAAAAGCGTCTACCCAATCAATCAAGCTGCGACGCCTGTGCAAGATCACTTCCGCCGATCGCCAAGCTCAGTTCTGCACCCTTTTCAGGTCTCATCTCGTACTAGTCTAGTCTAGCTTTCCCGTTCTTGTGGCCGATTGGGTATTCGTGATTTATGTAAATACGAACTCATCGTCCGTTCTAACCCATGTAGGAACAAACTTCCCAGTTTTTTCCAAAGCCATTCTTAATCTAGGCACTGTTGGCGCAGTGAAGAAAAACCTTCTTTATCCTTATTTTCTCACAGGAGCGGGAACACGGAACGGGCCGAGCAAGGGTCTCGCCAATCATTGTTGGCTTTGGCGTTGGACGCGCTTTTCCTTCTCAGGATTTGCGTTAACCTGGTCGGTCAGTGACCTTAGCTTTTAGTGAAAGCGGATTGTGTTGGTTAATGTTTATTGAATGTATCTTTGTGCCGCAGCAATAGAAGGCGACATAGAATTGCGTCTGACAAATAGACGAATGCTCAAAAAGGCCCGGAAAAAACAATACCTTTACCACGAATCGAGATAAGCCCAATCTTCTGTCCTCGTATGTTTCATTCCACCGTTGTCGCATAAACGCGCGGAAGTAAAGTTCCGGCAATCGACAAGACACCATAGACGCTCGGTTAGATCGTCCGAGATCGATAGTCACGAAATTGATTAAACTCTACTGAAGGGACTGTATGATGCTAACCAGACAAGGTAATGGCCAAACTCTAACATTTATTTGCCCTACATCATCTGGTGGTTTTTCACGATCTTCAAAGTCTAACACTGACTTCGTCCTCCATCCCTCCATCCCCTCCATTCTAGGTCTAACAATTTTCAACCTTGATTTCACCAGTAAGAATAGTTCTTCGCCCGCTTTCTTGAATCCTCGACAGCATCGAAAAACGGCTGGTCAGTTTGAACACCGTGCCCATTCGCGTTCGAGTTGCCCACGGCATCCATGTGACGCACCATCCGTATTGCGGGTTCACATATGGCTCTGAATGTACCATGACGCTCCAGACTGTCAGGGGACCAGCTGGTTTTCTCGCCAAGTTCGAGCCCGACATTCTCCTGCAGTTCATGCTCGGCTGTGACCGATGAGATTGTAGCCTCAAACCACTGGCCAACCCGTCCACTTCCGGGCAAAGCCACTGGTACAAGCTGGCCTCGATACAGTTTCTGGGTTGCATTGAGGAATCTTTCGACCACACGAACCATGTTAGTTGTAAGGTAACTTGACCCCTTTGCCCCGTTTCGGTACTTGGCCTCATGATGGACCCTGGCTCGATTGATACACCATTTCGTGGCATCTTTTGGCTCGACATGGATGACAATTTCTCCTATTTCGTTTGTCCTTAGAGGTTAGTACTTTCTACCGACTGGATATGTAGGTTTCGGGACTTACTTGATGTCCAGAGACTGGACCAGCGATGCAGCAAATTTCTCAAACTCCTTGGTGACTTGCGCCATGTCCCTATGTACAACACTGAGCTTAACATCCCATGCATGTTGTACGCAGTGAATGAAAGCCTGGGACGTCTCTCGTGGCAAAGGAAGGCACTCATGAGTGAACGTATCTGCATCGACGTTCACAACAAGCTGTTTTGGGGGGTGGGTTCCATCTTCTTCAGTGCAGACAAACTCATAATACACCCGTTTCTCCGTCAATACCCATGGGACTCTCCCGCCTGTGATATGTGGAATCAAATTGGCTTCTGTGGCGATAGTTGTAAGAATCGGATAGAACTCCACGTGGGGATTGTTGTCGTTCAACCATTTGGCTTTGGCACCGATAAACTCGAAAGGTCCGTTAGGAGAGGGGTTCAAGTAGACTTCCGCAGGGGGGATGCCTTTGATACAAACCCTACCGAACTTGGCCTGTATACTGACTCTTCCTGGGACTGCCTGAAAAACCTCTATCAAGTCATGCAACTTTTTTTCTGCGTCGAAACTGACTTTGACATACCCATCGTTATCCATTGTAATTTCGGGTGTATCCATTCCTGGCACGACTTTGACTCGCACGTTCTGCCCAAAGTCCATATCATTATGCTCTTTGGCTGCAGCATTCTTCCTTGAGGCGATATCAGCCCATGAACTTTCAGGGGCGGCTTTCTGGTTCATCGTGTTGAAGAAATGTTTCAGCTCATCGCTTTGTTTACCGAAAACAACCTCAGAATCGGTGACCGGAGGGCTTTGGGTAGTATCCGCACCGGATAGTGCAACTCGATCCGGTACGAGGGTTGTATAATTAATAGGCCCATCGAACATATCCATCAAATTCTGTCCGGGCCCTTCTTGTGATTGAGATGAGTCTTGGAAGTCAATCAACTGAGGATGATTGGGAGAAGACGTCGGAAAAGGTACAACGTCTTCTTCATCATCATCCACCTCGGTTGGAGCTTCAGGGGGTTCGTCGGGCTCAATATCACCCAGCCATATAGCCACAGACTCGCGATATTGGAGTAGAGATTTGAGCTCATCTTTTCCTTTTTGAACTGCCCGTGTATTCTTTAGAGCTTTGGGCTTTCGTCTAGAAGAATGAGCCGAGGAATTCTTGTCGATAGCTTCTTTAACAATGTTCGGAGCACAACGTGCCTCCGCGGCGGCGAGTTGCTTCTTGCTTATTCCGGGCTGCTCCGTCTGGAAGCACTGCAGCGGCCGCTTCTGATCCTTGACAGCTGTTGTGCCGGACCGCTTGTTGCCATAGGTGTACCCTTCGAAAGGATGAAAGTCTGTTTGCTTGCGCCCGGGAGCCTTAGGCTCAGCAGTTGGGTATGTCGTGCTATCCGGGATTGGTAAACCTTTGTTGTTGGCGACTCCGATTCTTAGAGTCACTGCGCCTGCAATGCGTTTGTACTCGTCGTCCAGATTGGAGCACTCAGGATCAACATATGTCATCTTTGACAGGCCGACATGCGTTGTCCAGACATAGCACACTCTCACTGGCTCTTGCTTCTCAGTATAGATGAGGTGCGAGGTTGTGGCTGAAGGGGGATTCTGAGACTGTCAGAGAATTGCAACCTGGGATGGTGATAACAATTACCATGAGGCTCGCGAATGTGTTGAGTTTTCTCGTTGCAGCATCCAGTGCACTCAGACCCTGGTCAGTTCCAATGTAGCATAGTGAACCCTGGAGATTATGGGATATTCGGCAATTTGTAAGTTCTCCCAACGTTTTGATACCATCGGGACCAAGTGATGCTGGTAGTAGAAGCTGGAATTTGGAAAGAATTCGGGAGACAGTAACTCTTTCTAACCCCTCTGGGCCTTGCCAAGTTCTTTTGTGAGGTAGATGCTTAATATGGTCGGGGTACTTGAAAGGGTCGTACTGTTCAATGATATCTGCTGAAATGTATCGGAGCGACGGGTAAGGAATAACATGAGGTCTTTCTGTCAGCACTTGGATATCAGGCCGAACTTTAGGATCAAGACAATTGGCATCGTCCTGATCTTCGTCTTGATCTCCGCCTTCATTAATCAAGCCGACCTCGGTTTCGAGTAGTTGGTATAGGCGCTTGTGCATCCAACAAGTAATCGCAGGTTGGTCTTGAACAGCGGAAATGAACTTAAACCAAGAGTTCTCAGGCTCATACAGAACCTCAAGGATCGTCTGAGAAGTGGGAATAACATATAAGCAAGTATCCTGGGAACTTTCTTCTCATCACGTACCTCTCCCAAGTCATTTGTGACATCTGCGATAACGGACGATACACCGACAGGAAGTAACGGGGGGTTGCAAGAAACGTAGAACTCGGAAAATCCATCCATGGTTGTAAACTCTAGAGTGTGAAATGATTAGAAGAGGAGAAATATCATTGTGGTGGGTGATTCGTGCAGGTGAGAGGTTAGAGAGAAGAGGGCGCAGAGAGGAAAGAAGAAGAAAGAACAGTAAAGAAGAGCCGATTTAGATGGAAGGGCGAGGGAGAAGGGCAGGTAGGCAGGTGCACCTTCCCGTTAGCACCTGATGCTGGGCGGCAAGCAGCAGCTCTGGCACTGACAAAGGCAAGTGGCAATGCCACTCCGTGTTTGCCTTCCTTTATGCCTGAATCAGGGGAAGAGCCAGTTAGTGAGTAAACCACTGATGGTAAGGCACCCCGATAGATTGAGAATATGCGTCAATCAGAAAGTGATAGCACCGCAAGTCTCAAGAGAAAGGCGCAAGCCAGGTATAATGTTGTGTTCGGGGATCAGAACGTCAATAGTACAGTATCTATCGAAAGTCCAATTGACGCGCATGATACTAAACGATACAGGAATAGGGATATGTTGGCTTCAATATGTTATAAATTTGTGATTGTATTATGTTTGTGGTATATTAAATGTAGAAACCAAGATGAGCTAGCTGACCTTCTGTCCTCCCAACTGGTTACAATAGGAACAATTTGCAAGAAACATTCTCTTCTTCTTTTCTATTTCCTGTATTTTGTCTTTTATTAACATAACGATGCTGAGTTTCTATGTCCTTTGAATGTGGCTTCCTTTCTTGATCGCGGAGATACCAAGACTCGATCCGAGTGCAAAAAAGCATGCCCAACACCAGTAACACCCACAGCCCGCCAATTCCCATGGTTCAGACCAGTAACTAAAATTGTGTCACACAGATGTGATTTAAATCCAGCGTATATTTCCAGTCCATGTGTTTGTGAAGAAAAGAATAAGAAAAGCAACCGGGGAATGGTATCGAAGCGACGGCGGTTCATCAAGTGTTCGTAGGCATAAAAGTTGTGAAGCTATCAAGGAGCTTCGGTATGGATAGACTGGAGTCCAGCCAGTCGAGAGATGAGGTAGAATTATAGATATGGTTGGATTACACTTCTTGTGGCAAAGGTTACTGAGATGAGTTGCAGACACCATTTGCCGGTGAAAGGTGTGGAGAGGTAACTTATTGTGCGCCTTTAACGTTCTTCTTAACGTTGAGTGCCCATTTAAGCTTATCGAGTGTTTCTTTGGACGCTAGTAGTAGGGCTTCTTGCTCGTCTTCTCTCAATCTGGCGTTGGTCTTGATGTCCTTGAGGTCTTGCTCTTGCGTTTTCTTATATTCTTCGAATTTGCGAGCGATCTCCTCTTTTTCATGCCGTAGCTGCTTGATGTTGCCGTCTTGCTGGTCGCATAGATCTCTTAATGTTTCTATTTTGTCGTCGTCTGCTCGTCGTTCTGCGTTGAGGTGATCTATTTCTGATTTCATCTTGGTAACCGCTCTTTTAACTTCCTCGCCTTGGTCTTGCCAGTGGGAGGAAATGGCGTTGTAGCGGCCCTCCATCAGCTGCGCATAACTAGTTGCTTCTTCGACTTGAACTGTTGCGTCCTTTGTCGTCTTTGTCATTTCATCCCTCCAGCTCTTTTCACGCAGCAGAGCTTCTGTGGCCTTTTTCTTTTCAAGCTCGACGGTTGCTTGTAGAGTCTCGACCTGACGTTCCTTTCGAGCAAGAAGTGTCTTTGTGACGTTGGCCTCGAGCAATCGACTTTCGTAATCGCTGACCATTCGTTCGAGCTTGTCCTCTAGTAACTTGGCGGCTTGCTTAGCCTCGTCGGCTTTTAGACGTTCGATCTTGATGTCGCGCTTCAGAGCCTCGTTGTCGCTGACGAGCTTGTTTATAACTCGGCCAGTTTTTCCAAGGCCGGCTTTGCCTATTGTTGAGTCCCATTGACCGTCTACAGCTTCGGCGCCTTCTGACATGGTGGGCCTCTCTGAATCTGGTGTGGGCTCTATTACGCGCGCTGCGCTGGTGCTCCAGCGCGATGGTGTTGTGTTTGCGTTGTTGGGTTCGTGTTTGGCTTTAACGGGAGTATGTGTGTGGTCGTTGAGATCGGGATTGGAGTGGGAATGGGACACTCCGCTGGTGCTACTGTTTACGCTGCTGGAGAAAGTGCTGTGTTTGCTTTCAGGACTGGATTCGGAGCCGTCAAAGCTGCGGACACTTCGGATTGTGCTTGACCTGGCGACAGCCGGTTTGTAGGTGGCAGGACTCCGGCTTTTCATGCTGTTGATGGAGCCAGTAGAGACGGGAGTTAAGGTCTTTTCCTTGTCAGATGAAGGAGCATGTGGATCTGTCAAATCGGCTGCAAGTGTGGCTGCGGCTGATGGTAAATAGTGATATTAGCGTTGTTGAATATGATAGTAGCTTTTAACAAAGTGGAAGAAAGTAAGGAGAGAAAAGGGTAGAAAGGTCGGTATCTAGTAGAGTGAGACAGAATACGAGACTGAAATGAGAAACTCCAGCCAAGCCTTAAAAGACGATACGCGTAGGGGACGAGAAGATGGGATGAGAACGCAGTTGAGCCCCGGCTGAAGATGTGGGGAGCTGTTTCAAAGTGGAGGCTAGAATATTCAATTGAAAGCATAGGCAGATAGAAAAAAGCATGCTGATTAACTTTAACCACTATGCATACTTACCGGTGACTGCGTCTTTGTGAATTGAGAATTCCTTTTGGAAGAGGCGGTTTCGCATTGCAATGACTGGCAAATGGAAGGTGCTGTTGCTTGGGCAATGAATGCTGCAGAAATACAAGGGATGTGGCCTGGCAGAGAGGTACAGCAAAGCAAATACAAGCAAAAAGTAAGGCAAAACAAAACGAGGCAAAGATTACACTGCAGCTTTAGGACAATTGACGACTGCAAACACAGACAAGCGATACACACTAAAGTATTTAGTGTAGGGAATCAAGAAAAAGCGACCCTGTGCTTCTTTTTGTCTTTGTTTTGGTTAACAAGGGAGGGATAACTTGACTTATTTCTAATTACCTCCACTTGATATAAGGAGTACGTACCAGTCATCTCCCGACTGACTCCCGCTTGGTCCCCATTTATTAGACCGTTACAGTACCGTTGAGATGGAGGGACGGAATACGGAGACGCAGAGTGTTGGGTCAGCCTGATGAGCCCGCTGATATTTTGGGGATGATCAGCGTCACTAAGTAAATAAACAAACAAACCAGAGGAACAAAGAGATGCATTGCAACAGCCTAGTAAACGTCATGGCCAAGGGATAGACGGTCTGTGTGATGGCACAGCAACTAAGTACGAGCTACCCTGCTGCTAGCTAACTTAATCATGGCACAAAACATCCATCACTCAGGACTGGATGTTTATATGCAGTTTCCAACTCTGCGACGCCCAGAGCTTCTCTTAAGACCCATGGACCAATAGCGAAACAACAGTACTAATTCGAGTGCATGGGTATTTAATTGGTTTCATGCAAGGCGTATTCCAAGCCCGACATTGATTATAGATACAGCAAGGTATTAACAAGTTACGGAAACCAACATTGTAATTGGAGCAACGTGTTAAATGGCGTTATAAACTGTCTTGCACCTTCATGAGGTCGCAATAATGCTTGGTATTCATCTAATCAGTACCATTGACCTTAACCCTACTAATCTACCCTTGAACGCCTTGGAATGCATCATAGAACAGTCATTTCCTCAAGCGGTAATAGCGGTTGATGCAGGCTGACCCGAACCATTACCAGCACCATGTTGTGCAGCTTCCATGAAAGACGGGCGATACTTGGACAGATATTTACCTGCTACAGGTCTTGCTTCCTCGACTAAATTCATTACATTAGTAAACATAACAGGATAATTAATTTCCATCGTCTGAGACTTACATTCGGTCCAAATATCTTGCACTGTATCCAATGCAATCTCTTTGGCAGGTGGTCGCATCATGATCAAGTACAATAGACTTGTCAGAGCCAACTGGACAACACTGGGGTCCCGACACATGTGTTTCACCCGCGATAGAACGTTCTTATTCAGATCCGGTATCTCGCTCAAGAAGCGTGTCAAGACCTTGTCCTGGGGGTGAAGGTACGGGAGGAAGCCATCAATCAACCGTAGACAGCATTTTTCGTAGTACAGGGGCCGCTCGCTGCCCTTCTTCTGTTGTAGCTTGTCGTTATACCACTCCTCGCAGAGCCAAGAGACCGCTACATCGATATGTTTGCGGAAGTCCTCCATCACGTAAGAATATAGGACGTCGCGAATGTTGCTGCTGAGGGATTGGTGCGCTAACGAGCCGTCTTCATCCTTAATAGTCGTCTCTTCTAGACCAGCCACGGAGCGAGTCGCTAGTCGGGCCAGGATTGTCATCCACGAGTCCCGGTTGCCAGAGCTAGCTGCCAATCTGCTAAAGCCAGCCCTGCTCTTCTTTGCTGGTTCTTCCATAGATTTCATCATCTCAATGACTCGGGTCACTGTGCCATTACCTGCTGTCAATGCCGCTTCTGGTGTCAGGGCACTGGGCTGGTGCAGGTGGAAGGACTTTAATGCGAGGCCGTCGTCCAATAATGGTAATTCATGAGTCGGCGAGCTATCTAGCTTGTTGAGGATCTGCTCCGTATCCTCAGCTTGATAGAAGTCGGGTTCATATTCATCGTCATCTTCTTCCACGCCGAGCGGGGCTGTGTTGGGGTTCAGCTCAGGTGCTGGAGCACTGTTAAGTGCATCGAGGCGGCCACGGACACCATCAACTGCCTGGGACAGTACATGAGGGTCAAGCCTCGCCAGTGTTGTGACAGCAATCCTAGTGACCAAGGGCACGGGAACTTGCGAAACATCAAAGTTCTGGAGAGCACTGTTGTCGATCAGGGCGAAAATGTCGGCCAGACTGTACGGGCCTGGACCCAGCGGTGGTATCCGGACTTGCGCTTGAGACAGCCGTGGCCGTTTGGCCTCGTAATCGTCTTGAGGTGGCGGTTCAAGAGGGCGCTTGTGTCCAGAATTGTCAAAAATATCGGCCATGGTGCGCATCATACGTTCTACGTGCTGCTGTATTCTGGGAACCATAGGGTTGTGAGGATCTCGTTTTACAAGGTGAATCAACAGCATGCGGGTTGTCTTCTCCATCGACCTGATCATGACCCGGGTCTTCGGTGTAAGGGGGGAGTTGGCAAGCTTGAGGGGGTTAAAAGCAAGGAGGGCATTGATGATTCGATTTGATGTAGCTGGGCGCGCTCTTATGATGATGGACATGCAGTTCAAGGTCGAATCTACAATCAAAGCGTCACTGGAGTTTTGTTAGAGGTTAGCTATATGGATATGAGGCAGTCGCGATCAACCGTCTTACCTGCTTTCTTGTAGGGCACTTAGCATTCGGTCGAGGAGCCCCGACGCCTCAGCCTCTAAATTTCTAGGATCGAGGGACTGGTGGCCTTGCGGAACTTTATCCAGAGAGACATCAAGTGTACCACCATACTGATAGTTGCGTTAGCGACATCACGTAGAAAGTTTAGAGAATCCATACTCTTAATTCGGAACCGGTGGTAGCAGTCTGCGCAAGAACCACACGTTGCGCGAACTTGATGCAGCAGATTCTCACGGTGGGAACAGCATTGTCCCATATTCTCAAAACCTTTTGCTTGACAGCCACCATTCTTTCCCAAGTGATTGTGTCGTAACCGTTATTAATGCTGCATGATCACGTTAGTCTTGAAACAACATAACTTGGATACCAGTATCACCATACATCCATCGCATCGCCAAGGGATAAATACTGGCAACGCATTGAATCACACTGCGCAGGACTTGAGGATCCTCTCGCTCATTCTCAAGCAGGGATTCTAATGTTGGTAAAACATAAGGTTGCATTGTCTCTTTCTCTCCATTCGGTAAAGCTGGCGTCGCGAAAGCTTCAGCAAGAAATTCGGCACCCCATCTCCGCAGCTCGAGTGGTGCGCTAGGTCCGATGATGGGTAATATTCCATTGACGACACTGGGGTAGTATTTGACGTCTCCCAAAACTAGCTTTCGTGCATCGTCGAGCTGTCGAATCTGGTCCGACACAGAAAGTGTTGCTGCCATGGTAAGTGGATTAATGTTGATGATTCTCGAATCGCGGGTGTAGAAATCGACGGGTGGCAAGCTCGAGAGCTCCAGGAAAGATCAATGGAAATGTGTTGTCGTGGATGAAGCTTGCCCACTGCTTTTGGACCGTGGTCGCGCGACTAGGCTGAGCTTTCTTGTATGCGATTGAGCATGCTTCGCATTAAAAGCTCAAAATCACCAAACATTCGCAATTAGCAATATATTCGTCTCGAATTACGCGTTGCTGAGGCGTAGAGCACTATTGTCGTCGTTGCCAGCCTTTGTCTGTTAGAAATGTTGCTGAAAGATTGGCGACGCGGAAATCAAAGAACATTAGACGTGGAAATGGTCCAGACCCTTGTAACTGAGCTCCACAGAGAACCTGGAACTAGGGGTGGTGCAGGTACAGTAGGTAGACGTCACGGCAGCTGGGCTGGGCCGACAATTAGCCGCAAACATTCTTCCCGCCTTCGGAACAATCATTCGCCAGTAGGTCAGATATCGATAGTGAGACCATCTTTTGCAACACGCCAGCAATTGACAGTCAATTTATTCGGTTCACATTTCAAGATCAAGACATTCAAGTCTAGCCAAGCGTAAGACCTTCAAAATGGTCAAAAGGTGTGTACATCCCGACACCAAAGCTCTCCATATTGCAATGGACTGATCATGACTCCGATACAGCCCGCACTCAACTTACTATGATCCCCGCCTGCGACAGGGCGCTGCGCTCGTTCGAGCTCGAAGACCCTATCTTTTCAAGAATACTGTCACTGGCCTTGGTCTCCTAGGTGTGGTTGGAAGCATCTGTACGGTCCCCTTCAACAACACTACATTCGTCTACTAACGCATCCCAGATTGGTATACCCTCAACGCCGTTGGCCAAGACAATTTCGACGATGTCAAGGTCCCCGATGCGCCCAAGCCCGTCGCTTCCAAGTAAAGGGTTGTTTTGTGATTAGACTACGTGTACGATCAATACAAAGCGTTGGAATTTATGATATTTAAATGGGTGCAAGTTATATGGTAAGCAACAGGCAGGCCTCGCTACTCATGAAGCCTGTTGCGCAAAACGCCTACCAAAACTCCGATCGCCCTATGTGCAACATGCTGGCCAACTAGTTTGTGCAGTGTGTATAAGCACATGGGGTCATTGTACAATAACCTCCTCAAACAGAGGGCACTGTCCGCTGTAAAGCCGATGCCTCTCCTCCGACCACTCTAGGTCAACAATAATGGTATTTGATGCAAGCGAGCGCAAGCTCTATTCGCCTCCCAAGTTCAAGCCAAAAAAAGAAAAAAAAAGTAGATCGATCCATCAGTACCTGAACCGAGAATTTCCCAAGGGTATCACAAAAGTCCGAGTACAATAGCAATATGCTCCATCGTGTTATCAACCAAGTCCCGTCGACGGGGTATGTTCAACCATAAGTCTGTAAACGTCATCTATGTCGCCGCCGTCTTTGCACTGCGGCTCGCGCCTGGAAGATTGCCCCCCTTCTTCACCTGGTGTGCTGGGCTGGGCATGGTTCGCGTCAACTCTGGTGATTCTGACAATCGTGTCGAAAGTGATGGAGAATGCTGTGTGACTTGAGGAGCCACATTCAAGGTTGACTTGATATCAACAGGAGGAGGACCGTGTATTTGCTGCGCGCCACGGCTAGCCGCATCATCTGGCCGTCCCTCTGCTGGAGCAGTGGTAGGATACATCTTGTGAATTAGATGATTTGGATTAGCCCATGGGGTCTCCCGGAGAAACTGTTCGCCTGCCGGGCCGAGGCGGTCGAATGGTTGAGGATAATACTCTTCACGTCGTTGGCTTGCTGGCTTGTGTCGCGACCGTTTTGCTCGCTTGTGATGGTCAGCTCAGCAGGCTCGTAGAGCTTTCGTCGTCGTCGACTTACCTCAATAGCAGCTAAGTCGTCTTCAAGCTCTAAAGGTGTCGCTCCAGTCATTTCAGGGCCAGCAGGGAATCCTTCGTATTTTGCGATAGTGGCTAGGGCGGAGACCTCAGTATTATAGGCAATTGCGTTTCGAACTCGCTGCGCAGGATCCTTGGGATAAAGAAGGCCACAGTCCTGCAAGCTGTGCGCGCTTCGTCTGGCTGTTTGAATGTCATACCATTCTTGATTAAGAGATTCCAGGGTCCTTTCTCTCTTTTCACGGACTGCTTGGTAATATTGACCCCATACCTGGGCACGCTGGGCCACAGACCGGTTTTCATGGGCTTTGATGCGGTACTCGTGTTCGTTGTGAATTTCACGCAGTTTCTGCTCCAATCTATCATCCAAGCACTGCTTCATGTTGAGATACTCCGGGTGTGTTGGCACATCTGCGAGGAGAGACTGCTCTTCTTCTTCAAGCCTTTGCAACCGGTCCTTATAGAGCCTGGGGAAATGTTAGCATGTGCATGCTTACTTAGTGTTCCACATACCTGTCGCGAAAGACACCAAACATTTCTTCGATGACTGTCCAGTCCTTGAACGCAGCGTGTTTACGCTCCACTATAATTGGGTGAGCAACATGATGCAAAGATTGGGCAACTGTCTTCTTACGTTCTTCGTCGTGCGCAGTCACCGAGTCAACCTCTTCGTCGGCATCTGGATCGACGTCATCGCCCTGGTTATCCACGTCTGTCCCTCTACCGCTGTCACGCGCACCATCATGACTTCCGCTATCAGTGTCGAGATCCGGATCAGTAGCCGCCGCCGCCTTTCGCTTGGACCCACGCGTGTTCTTCTTAGCTACACGTGATATGCGTTCTGTCAGATCAGTTTCACGATTGGCAGGTTTTTTTCGTGGGGATACATCGATATCTTCAACGGGCGTGTGTGTGCCACTGCTCCCATTCGCAGGGGTGGCCGTATCTTCGTGGAGGCCTGTTTCTTCGAGTTTCTGTAGAGCATCTGCGTCGTGTGCATGCACTGAACTTGTCCGTTTTCTAAGCGGCTGTTCTGTTTCCGATGGCTCGACGGCAGGTGTGCGCTTTCGCTTGCGCTCTTGAGTGTCGCTCTTGTGTCCTTCTTCCAACTCTTCGTCATGACTCGTCGCATGTTTTATCGGAGAGTCCCCGCCGACTGTGGGTGAGCCCGTCGAGGCATCGTCGTCTTCAATGGCAGATTCGTCATCGTCGAGGCCTTGTAGGTTGGCAGTTCTGCGTAGTTTGCTGGGGGTGTGCTCGTAGACTTGACCCTCATTAAACTGGTCAACCACGACGTCTCGTTGTCTCTGGTGCCGAGGGGTATCGTAGAGCCTCTCAGTCTCAGCTTCTGTGATGTTGCCATCGGAGGGAACGTCGGAGTGGGCGTCGGAGAGGACGCTGTCAGAGTCAGAGGCGACTTGGGGTTTCTTTCTAGGGCTCCGCCTGAGGCTTTCTTCTTCGTCGTGGTCTAAATGCATGTGCTCGATCTCGTCGTCGTTGTCATCTTTCGTGTCAACCTCGCTGAGGGGGCTGGAGACGTTGCTATCCTCATGGTCGGCAACTCCAAGCGCCGGGGAGGAGAGAAGCGGAGGGGCCGAGGCAGAAGCAGCCATCGCTGCTACAGAACGCGACTATGTGTTTATGGGTCGACCGAGTGAAAATATTATACGTTTGCTTGATCTGTTGAGTAGACCGGAAAGCTTTGGTCGGCCGGATGGTCGTGGGAACGCGCCCGTGGTGAATAGTGAGGGACGGTCAACGGACAATCGAAGACAAAGTATCTTGTCGAATTGGGTTGAGGGGATAAAGGTGAGCTAGAAAAGAACTGATTGAGTCGATCTTTGTGCAGCATGGAAAAGACAAAAGATAGAAGTAACTTGAGAAAGCTAAAGATTCCTCTTACTGACAATTTGTGGTGTTGAGTGGAGGATACGGAGGAAGAGAGGAATGGGTACGGTGCCGGTTTGCGCTGGCTGCCCTTGTGTCTGCTTCTGCCTCTACTGTTCTGGACTGCCCGGCTTTTGGGCGGGCTTCCACCAAAGCGGGTTGCTGAGAATGACGGGCCCGCCTGTTGCAAAAGGCGGTCATTGACGGCAGAACCGCTCATGGCGCTGCCTCGGGCCCACTGTCAAGGCCATGAGGCCTTATCCATTGGTCAACAGCTGCTGGGCCAATGGTGACAGCCAAGGAAATCTATAGGTGGGGCCGCTCGATTGAACTCTGGACTTTTTTCTGACTGCCCATGTCTTTTTCCTGTCGCAGAGCCAAAGATTGTACCATAGTCAACAGCTTTGCCCTCCATCCGAACGCAAAACTCGACAAAATGGCGAAAGGGTAAGCACATCCTCGATCTTTACTCTTGTAGGAGAACCAAACAAAACTGACTTCAGGCAGTTCAAAAGGCCTAAGAGCCTCGTCTAAGGCAGTAGACCCCACCCTCGATGCTCTTTTTGCATCCAGTGTAAGTTTTGCGACGCATGACCTTTCTTGCCAATTCATACTTATCATCCATAGGCCGGCCCTGTCCAAGCTCCCACCAAGTCAAGATACTCGACATTGTTAGACCAGAAGGTTCGAGAACCTGCCAAGCCCAAGGTGCAGCTTGAGGAGGACGATGAGGTTCTTTCCGAGATCAGCGAGGAACTAAGCTTCGAAGAAGATGGTCCTTCTGATGAGGACGAGGACGAGGACGATTCTGAGCAAGAGGACGAAAGCGGAGACGAACAAGAAAAGGAGGACGAGGAGGAGAGTGAGGGCGCAGACGAGCCCATGAAGGATGCGCCTGTCGAGCTCGACGACATCATTGATGCGACAGAAGACAAGTCAAACAAGGAGCGAAAACGAAAGCGCAAGAAGGACAATGACGATCTGGAAGGCAAATATCTTGACAAGATGGCTGCAGAGGAAGAAGCTGAGCGTGCCGGCAAACGACAGAAGAACGACGCTCTGACCAAGACTGACAAGAAGTCTACAGCCGATGAGGAAGATGCTGGTAACGAAAGCGATATTCCTGTCCATGAGACACTCGCCAAGGACAGCAAAACATCGGACTTGGAAAAGGCGGCCCGAACAGTTTTCCTTGCCAATGTGTCCACCGAAGCAATCAGCTCCAAGTCTGCCAAGAAGACGCTGATGGCTCATCTCTCATCCGTCTTGGAAAAGGATGCCACTCCCCCGCAAACCATCGAGTCACTTCGCTTCCGTTCCGTTGCGTTTGCTGGCGGCTCTCTGCCCAAGCGCGCAGCTTACATCACAAAGAGTTTGATGGATTCCACAACCAAATCAGCCAACGCATACGTCGTGTACTCGACCACTGCGGCAGCTCGTGCGGCCGCTACAAAGCTCAACGGTACCCAAGTGCTCGATCGTCATCTCAGAGTTGACAGTGTTGCTCATCCTAGTCCTACTGATCATCGCCGGTGTGTGTTTGTTGGTAACCTAGGATTCGTTGATGACGAGACAGTCTTGAACACCAACGCCGAGGGAGAAACTACAGAGAAGAAGAGGAACAAGATCCCCTCTGATATTGAGGAAGGTCTTTGGCGGACTTTCAGCACTCAGGGCAAGGTGGAGAATGTCCGGGTTGTTCGGGATTCCAAGACTCGTGTAGGCAAGGGTTTTGCCTACGTTCAGTTTTATGTAAGTCCACGATTCCATCACTCAGTATTGGAGATTCAAACCGCTAACCTCACTCGACAGGACGGCAACGACGTTGAGGCTGCCCTACTCCTTGATGGCAAGAAGTTCCCTCCCATGTTGCCGCGCAAGTTGCGAGTAACTCGTGCCAAGGATCCTCGCAAGACAGTTCTCGCCCAAGAGCGAGCCAGTGGCAAGCACATCGTACATAACGGTGCACCCAAGAGCACAAAATACAAGCACAAAGCCACACCTGAGGAGCAGTCCATGGCTGGCCGCACAAGCAAGCTTCTTGGTCGTTCGGCCGCCGTGCAGCAGCGCCACAAGAAGCGTCCCTCAGCACATGGTGAGAGCCGGGAAGCTGAGAACCCGGTCCCAGAAATCAAGGGCCCAGAGCAGTTTGTTTTCGAGGGTCGCCGTGCTTCAGCAAGAGATGGCCTGCCCAAGGACCTCAAGCAGAAACAGAAGGGCAAGGGTAAGGGCAAGTCAGGCAAGCCTCAGAACCATGGCACAAAGAGAGCGGCCGAGTGGAAGAAGAAGAAGAACTGATTAATTTTGACGAGCGCTGCATAAGTTGTTGAGGCTGATAGAAGGCTTGGGAGTGAGGCGTATGGGCTATTTTTTCTAGTGAGAATAGTAGAGCAGGAGGGTTGGTTGATAAACGTTAGGTCTCCACGCCCGGAAAAGTTACGAGTGATTTTTTTTGCCTCGACTGGCCTGGTCTCTACCGCTTTAAAAAAGAGATGGGGGTAACTCATTTGATTCATGATAGAAAATGGTTCATGTAGTTGCACCGACATAATTTATTGACCTAGTATATAGCCGAACTACTTCATTTCTTATTGTTACTGATTAATATGTTCTTACTACGATTATGTCAACTGATTGCACACATCTGTCATTTCAGCTTACATGTAAGACAATCGACATAGCCAATCTCGACACATTTACAAAATACATATGTTTTCTACTTTGTTTTAATGAGAAAGGATATATCATCAATTTTTCGTGCCTGCTTTGCAAATAAATGCGCCAAATTTGCATCGAGGGATAGTCTCATCTATTAGGACCTGACTCCAACATACAAGACCATTTACTAACGGGGTACCCTGAGCCATTAGCGCGTGGCGGCCAGCACACGATTTACCCCCATATGTGTGCCACCCAAAAACCGGGAATATTAAGCAACTTCCTCCACAACTCTTGTCTGTATGCTTCGCGGGCGTGAGCCCTGTCCGAGCTATCGCTAAAACATGCCATCAAAGAAGTCGAAAGAGATTACACAATGTCACATTATGCGACTGTTTAGTACTCGAGTTCCTCTTCAGGCTCGAAGGAGTCGGCAGCAACCTCTTCGTAATCCTTCTCCAGAGCAGCGAGATCCTCTCGGGCCTCGGTGAACTCTCCTTCCTCCATACCCTCGCCGACGTACCAATGGACGAAAGCACGCTTGCTGTGCATAAGGTCGAACTTGTAGTCAAGACGCGACCAGGCCTCAGCGATGGCGGTGGTGTTGGAAAGCATGGAGACGGATCGCTTGACGGGAGCAAGACCACCAGCCTCAGCAGGAGCAGGGACAGCCATAGGCTTCTGGTAGTTGATTCCGAGCTTGAAACCAGTGGGGCACCACTCAACAAGATTGAATGAGGCCTTGGCCTTGAGGGAAGCGATGGCGGCGTTGCAGTCGCGAGGAACACAATCACCACGGTACAGAAGAGCGACAGCCATGTACTTGCCGTTTCGGGGGTCACAGACGACCATCTGGTTGTTGGGCTCAAAGCCTAAATAAGGTTAGTATCGGTAACGGGCCAGCACTCATGAGCTTAACTTACACTGGAAGGTAAGCTCCTGAACCTTGAAGCTCTCGTGCTCGCTCTTGTTGGCAGAAATGACAGGAGCGTAGCTGATGAGAGGGTAGTGGATTCGGGGGTAGGGAACCAGGTTGGTCTGGAACTCGTTGAGATCGACGTTGAGAGCACCGTCGAATCGGAGAGACGAGGTGATAGAGCTGACAACCTGGGCGATGAGACGGTTCAGGTGCTCATATGAGGGTCGAGGAATGTCGAGGTTGCGACGGCAGATATCGTAGACAGCCTCGTTATCGACAAGGAAAGTACAGTCGGAGTTCTCAATAGTGCTGTGAGTAGACAGGACAGCGTTGTAAGGCTCAACAACGGCAGTCGATGTTCGGGGAGCAGGGTAGACAGCGAACTCGAGCTTGGACTTCTTGCCATACTCAGTGGAGAGACGCTCGAGGAGGAGAGCACCAAAACCAGAACCGGTACCACCACCGAAAGAGTGGAAGATCAGGAAACCCTGGAGAGACTGGCAGTTGTCTGGGTTGTGAATTAGCTGCTAGACAATATCAACTGTACAATATCGAGACTTACCGGCGACACGACGGATGCGGTCCATGACCTCGTCAGCCTTCTCCTTGCCAATGGTGTAGTGACCACGGGCGTAGTTGTTGGCGGCATCCTCCTTTCCACTGACCAACAGCTCGGGGTGGAAAAGGTTGCGGTATTCGCCTGTTCGGATCTCATCGATAGGCGAGGGGTCGAGATCGACGAACAGAGATCGAGGAACATACTTTCCGCTGTTTGTCTCGGTAAAGAAGGTCTCGAAAGAACCGGGGTCACCAATATCGGGAGCATTGGGGTCAGGTCGACCGTCGGGGCCGAGACCGTGCTCGAGAAGGTAGCTATTCAGAACGCCGGTCAGCTTGATTCGACAGTAGAGAAGAAGACAACGTACAGCTCCCAAGCAGAGTTACCGAGCTGTGTACCAGCCTGGCCCAGGTGGAGGTGAAGAATCTGGATAACAAAAAATCAGCATCGCGAGCTCAAACTGAAGCCGCCCCAGCTTGGACAGCTCAGGACACCAAGTGGAACACACCCCCAACGCCTCTCGAGCAGAGCAAAACCAGAGCAGCAGGATGCAATTGGGAAGCAATGTAGAGTAGCGCGGGGGTTAGAGGTTCGCGACGGGACTGGAAAAAACATACCTCGCCCTTCATCTTGTATAAATGAAGCTTAAAAAGCTAAGACGAGAGTTTGAAGTTTGGGGGAAAGAAGTATGGGGAGAGAAATAACTACGCGCGCAGCGCTTGAAGGGGTAAGGGGAAGAAGGGGCCTGAGGTGGTGATGGTTTTCGGGGTGGGTGGTTTGGAGGTTCCCAAATCTGTGGGTGCCGACGTGCCACTGGACATTCAATTGGTGGCGGGGTTCGTCAACATGGTAACTGAGCCAAACACAAAAAAGCTATCAGAAAGATACAAGTGGTGCAGGCGAATTTTGGCCTACGAGCAGAGTACCTGACGTGACTCTCACCGCCAATTGACAGGGAACAGCCTGGGGACCCCTGCTCGATAGTGGAAGAACTGCACTTGCAAGGGGCACTCTAGCACACTTCAGGTGGGATCTGTTCAATCAGGTCGGAATGCAAGCTGTACAGACAGTAGCTTGACATGGAGCTTGAGTGATACATATCAAGGAACACCTATCACAATCCTACCAAATTGCATTCATCCGGGGTGAGTTTTACCTAGGTACTCTGGATAGATAGATAGTAGGTACTGATACTAAGACTTTGCAGCGGAGATAACTAGGCTGCAGCTACTTGGTTAGCTATGCACTAACTTGGTGTTCAATTGAACAACAAATCAGACATCTGTTAGTTTGCTAGGACAATTGAGTTCCTGACAAGCGATCAGTTTCCCGCTCCATGGATAGTTCTCACAATAGGTAAGTAGTTGGTTAATGTCTCTGCCTAGTAGGTAGTGCTGGGCGTAACATAGAATTTTATCAGTCTATCACTATGAGGGGGGGTAGTGAGTGAAATGATAGTCTGCTTTGTACCTATGTAGCCAACCACCCTATCACATTCTTCAAAATATGTCTCCTCCTAGCTATACTCTAAGCTTACCTTTACCTAGTCCTAGATACTATGCATTAGGTGCTTTGTAACTCGGACGTATATGAAGATCATTGATCTACTATCCTTGCCATGATCGAGACTCCGTGCGTTGATCGGGAACAAGATATCCAATCCGTAGAATTTCCCAATTGGCTTTCGTTAATTCTGTTGCCTGGATATAAAGGTTGCCTGATGTATGACTTGAACAGGCAGACAGGCCAAGGTAGCAAATATTCTCCAATTGTTAGTTAAGAGTCTTAATTATGATGTTAAACTGTTTCAGACTACAGCCATACAGAACATTACAGGTTACAATGATGTTCTATATCTAGATACCTAAAAGTAAGAGCCTGATATGGTAATATTTCCTTGTGTATCACTGCCGCCGTACTCCGAAAACCTTACAGATGTCCCATCCTGTAAAATTATTTGTGTAATGAAAAAAGAAAAAGAAAAAAAAAAGAAGAAGAAAGCTCATAGCAATTGCTAGAGCTGTGCAAAGTGGTATCATAGGTATAGTAGGCCGTTTCCCATCCAAGTCGTGATCTTTCGCTCTCTTTTCTGTTCCGCACTTGACCATTCGCACTTGTGTTGAGTTGAGTTTAGTTGTTTCGGTTGTCTGTTTGATTCTGTATATCAGCCTGCTCCAGCTGTTGCAGACGACGCTGAATCGCATCTTTCTGCATCTGCAACGCCCTAATCTCTTCGTCCCGCGTTGTTGTATCCTCACTTAGACGGCTGTCGTTCTCTGTCATGCTGTTCGAGTCTGTTGCCGCGTACGCAGGTGGAGGAGGCTCTGTATTTCCGCGGCCTCTGTTTCGTTGATCGGCAGCAGCGTAAAAGTCGTCGCCTGCCCCTGAAGAACTATGGCGCATGTTGCCCACTGCATCAAGCTCGTGTGGTTTTCTCTTTTCTGTCCGGGCTCGTTCTCGATGAATGAGCCAAAAGGCGATTCCTCCAACAACTAGCAGTACAAAAATTGCAACGCCAACACCAATACCGATTCGCTCACCCAAAGATAGAGTGTCATTATGTTGGTCAACGCCTGGAATGTCGTCCTCGTCTTTCAGTCCCAGAGCGTCCTTATCTCTATCCTTGAAAAGGGCACGAATAGTGTATACAGCAATCGTTGCGCTGTATAAAGTAGTGGCGGATCCGGCATGGGCATCGTAGGTCTGCGCTGTTTGGTTGAAAGTATAAGGGATAGCTACCACGGAGGAGGTCGATCGTTTACACAAACTACCTTCCAAAGTATAATGCCTGGTACGATTAGAACGATAGCTCATAATGCATTGTTGCTGACAACTTACGAGGAGCAGCAGATGGCCGTCGTCGTCTCATCGTCCCGGTTTGCACTGGGTTCGATACGCAGGGTTACAGTAGTCCATCCATGCGGGCACGTACCCGGGCTATAAACACCCGTAAGGCCGTTCTCAAACATAGCATCCGGATAGCACGAGAGTGACTTTGCTCCAGCAATCGGCTGAAGGTCCAGCATCGCCTCGAGACCTCCTATCCCAGACATTGACATGTGGTTTGCATCATAAGTCCATGTACAATCGGGCGGGCCAGTCCAGGGAGTTGTCATAGGTGGAAACGTCCAGTCGCTGGCGAGGTCGTCATCGTCGGTTGGCTTTGGTTCGATTACAAGTGTTGTTGGGTGAGGTGTAGGTTTGGACAGAGACATGGCCGATGAAGGCGCGGCGGATGGGGAAGACCCAGATACTGTGGACGTAGCATCCTCAGTTGACAAAGACATGTCGTCTGTCTGTTACAACTATGTTTGAAAACTCGCGAGTAGCTCGAGTACTAAGGCCAACTCGACTACAAGCCGCACCACCAGTGCTTCGCTTGCCGTCAACTCGGCAATTCAGGAACAACCTTTAACGTCTTGTCCATCCAAACATGCGACCACTATTATCGGCGAACAAAAAGATATATGTCGAACTTGGGTTGACGCGTGAAACAGGATCGGAAATGCGACTTGATTATAGTGAAGGCGTTGTCAATGTAAAAGACGGCGTCTGTAATGGTACTCGAAGGCCATTCGATCGAGCGTCTGTCTAGAAGAGGAATGAGGTGATGGGGATATATAGCAAGCAGAAAGACAAGTAAAGGTGACAAATGAACGAAAAGAAAGGAAAGCTACCAAGAAATGACGAGAGTCAGCCAAGCAAACAGCAGCACAGGTCCATCCATACCATGCCAGCGAGCGAGCGAGAAGGACGGGTACAGTAGCGTTGGTGTTCCCCCTTCTGAGGTCTTTGAAGGCTTGGCGAAATCTTATCACGGGTGGGTGCCGAGAAATGCCAAGGCCCGAATTACACCAAACCTCTGTCCACGTTGACCGCTGAGAGTCTGGGCATTTGATCTTTTTTTTCGTCTCGTCGGTAGTTTCTTATAGCCAAGAGTAGTCTTTCAGACAAGGTACACGTCTGAACACCGACATGGCCCGTCACAAGACAAAAAAGACAAGACCAAGACTGTCAATGCAACCAGAAAGACCCAATATGCCCAGCAAGCGGCGCGAGCCAATGCCCATGACAGTGGGCGCATCCAGCCAAAGCCGAGCCTTCTGGCCCCAGTGCCACGGTCTTGGCTGATGAGTATCGGATTTCTGGGCTCTGACACGGGAAATGAGGGCCGCCTATTATTGTGCCGAACACGCCGGCTTGGAAGTCTTGGGTCGTCTTGGAATCCTGCACACGAAGTCACGACACAAAGTACCGGTCCAATTCTGTGAAATTGTTAAAAAGGCAGCAGATTCCGTCTTGGCCACGAATCACCAGTCAGGTTCTTTTTCTCGCTCCGTCTTATTCCCACCCAAAACTCACTTTCGTATCATTCAGGCCAAGAGCAGATTGACTGGTTCCTTCAAACCGGAGTCAAACAAAGTCAATGCACATTCAATGCCCAGTAAACTTGAAGCTCTTGGCGTACCACTGCCAATGTAGGACGAAGCAGATAAATATGTGACAATGTACGATATTAACAATCGCCATATGAGAGAATATGAAGCAAGTGGTTCTCGCTTCTTTATCCCAATCAACACGGAGCTTGGTGTTCGGAAAGAGATGTAAAGGGGAAAAGGTTGTCAGAAGCGCGGTTAATTGCTTTAAGGTCCTGTCATGGTCAGTGACGGGCAGACTCTACCGATAAGGTTCCAGTAGCACACGCCAGTGGACACTTTATATGGCTAGACGCTTGAAGATCCGGCATTGTAATGATCAATGTCTCTCGGCAACTGATGTTGTCCATATGAAAGATCATTTGAATGAATCATTCAAGATTGACAAAGACATTCCAAATTTCAACAGAAAGAAGTTCTGTGAGAGCGGTGATTAAATTCTGAAGCAGCTGTTGTCTCGATTCGGGCGGGTATTCTTCTCCAAGCTCAACACCATCACTCCTGACAGATACCAGGGCTGTTGGCACACTACTAATAATGAACTTGAATTTAATCATTTCATAAGTGTACAATATACATCAAATGATAATAATTAATAAAATGTATTCGCACGAAACAACAGACAAGAGGGAACTGATCTAGTTTAGACACAATCGTCAGGGTACCAGAAAAGTTGGCGGCCAGAACCATTAGAGACGAAATTAGTAGGTCACTTTAGGGAATTTAGGCTATGATTTCAGGTCATTTATTTTTGTATACTAAAACGAAGAGGCCATCTTTTGCTATCCACTAGACAGCACAATAACAGCCACACTCTCCCCCACTAAACCTCGGAGCCACGGCACTTCCCTCTCCGGCCTCTCCATCAGTGGCGCAGCGTTCAGAAAATGATAGTCACATGACGGGGTGAAGGGCATGTTAACCCTACCAGAATTCAAATCGTGCCCACCTAAGCGATTCAACCACCGCCTTCAAAGTCGACTCCATCCCGGCCCATCCATATTCGCTCTCCGACCAGCGAATTTCAATCAACACAACACCGCGACAATGGCTGACGAATACGTATGTGAACCCTCGAGATATTCCCTTCCCACCCCCTTTGGAAAACCCCATGAGCAGAGAAGAAGAACGACACCTCGACACCCGCCCGCGAAAGGAAAGAAAAAAAGATGATGGATCGATCACAAATGGGAACACGATGAAGAGAAGAGTTTAACTGACCTGTATGCTTGGATAGGACGCCGAGCATGCTGCCGAGCTCAAGAGAAAGAGAGCGTTCCGAAAGTTCTCCTACCGAGGAATCGACCTTGACCAGTATGTTGCTGCCAAACGAACCCCGCGCCTCGATGATGGAAGATGAAACTACGAGGACGCAATCCGAGCGAACAAACCCATGCTGATGTGTTATTTCTTTCCTCTCCACAGGCTCCTCGACCTCTCCTCCGACCAGCTTCGCGATGTTGTCCACGCTCGTGCCCGCCGCAGGATCAACCGTGGTCTGAAGCGCCGCCCCATGGGTCTCATCAAGAAGCTTCGCAAGGCCAAGCAGGAGGCTCAGCCTAACGAGAAGCCCGATCTCGTCAAGACCCACCTCCGAGACATGATTGTCGTCCCCGAGATGATCGGTAGCGTCATCGGCATCTACTCCGGCAAGGAGTTCAACCAGGTCGAGATCAAGCCTGAGATGGTTGGTCACTACCTGGCTGAGTTCTCTATCTCATAGTACGTTGCTTCCCGCTTGATCATGTTTCTCATAATTGACCCCCTTTACAGCAAGCCCGTCAAGCACGGTAGACCCGGTATCGGTGCCACGCACTCTTCTCGTTTCATTCCCCTCAAGTAAGAAGTTTGCGGTCTTGGGTGGTTTCTGCATTCACGGACATTTTGGGCGAAAAGGACTGGTTCTGGTAGATGGACTATTAAAACATCTATCAAAATTACTGATGACAATGGGTACCATGATAGTACAATAAAGGAGCATTGTCCGCTTGATGACTACCTTCAACTATCGCTCATGTTTGAACAAGATGCTGTGACGCTTCTGGCTCCCTGATGTGAATGCCTTGCTCAACAATACACTTTCTCTGTCCATGAAATTCCAATTCCCAATATCGGTCGTAGAAATTTATCCGTATGATGTCACTCTTCACGGTTTCTGCGTAACAATTTCCGAAGCTTGTTCATCAATCTTCCGCCGAATGATGTGGTTTCCTTTTTGGTACAAACTGCACAACCATAGGGGAGTTTTTTCTTGCCATAGTGGATGAATATCTCTTCGTCTGCCCTGACAGGTTCGTTCAGCTTTACGTTGATGCGATAGGGCCACTCGCCATCAATTTGGAAAGACGCTTGGGCGCATTTGCCACAAGCATGGTTGATAAAACAAGCCGTTTTGTAAAAATGACATCTTCGGCCTTGGGGATCCTGGAAGCCGTATTCCTGCCTGAAATTCTCGAGGAGTCTAACATGATCCATATCCATAGGCCTGCTCGACAACGTCCCCTCAGTCGGTATTGCTCGCAAGTTCCTAAAGATTTGTTTCAGCTCGTCGCGCTTGCGATGAGTCAAATCGTTCCACTTTGGTCTCAGCGAAAGAGGATGTCCGGAAAGTACTGCGTCTTCTCCATTAATAATCCTGTGATCTGTTGGTAAGTTCCGAGTTGCGAACAAGCCCTGACCGCGGTTGGTGAACGTGTCGCGAATCATAACATTGGGACCTCTCTGCACTCCTAGGGCTTCCGATAACGGCAAAGGTTCCTCGTGCGGCGGAGGAGTAGGAACCCGAAAGTTATCCATCGGATTCAATGCAATTGTCGAGGCTTCCCGCGCCCTTGCTTCACGTCCTTGTGTTGTTGTGGTCGATGAGTCTCTCAAATCTCCCCCTGCCATCGCTTCCTAGTTTGACGTATCGTGTGAGCGTCGAGACAATCGCCAGTGATCTGTTGAAAGAGTCAGTGCCGCAAATCGAAGTTGGAAATGTGCTACTTCTGAGCCACCGCCTGTATGGATGGGCCAGGGTGCGCATCACGATCCTTTCACATTTTTCTTGAATCATCTTGACACGGTAAGAAATCGTGTGTGGAATATCTGTGGATGTAAAAGTAGTGTAGATGATAGAGTGTTATAAAAGAATGATGTGTTTCAAATGACTGTTGGGATCCAAGATGGATGATGTTGGATGTTGTGAGTGTGGAGGAAAACCATGGCATATGGGAGGCGGGGGGATATATAACTGCAGCTCCTTCCTGATGTGAATCAGAGTATCCTAGCGCTCTTTCCACGTAGTTAGATGGCATGGGAAACAGCTGAGAAGCCCCATGCCCTTCCATTCGGAAACAGTATCCCCGGGATGAGAAGGAGTCCTCAGGGAGGGTGTCAGAAAAATTGACCGCTGGAAACATAAGAGACGAAATTATTAGGTCAGCTTTTGGCTCTTAGACCACGACCTTAGGCCACTCATTTTTATACCCTAAGACTTAGTAGGCCGTTTTTTTCTGCTACCCGCTGGGGGTGATACAGGTTAAAACGGCAGACAACCACTTTGGCAAGCACAGCTTACTGAATCGAGTAGGTGTACTTGGTGACTCAATGAAAAATGAATTCAAGTATCAATTCACGTCTAGTGTACATCCCTTATTCCTGCTTCTGTGCCAACTTGGCCGCTTTTCGCTCCTCCTCCTTGAGGTGCTGTTGTCGGTAGTGCTCAACAACGTAGTCCATGTTGGCAAGATGACCAGCAATGTGGTTTCGGTTAGCATACGAAGAGATTGCCCTGTTTGCATAGTTAGCAATTGATCTTGCTGGGACGTTGCTACCGTCTTGGAGGGTTCCCAAATATTGGCAGGTGGGATGACGAACTCGGGGTATGCAACATCGACGAATCGGTGCTTGTTGCCGCCGTTCTCGAAAAGGTTTCGGTCGTATCCAGCCTGCTCCATGGCCTTGGTGTGAAGAGCGTTGATTTCCTCCCAGTCCTTGCTGCGCGAAGTGTACTTGTTGATGAAGTTGAGGATTGAAGATTGCTCGCCCTCGGCGGGAACAAACTGGTAAATGAGAACGGAGCCGAAGAAACCGCTGACAGCGAGGAGAGATCCGGTCTGTAAACTAGCATCAGTTTCCGTTTTTTAGTTCGGCTTCATCCATCGGCCTTATTGAGCGGCGCGATGCCAATGATGCAGTATGTTTTGACTCGACGTACGCTGAACGACTCGTTAACTTCGGCGGCCTTGTGGTGAGCGTGGGCGTCGGAGGCGTAGGTTCGTGCTGTTCGCTGCAGCTGTCGAGCCACGAAGGCTGCCCTTTGTCGTGCGACGAACATGTTGGGCGAATTGGGCAGCGTTCAATTGAGCAATCGGTCGTGAGGGTCTCGTGAGAAGAAGCCGCACCCAGATCAACCAGGTGAGGTCGTCGCCAGTCCACGGGTGTTTACGTAAGGCACTTGTTATTGTGGGCCAATTAAATAGCAGATGTTTACCATTTATCTCTCCACCATAGAAGTTCACTATAAGAGTAGGGACAGACAGGGTAGAGGAATTGACTTCTGAGATCTGGGTTACAAAAATAAAATAATATGAGATTGAAGTCCTTTGTAGCAAAAACTTGCTTGATCATTTTGTTTATTTCAGTCTTTCGCAATTAAGTTTCTGATTACCTGAAGATTCATAAGGGGCATGACTGTTACCTCACAGATTGTCAGTGAGTCGCCATAGATGCATCAGCTGGAAGCATAAGAGACGAAATTAGTAGACCAGTTTATGCTACTTAGGCCACACTTCTTAGACTACTTATTTTTGTATCCTAAGACTTAAGAGGCCAACATTTGTGCTACCCAGTAGAAATAACATTGGTCTTAACCTTGACAAATCATTCTAACAATATGTTGTGCCTATTGTATCGCCGTACTCTGCGATTCACTGTCACTCTTTTTCAGCCTAATCAAAGAACGCCAGGGGCAACGTTCATGTTGTTGTGATAGCAAACGTATCATCAGTGCTTGGGTTGTGAAAGGTACTCTGACTTGACCAAGAGAACAACCACAACTTCATGATCCATCAAAGTTGAGTATTCCACGTGGAAAAACATCAAAAGTGAGATACAGGAGGGCTATTTTCTTAGCACATATAGGAACAACATTGGTCGTTAACTTCTTGATAATGAGGTTTGGGTCATGAACGGATGTCCTCCGACCCGCCACTGCTTACCCGGGAGTGCGTACTCCGCCCGCTCTGCCAGCTATTAAGAACCTGGACCAGATCTGGCTCCCATAAACAGCATGGTAAGATAAGAGCGATCCCTATTCGAGAGAAAGAGATACTAGTCTCGATGTTTTTGATGATGTACCTGAGTAGATCGAGTCCCAGTCACTCACTCGAAGTTGACCACCGACAACGTTTACTGATCACCTCATTACGAAAACAGAAGCATGACGGTGGCCAACAAGAACCTCTCCTTTGACAATAGCAAAAACTAATATGCAAGGAACTCGAATTGTTAGATGCCTTGTTTTCTGGAGAGCTTTTCGTCAGAAGTGGCTGGAGCTACCATAAGGTTCAGATGATCACCACGGCTAACCCAAACTGTGCTGGATGCGCCTCGTCGGGGCTTTTTGTAGCGACGGGACGGCGACAACATCCAGGGCGACTCGAGCCATTGCATCCGGAATGGCGCTGCCGTGGTTTGTTTCGTGGAAAATAGAGAGTTCAACGCTGACGAGTTCTAAATCGCAACAGCCCAACAAAAGAGTAGAGTTTATGCCACACATAACCGGACCGCTGCAGCGCCTACCCAATGCAGAGTCCAACTCATGAGCTATAGCTATACACGCCTGGATCAGGAGGAGGTTATCGTGGACTTTCACGCCCTGAACTCTATGGAGCCAGCGAAGCATCCACAAGAATTTGGGATATCTCACCGTGCCCGCAGTGGAGGCCTTAATCTTCCCCATCCGTCCAAATTGAGCTCGTTAAATCACATTGCGACCTCAGAGAGGACCAACCTCGGAAAGAAGTCTATGCAAAGGGCTGGTCTGGAACTCTGGAAGGATGACGAAGGAGGTGCAACAAAGATTGCGGCGTCTTGACCAAATGACATTCTGTTGCTTTGGCGCCATGCAGGACCAAATCACAGCAGGGTGCAGTATCGGAGATGGCCAGTCTAACCAATATTTGATCCATACCGGTAAGGCTTGGTTCAGGTCGATGCTTTTCCTGATGACGGCTGGGGAAGCCTCTCAAGGTATCAACAGAGTGGACATCAGGTATAGCAATCAGCTGAGAGACATGCTCTTTTGTGAAACATGATCGAGGTACGAATTACATGATGGGCGGCGATATTGGGCCGGTGATTTACGTCGCAATGAGAACCGCATGCGAGCAGGAGCAGTGTTGATGGATGTTGGCCGAATGTCTAGAAGATTCATGTACAGTCAAGACGAGACACAGATACAAATATGCAGACCAAAAGGGACTTTCCCCTGTCTCACGTCGACTCTACATCATCCCGTGTGTTTGACAGGCAGCAAGGCACAAACATCCCGGCAGCAAACCACAGTGCTCAAGACGCCCTTTTCCTTGCATTACATAGCCATGACAAGACGGCACTGTGCTGATATCGATCGTTATCTGTTCAAAGTTCATCATGATGAGCCATGACGCGGAAAAGCTTGATGTAGTTTCCCATCGTCAGGCCATTGCTGATAAGAAGTATGAAATTTCCATGTGATATTGAGAAACAATGCACATAAAATAGGTGGTACTCTGTTTCTGGTCTGGTTTGGTTATGCGCGCAAGAGGCAAAAACTCCAATTCCCATCGCGAAACAAAATGCCAAGGTTTGGAGTGCGCGCCAAGTTGAATTATCCATGTAGAGCCCCGCGACAAGAAACCCCAGGAATGGGTTAAAAAGAGGGGAAAGGATACGAACTGCCCAGTAGTTTTACGCCTTGACTACCATAATTTTCTTCTTCCTTTTGTCTCATCAGGTAAAGAAGAAAAAGGTAACAGAATAGCCGCTGATATCCTTTCGTCCATGTCCTCCCTTGTAAAAGTGCCTCACAGTGATTGCACATCCTTGCAGTAGTTACAGAGCCAAGGTTACCTCGGTGGTCGTACTTTGGCAATCCATTAGTCAAAGCCCTGGGAGCCCCAGAGATTGTTCTTTCTCAAGGTGTTCGCAGACTGTCCAATGCGGGGAAGCTCTTTTTTTTCTGGTCACGGATGCATCGTGTCTAGTGGTTAATTGGGTAAAAGACAACACACGTTTTCAGAGAAAGCAAAAAGTCTCGGCTTTGATGGAACTTCATGTTGGCCAAGCTGACTATTTTTCTTCTATCTGAGCCACTCCCTTGTCAGCACAGTGTTTTTGAGGCCCGACCTCTTGTTCTATTCGGTTCTTGCTATCCATTTGTAGGTAGGTGTCTACATGCTCTGCTGCGCTGGCCCTGTATCAAACATCACACACCCATTCATTTACTCAGTGATTCTCCATTGTAACGACTATTCTCTTATTTGATAGGAGCAACTGGTTTGTGCTTCCCCAATTTGTTCCGAATATTCCCTTTGAATAAATAAAAAAAGGGTCATATGATGGCGTGCTGTAGTCACACACACACACTATACTCCCACAGACTGTGTCTCTCTCACTTTCAGATTCATACTGTACACTCACTCATTCGCCATCCAGATGCTAGCTACCTAATCCTCTCCCTGTTTAAAGGAAAAGCCTAACTTTGCTATTTCTACCGGCTATCATCATCTACCACTCCCTTCCTACGCGCGTCATTAAACTGTCACTCATCGACTTTTAAACGCCAAAGATACATAATCTGACATGACATTTGTCAAAGGCTTAAAAGGAACCGAGAACCCCCTAATAAGCTTGTCTGTTTCTTCTTGTTTGTTTGGTTAGATAAACTCGATCACATTTTGGATATACATTTTGTCTACATACCTCTTCCACCCATAACCTATCCATGCCTGAGATACGTCCAAGCCTCCCTCAGCAATATCAACAACTGCGCCCCGACCCGCTTACGTTGTCAATACACAGCGAGGCCTCATTATATTTACTTTACAAAAGTCAATAACCAGGCTCTTAAACGTTTCGACATTCTTCTCTTTGGCTTCCAGGCTTTACTACTATACATATCACGTCCTACCCACCCACCTCTCTACTATATCTCGCCAGTACCTCCACACATCTACTCTACTACATATACCTATCCCTCTTATACTGTATAGCTCTATACCGTGTTATCCTCTCTTACATATTATCACCTTCATACCCTCGTACATACTCACTGTACAACCACAACCTCCATCAATATGTGCCATACCGTAATTGCCCAGCGGATGTGCAAGGATTGCCGCCACAGCCTAGGCGAGACGGTCATCGATTTCACACGCTGTGCTCGTAAATGCTCGAGCCCTTTCTACTGCCTTACCCCTGAGCCTCAGATGGAGCTGTGTAACCTTTGTGCCACAACGTCGACACTGTCTACACCGGTACTCGCACCACATGCTCTTGAGGACACAACCACTGCAGCCGCAGCAGCAGCAGCCGCATCGGCCGGCACGAGACTTTACCATCATTCGATTGGAAAGACAGTGGCCTATCCAGGACCTGGAGTAGTCCGCCACACTGCGGCCCACTAGAAGTTTGCGACAAACCATGACAAAATGGTTACGATTACCGACATTAAGGGCGTTCATTTGTGTAATATTTTGAAACAGGGAAATTGAAACGACGAAACGAAATTTGACCAAAAAAAGGCGTGTTTGGGAAACGACAGGTATGATACGGGCAACCGACAGAGGGTCAAGGGCGCATTCGGACAGCATTCATCAATGCTTTGCTTTGCTTTACTTCATTTCATTTCATTTTCGTATCACTTTACTCCATTCCATATGTAATGTCACTCAGACACGAAACCCCGGTGAGGACCACTCTACTGGAATGAGGGAACCACAGGCCTGGTCAATGGTACCAAGAACTGGGGGTTATTAGGGTTCTTTTCTTTTTCCAAGATGACATATGTACAATCGTTGATAACAACAAATTGAATATATACCCGAAAACAAAAGCAAAGAAAGAAACCTAAGAAGACTGTGATAGGTAAATCCCCTCTGTGAAATCGGTTCTATTCGCCTAAGAAAACGAGGTAATGTGGTTGAGCGGGCGGATGTCCGGCTGGTGTTCCGCTCCCGTCCCGCTAATTAAAGCACCTATCGAAAGCAAGATAGGCTCCTAAGATAGGGCAAGTCAACTCAGCGACCCCAGACATTGGATGCATGTCCATACCTCAGCTCCAATTTCCCCGAGTACAGATACGACTTCTCTTCACATCCAAGTCGCGCAAGCCCAGCTATATTTGGTGACCAAGATGCATGTATATGTGCGTCCCAAACACAATTTGAAACACCCAAATTAGCAGTGACGCTTTCTTTCTTTTCTCTTCTTTTCTCTTCTTTCCTCTTCTCTTAGCTGACCTAAAGAGACACACACAGTGTAGCAGCTGCCACTACTCGTTCACTGACCGAATCACGAACAGTCACAATCTCACTCAACCACAACCATTCACAATTTTGCGATTCAAATTTCAACACAAGCCGCTGTTGCACCAAAGGAAGCAGCACATGGGCCATTGTCCTCATGACTCGGACAAGGAAGCACTTGGTTCAGGTAGCAAGGGGGAGGGTTACCTGAGATGTGAATTAGTGCATTTCAGAGTCAAGTCAAGTCAAGTCAAGTCAAGTCAAGTCAAGTCAGGTCAGGTCAGGTCAGGTCAGGTTGAGAGTATGAACCAAATAAGATGGATGTATCCCCGTCCGCACCTCCCCAGACAGACGATCGATGTTGCTCGTCCTGCATCGTGAAGGACTTGCCCGATTGATTGATTCCTTCACCGAGGCGACAATTTAAAATAAAATAAAAAGGCAGCGACCACCCGAGGCTGCGGTTCACGGACCAGACCCGATTGCAGGTGTCATCCTTCCATGGGTACTCGCTCATCTTCATTCATCCATGCAAGCGCAAACGGAATTTTGAATTTTTTTCTTCGCAACTGCCTACCTCACAAGTCGCGACGCCTTCACAACGCCTTTGCAACGTAAAGTTTGCGCCTTCCTCTTCTCTGACCTCAGCGAATAACTGTTTGTGTCATCCCCTGGATCCTTCTCTCATTTGAGTTCCTGCCATCTATCCGTCTGGTCCATTGTTAAAACTCCTTCTCCAAGCCTCTCGCCATGGCTTCAGAAAAGTTAGCACATACATCGCTTCCGGTGACATCTTCATCAAGACCAAAACCATCACTACACTGTGAACACATCTACCGAAATCATTCCCCGAATTCATCGTCTATCAATCCATCCACTACCAGCCCAGCAGATACTATGGACTCATTATACTTTCCTATCTCTTACGCCAATAAGTATGAATGGAGCCTGCCTAACGATGTCCGTCGTTTATTCATTGATGGCGTCGACGAGCTCGTGGGTCTCGTACCAGAGCATTTCGCCGAAGCCATGACCTGGCATCGTGACATCTTCTCTCTCCCACCTCCTGCTTTTGAAGGCTGCTCTCATCGCATAATAATCATTCGTACCGATTTTCTACCATTCGAGGGCGGCCTCCCTGTTACTAGGACTTGCAGAGATCCCCTAAAATGCTGCGAGCTTGCTCTCGAAAGGCTCGCCTTCGACAATTGCCGAAAATTTCCCTCGCTGTCCAAATGGGCAGCCACCGACTTTGAAGAGCGAGAATACTCGCCAGTGCACATGTTTACCCACGGCCTACGAGGTATGCGAATTCCGACGCCTTTGAGAGGGTTTCTCGGGATCCTCACGGTTGGGGTACACCTCAACGTTTATGGCAGGGACCGTACGACCAACGAGTACCGCATCTGGGTCGCAAAACGTGCCATTGGTCACAAATATAGCTACTCCGGGATGCTGGACCAGATCGTTGCCGGAGGCATGGACATGGAAGACCGAATCAAGCATTGGATGGCCCCCTTTAAAACACTGACTCGTGAGGCCAAAGAGGAGACGGGCCTCGAAATCGAGAAACTGGGCCAAAAAGTGTTTGCGCCTGGCACCGATACAGAGCCAGGGAGAGAAATTGGCAGGGTTGTCAGAGCTTCGTGGGTCAGTTTTTTCGACAAAAAGGATCGGAAAGCAGGCAAACACGACGAAGGCCAGCTTGAACCTGGTGTTAGAATCATCTATGACCTCGAACTCATAAACGACTTTTGCCCACAAGGAAACGAGCCTAGCATCGAAAAGATCATGCCTATGAATGTGTCGCAAGTGAAGGAGAGCCTGTTGGAGAAGGGCAAATGGAAGCCGAACTGCGGGCTTGTGATGCTGGACTTCTTGGTGCGCCACCGACTTGCTAATGTGCAAACCGACATTCATTTCCCCGAAATCGTGAGAGACTTGCGCCCAGATTTGCCCTTTAAATTTGCCGACCGATGGAACGAGTGCAGAATCGGGTGGTAGTGAAAGCAAGAGAAAGATGAGACGGGAATGGGAATGAGGGATAAAAAAGTTAGTTATTCTAGACACACTCTCCGGTTATGATGTTCTGCATCCTCAGATGAAGCCTCGAGTTTCTACCACCTCTTAGCCTGTATTCTACAATAGGGTGACCTCTTCTAATGAGATGAGTCTGTACGATAAGAATAATAAGAGAGATTTTTCGGAATACGCCTTGCCTAAAGCTAGTTATACACTTTCAAGATGGGCCTCAGGGTATTATCAGAAAAACTGACCGATGGGTATAAGAGACGAGACTAGTAGGTCAGTTTCTGCTCCTTAGACTAGAGTTCTTAGACTACTTATTTTTATATCCCAAGACTTAGGAGGATAACTTTTCTGTTACTTACTAGATATGTAAAATTAGCCAAGAAAGGCTGTTGGTCCATTCCTCAGATTTGTCGCTCACTGGCAATTCAATACACAACCGGTAAGAAGACTGGCCAGAAATCGACAACCGCGAGGGAAGAGCCATGGCAAGGGACAAGATCCTCCGTCTCAGAGAGGCTCTTCCTATAAGCCTTGAGATCGCAATCGCCATCCAAGGAGCTTGGGATGTCCTCGTGACGGACGAGAGGACGCTCGAGACGTGAGTGAAATAGCCGCCTCTGCGGTTTTTCTAAATTTGGACCGGGATCGTGTCATCCTATATGGAGTTGCATTGAGAAGTGTGTAGTGGTGGAACGTCTGATGGTAGGGTGTTATCTGGGCTGGTAAAGCATCTCAATGATAAGTGGTTGTTGAGTGACTCTTTGTCGTGTTTGGTGGAGTCTTACCTACCTACTTGCTCGCTTGTTTGTGTGGTCTTTGGATGTAGGTGACGATTTGGAGACTTGAAGAAACACTTGTTCCTTTAAAAGTTGTCTGGCTCGTTGGGAGAGTCAACTTGATTCGGTGATAGTACTATGTATGGTATGGTATGGCTGGCATAATGAGCTCTATGATGGCACTTATCTCGGGAACAGCAGAAACTTTGTGATAACTACTAGACTTGGAGTATAGAAAACGAATGATGAGCAAATCTCAGAAGGCATAAAGTGACTGTATTATTTTATCTCTAGGGCATGCAGTATCAAGATTCAGATGACGGTTGGTGTTGAAGAATATTGTGACCGTCCATCCACTTACAAGACTGGTCAGGGGATAAATAGACTAATTTCTAAGCTCATATCCACTCAATTGATTCCCCGCTCGGCAAGACAAAACTGGGCTCAGACGGTTGATTAAGGGTCCTGGAGTGTGTTGTCATGCGGAGGCTCCGTGGGAATTAATTCGTGATGATAGGAGAGAGGACTGGTAAACGTAGTAGTGTACATAACTCAACTTTGAGTTGGCGTCTTGACCACTCCAGTTAGCTGAGTTTATTATCTCATGAACTATCGACAAGGCGTTTTTCGTCCTTTATTTTTTAGACTGTTGTCCCACCACTCGGGTAGTGTACCTTACTTAAAATGAAATTTAGTGTCATATAGCTGGGTTTTTTTTTGGTGGCTTGCTGCTGGTGACAAGCCAAGACTTCAAGGCTGAATCCCAATGGCCAACTAGAGATGCAGCAGATGAATACCGAAGATTGACTACCGTGTTCTAGGCCGTGACTGTCATTAATTGTTTTCTATTTACAGAAATCAGATGATATCAGTAGCCATCACCAACTTTACAGAGTACAGGGCAAATAAATTCGCAACTTTATCTCTGCCTGCCGTATAAACTGAATATTTCCGCACTAGATAAACATATTCCGCCCGGCTACTTACAAGATCCAGAGATCTTCGCTCCTGATTCTCACTTGTATCCACCCATCGACAATCTTATCCCATCTCAACGACAGCACTATCGGAACACCCCTGCTTGCGATTGAATGTACAGGTACCATCCAGATTCGCCTATTACCTCGCTCCCTTGTCACCGATGAGAATCCTCGCAGAGACCGTTTGCCCAATAATGGAGACGCTAGCCTGCCCAAGTTTCTAGTGGCACGAGGTGACACCATCATAAGGCTAGTTCCTGTCGAGCGCTAGGAGCCATGCCAACAAATTTCCCCTAACTACGAGAAACGGTAGCCATAATGTAGTTGAAATGAAACCCGTCGCGAGCTATTTATCAGTGTCAGATTTTAGCAGCAACCAGCCTTCCTCAATGCTCTTAGGCGATTGAGTCTACAATCTTTGCTTTCAAGGACGGACGATCTGCCACTCGCCGAGTTGAGTTGCCCTGCCCTAAGTGGTCAATCGAGTGTAGAGGTCTCAGGAATCCAACGGCCCACACGCAACAATATGGGGTGCTTCCATCTTTTTGCGAGCGGTGAATACAATACAGGAGTCAAAATACCATCCATCAAATACATGAGAGAACAATGCGGATCACCTCTACGGCAATCCGTTAAGCCCGTGATTAAATACAGCACAGCACAATCAACCTTCTGCCGATTAAGTATCAAGCTTATAAGTTGGTCCCCATGCATCTTGATGTTGCCGGAACTACATCCCTCTCTGGTCACCTGTGCGAGGACCAGTCACGAGCTCAGCGTATCCGGCACCGGCGATCTGTGCCAGAAAGCCAAACAAAATTACGGAAACGCTGGAGACCGCACTAGACATGGCGAGCTCAATCCTAGGTGTGCATGCATGGGAGTTGCATTACAAACCATTGCAGGCCAAGACCATCACTTACAACAAACCCCAGATTCCCGTTGCACTTGATCAACGGAAATGCTTCTGTTCATGTTAGATGACTACGTTCCTGAGTTATGGGACAACCATGCGCAAAAAGGCAAGTGGCTTGAGCCACCAAAATCCAACTGTTCTTGACCTGACGATCTGGAGGAGAGCGAAATTCTGTAAGCGCTGATCATGAGGGAACTTGAGAATGTACTTCCCAATCGTACTGAGCTGTCCCCTGTACCCTCCTCTGAGCAATATTGCATTGTGCAGTAACTACAGGACGCCACTATGAGCTGGTTCGAGAACGCAGCCTCATGCACCTCCCAGAAACGATACAGACCATCCCAACAGCACACTGCAACGTAACCGTGGGAAAATTCAAGGAATAGCATTGCTTTGGCCATGGCACAGCCTTGACAAAATGCAGCCTAGCAGTTATCCCGTTTCCCGCCTTCTGCATATCACTGGTGCGTTCGATATTGTCTCAAGTCTAGAGACAAACAAAGAGGGGCGCCCATCCAAGCCCAACCTAGGAAGGCTGGCGGTCCGTTTGACAACGGATGAGAAATGCAGGACAGCGTAGTACCGGTACAAGTGAGCCCATGCTCTTCGCTGCGGAGTTATCGTTAGATAGCTCCACCACCAAAGATTGTCGGTCACACTTCATTCGATCCGTAGACGAGATCTTGTCGGACTTACACAGCGACGGGACGTTTTATCACACAAGCCGTCCTCATCATGTCTGACAGCGATGCGTTTGTTACTACAGATGCTCCGCTAATTCTAATTATGGAAGTGTCAAGAATAACTAGCAAAACTCTAGAGAATGAGTTTTCTGTCACTACTAAAAATTGAGTTGTTTCTTTGGGGGCTGAGTCTGTAAAAGGCTGGATGGTAGCCAGCAGACCATTCCTTGTCGACTCTCTCAATTCGAGCAGGGGTCTATTCAGCTCGACGCACTAGAGATTCCTCATACCAATGAGAGTCATCCAACGGCGCCACTAGCTTGAGATCGTGTTGGAGCGGACAGGGGCTGTGGATTTGGAGCATTCAGAAAGCAGAGAGAGGTCCCCTTGTGGCCATTGATCTCGTTTAGCGTCCTCTGGGGTCCCCTGCGGTACTGGACGCTGCTTGTAGCACTTCCTGTGTAGGTCGAGATGGCCTGTCAGCCTCCTCGGGCCCGAAAACGCCCAAGTGCAGCCCAGACACAAGAGAGAGTCAAAACCCCCATTGACCCCTGCGTTGGCACTGCCTTTCTCTTCTCAAACCACTTCTTTTTGTTGTTCTATCCGAGTTAATTCTGGCTTCTACTTGGAAACAAGTCTGAATAGCTTCACTTGTATCGAGGGGTATAGACCCACTTACACCAGGACATACCTATACAACGAACCTCATCCTCGCTCCCAGAAGAGTATCAATCCGCCACTGCCGAAAGGAAGAAGGAAGCGGTGGGATTCGAATACATACAAAACACCTTGAAGTCGCCATCGATTCAAAATAACCATACGATATCGAACGACGATGCATCGCTCCGCTGTTCTACTTGCCCTTGGGGTTCTCAGCTCACCAGCCGCCGCCGGTTGGCTCAAGTCAGACCAAGAAGTGTCATGGGAACCTCCTCGCCAGACAGGCATCTACGGCCCTGAAGCTGGCGAACAAGCTAATATCGCCTTGGGATGGAGTCCTGTACCAACAGAGGCCCCCCAGCTTGCTGGTGCCATGGACTTGAAGTTTGCCATGGGAAAGAGAGACCTAGCACCCATGACCTGCGGTTTCGGTAAAGCAGGAAGTGAGTTGAACCCTGTTCTAACAGAGCGCATCGGCAACTATCAAAAACACTCGTTGAAAGAAGCTATGAACTCTACTTGCAAAGGATTGATTTGCTAACAGCATGATCTCAATAGATTCCTTCACATGTATTTCCAGTGTCGCCACTTGCAGTTATTCTAACGGTTGGATTGGGTGCTGTGAAACTGGCCGGGCTTGCAAGTCAGTGAAGACATCTTGCGTTCCTTATACTGAATCTGCTTCTGTGTGTGCTTTCCTCGAGGACTTTCACACTCTTTGCTGGTATGTTCCCTAAAAAAAAAAACTCCCTGATGAAACCGATTTGTTTCTAATCTCATATCAGTGATGCGACTGCTAAGTACTGCCACACCTGGGTCGGTACCACAACTGGAGACCCCTACACGATCCTCGCCTGTGATTCTACCTCGGGTAGCTCTGCACTTCTATTCTCCGATCCTTTGGCTACCGGTGATTCGAGCACCACTAAAAGTGATGCATCGACTACGAAAGATGCCTCTGCGACCACAGACGACTCCGCTACCACAGTAACCGAAAGTTCCGCATCAGCGACAGAATCTGAAAAGAAAGATGACGACAAGGGCGCCCCTGTCGGCGCTATTGCTGGTGGTGTTGTTGGCGGCGTCGCTGCTCTTGCTCTGGTCGGTCTGGCTGCTTTCCTGCTTTTCCGCCGTCGCAAGAAGAATGCCGCAGCTGCAGCAGCTGGTAGCAGCCCGCAAAACCCTCCTGCGATGGCCCAGCACCCTCAGAGCCCAGGAGCCGGCTACGTTCCTTCTTCGCCTTCAAATGCTACATATCCTTCAGGCGTGCCTTCAAACTTCCAAGGCTACCAGCAGCCATACGACCCTTCATTGGCTTCTCCATACGGACAACCCCAAGGTTATCAGCAACCTGGTTACGGCGGCTACTCTCCCCAGCCTCAGGGATATGTCCAGCCATTCGGCCAGCAAGGTCAATATCCTGCTCAGTATGGCGCTGGAGGTTATGGAGCACCTCCATCCACTTCGCCTCCTCCAGGACACTTCACACCTAGCCCGGGTCCTAACAAGGACGGCCACGAGACTCCTCAGGCTCAAGAGTTGCCCGCTGTTCAACCAATTGGAAATGAGGGCAACCGCGCTGAGCTTAGCTAGAAGTCTTGATTGACATGACGGGAGTAAAAGGAGTTTCATTTCTGGATGAGTGGGAATTTTCAAGGCAAAGACTATTTGGACATATAGGTGGAATTTCAAGGCGATTCAACAACTGCATGGCCAATCGATTGCACGAACTTTTGTTTTACTTTATATGGCAGACCTAATTGGGTTATTTCACTGATGAATTCAAAATATGATAATGCCTCAATCTATACCTGCTAAATGAACTAATTTGTGATGACTTATCCTGATGAACTTGTCCAATAATCTCGACCCGCGAAACGTACATCATCATAGCTAAGGCAATGCTTATACATGTCCGTTCAGCTCCAATTGCTTTCCAAGAGCCTTGTCCCACCATTGTTCCCAGTCAAGGACCTTTTGGCCGAGTCTCGCTTCCTCAGCTGCAAAGACCATGGCGTGGCTTCGCAAAACTTCATCGAGAGTGCATCCAATAAACTCATCCTGCGCACGAGGAGCTTCCCAGCCATGATTCTTGACACGATCACACGCCATGACAAACTGACGTGTGAGGCCCAAATCTCCTCCACCATGACCAAGGTCTTCAACACGGGGATGATAAGTCTTTGTTTCGCCTGTGTTGAAGTCGTCAACTACGATGCGTCGCGAGTCGGCGTAGACCTCGCCGTGCTCGCCATAAAAGTGGGAGTACCGCTCGCAGATCTTGGTCGTTTGGGCAACCATGTGCAGAGTCGCTGTCTTTGCCGGCTGAGTAGATTCGGGCCAGGTTATTGTGACAAATTGGTCGTCACAAACATTGTTATCTGCTTCAAAGACGCAACGGCCGAACCAGTTCCGGGACTGGATTTCGGACTTGGGCGTCGACTCGCCATAGTCTTCCTCAAGGGTCTTCATGAGGAGCTCCTCTCTTTGTTCTTGGGATCGGTAGTCCTCGATATCATGGACAACGATACTGACGGGCCATCGAGTGTTGCCGGACTGCAGCCCCTTGAGCTTTGGGCCAAGGTAAATGTTCTTTGCCGAGAACTTGCAGCCTTCGTCTCCAAGGGGGCACTTTGTGCAGTTTGTTGCGGACCCTGCTGCCTTGGGTTTTCTACTCTTCTTGAACAGATGAAGGCCGCCTGATGAAGACACCGTCGCAGGAATATGAGGCTCTCCCTGTCCCGCCTTTTCTGGAGAGCAGAGCAGCCAGAGCAACAAGTCGATGTCATGACAACTCTTTGTCAGCAGCGACGGGGCAGTGGTGTTCTCATTACGCCAGTTTCCTCTAACGTATGAATGAGAGAAGTGCCAGTAGCCTACAGGTTCAGTGTGAACTACACTTGATATATCGCCAATGACACGGTCCTCGACGAGGAGTTTGCGCAGCATGATGTTGTGAGGGCTGTAGCGCAGTACGTGACCTATAGAGAATACCTTTGAAGACTGGTAGGGCCGCATGGCTTTGTACATGTCGACGCAGTCTTGAAGAGAGCAGGCGAGAGGCTTCTCGCACATGATGTGTAATTCAAGCGGCGCAAGGCCAACGATAACCTCACGATGCATCTCGTCGAGAACGCAAACAAAGACACCGTCGACACCTTCTGGGACATTCTCATCTCCCGCAGCAGCCCTCTTTCGGCGATCTTGCTCGTATGCGAGAAAGTCTTTCCAGTCATGGAACGATTGGCCTTCTTTTGGGGAACCATTGCCCCAGATGTGATCCCGGCCAAGGGACTCGCGCTTGAACTTGAGGGGTTCAGCAACAGCGGCGACTATACCGTTGGAGACGCTGTCAATGGCAGCAGCGTAGTTTTGTCCTCGAGATCCGGCCCCTATTATGAGGAAGCGAGGTGGTGTCTCGGACGTTTCTGGCTTGGGAGGTGGTTGGGGCTGTGACTTTGTGTCTCCATTTTGGTCCGTTGAGAGCTTTGACAAGAGGTTGTTCACTAGTGTCGACATGATGTAAGTATTGAGATTGTATAGGTAGTGTATTCGATTCAATGTGACGTTTGATATTTTACGAGTTGAAAGAGGCAAGTTAAATATCTTTCTTGGGGGTCAAGTTGAGTAGAATGCCTGATGCCACAGACACTCCAAGACACCACTTTGGAGTATGATTGGTAGATAGCCAGGCAGCGAGATTATACAACTAGGCAACAATAGATCTGAAATAGAAGAGATATAATGTCGTAGAACGTAACATTCAGTCGTCGTTGTTACAATGATTTTCGTATATCGTGTTGTAGATGTTGATGGTAACCAATGAGGTAGAACGTATTAATACATACAACGTCCCAGCGCATTGATTCACTGTCTACCCTTACCTACGTGTACTAACTAAAGTGAAATGTAGTTGGGTGGTTCCCATCTTTAACCCCACTAAATCATTACTAAACCGATTTAGTGAAGATATGCTTTCTCTGATGCCTTCACGAGAAAAGCCAACAGCTCTTTGACTTAAACGTTACATTGCAACCATCCAAAATTCTGCAACAATGTCTACAGCTGTAGAAAGCCAAGCTGATAACCAGCCAAAGAGTTCTACTGATGATCCTCTTGTATGGATCGACTGTGAGGTGGGTATGCCGTGTTACGTTGTATAATGAACGGCTTTGAGCTCATATACGTCTAGATGACTGGTCTCGACCAGGACAATGATGAAATCATAGAGATCTACTGCATCATCACAACGGGAAACCTTGAGATTCTCGACGAAGAAGGCTTTCACGCCATCATCCACTTCCCCCAGTCTCGTCTTGACCAGATGGACGAGTGGTGCACAAAGACACACGCAGACTCTGGTCTCACCGCCGCTGTTCTTGAGTCGACGACTACCCCGGAGCAAGCTGCCGATGCTCTCTACGAGTACATCACGCGGTTCATCCCCGAGCGCAAGCGTGGTCTCCTCGCAGGCAACAGCGTGCACTGCGATAGAGCATTTCTGAGGCGAGAGCCCTACAAGCGTGTGATGAGACACCTGCACCACCGAATTCTGGACGTTAGCTCTATCAAGGAGGCTGCGAGACGCTGGGCGGCCAAGAGGATTGTGAACAAGGTTCCTAATAAGAAGGGACTGCACAAGGCGAGGGATGATATTCTGGAGAGTATTGAGGAGGCGAAGTACTACAGGGAGGTTATCTTTAGACCGACATTTGATGTTGTGCCTGCTAAGAACAAGCCTAACAAGGGAAAACAATAGTTTTTAATTGATACTATTTTTTGAGAGAGGTGAGTTATAGTTACAGATGAGATGGATTGTCCTCATATTAAATATGTTGTGACGGGTTCAAGTGTCATGATTGAGCTGTTTACCTGGGTAGCTACTTGCAAAGCAATAGCTCTATGCTACAAGCTCTAGCTCTAGCTCTAGCTCGTGTTGTCTTTTGCCAACATTTCGGTTATGTAGCTACTACGGATACCTAATTCAGGTGGACATTTTGCATGTCATATCCACCAGCTTCCATCATGAGCTCTACCTCTCTCATATTTACGTGAGAATGTTGTATCTCAACGAAATATCTAGACACTATAAACACTGTCCAGCACATACAATATTCGCATATAAACACAGTATCAATTGTGTTGCCCCTCCATTAGCTTGAGTGATATCATCTCGTTTACCCCACCAGAGAGCTCCCTCCTCCCTGTAGCTCCCCTCTTTTTGTCTCAGTCCCTGTCCCATCCCCATCTCGTCTCGACATCCTCTACCGCTACCTTCGCTTCTCTTTTCACCTCCTTTTCTCTTTCTTCAACAAATCTTCCCAAAGAAAGTTCATAATATCCTTCCCTATTCATTTTACTCCACCATATCAAACAATCATGGGCGTTCAAACTGTTGAGTTCAAGCCCTTCCAGGACCAGAAGCCCGGAACGTAAGTCTTTCCTTGACCTTGAACCTGGATGATCTTCCTGTTGTGCTCCCCCACTGCTCCGGGAGCTACCGAGAACCTTCTTATCCATTCTTCAACCCATTGAAACTCTACTGACATACATCAACAGTTCTGGTCTTCGAAAGAAGGTCACTGTCTTCCAACAGCCTCACTACAGCGAGTCCTTCATCACCAGCATTCTGCTGTCCATCCCTGAGGGTGTTGAGGGTATGCAGCTACTCTGCAGTAAAACAAGGAACATGACCTAACCCAATTATAGGCTCCAACCTCGTCATTGGTGGTGATGGTCGCTACTACAACCCCGAGGCTATCCAGCTCATTGCCAAGATTGGCGCCGCATACGGAGTCAAGAAGCTCATTATCGGCCAGAACGGTATCCTTTCTACTCCCGCTGCCAGCCATGTCATCCGTATCCGCAAGGCTACTGGAGGTATCCTCCTGACTGCCAGCCACAACCCTGGTGGTGAGTTTAACTATATATCCCCGGACTTATAACATAAACTAACCATCGATAGGTCCCAAGAACGACTTCGGTATCAAGTACAACCTTGCCAACGGTGGCCCTGCCCCCGAGTCCGTTACCAACAAGATTTACGAGTTCTCCAAGACTTTGACCTCATACAAGATTGCCGACATTCCCGATGTCGACATCACCACTGTTGGTACTCAGACCTACGGCGACCTCGAGGTCGAGGTTATCGACAGCACTGCCGACTACGTTGCCATGCTCAAGGACATCTTCGACTTTGACCTGATCAAGAAGTTCTTCTCCACCCATCCCGACTTCAAGGTCCTCTTCGATGGTCTCCACGGTGTCACTGGTCCCTACGGAAAGGCCATCTTCGAGCAGGAGCTTGGACTGAGCAACTCCACCCAGAACTGTATCCCTAGCCCCGACTTCAACGGTGGCCACCCCGATCCTAACCTTACCTACGCTCACTCCTTGGTCGAGGTTGTCGACAAGAACAACATCCCCTTCGGTGCCGCTTCTGACGGTGACGGTGACCGAAACATGATCTACGGTGCCAACGCTTTTGTTTCTCCCGGTGACTCTCTCGCCATCATCGCCCACTACGCTCACCTCATCCCCTACTTCAAGAAGAACGGCGTCAACGGTCTCGCTCGCTCCATGCCTACCAGCGGTGCCGTCGACCTCGTCGCCAAGGCCCAGGGTCTCGACTGCTACGAGGTGCCCACCGGCTGGAAGTTCTTCTGCGCTCTCTTCGACGCCAAGAAGCTCTCCATCTGCGGCGAGGAGAGTTTCGGTACCGGTAGTGACCACATTCGCGAGAAGGATGGTCTGTGGGCTGTTATCGCTTGGCTCAACATCATCGCTGGTGTTGGTGTCCAGAACCCCGAGGTCACACCCTCGATTAAGGAGATCCAGAAGGAGTTCTGGACCAAGTACGGACGTACTTTCTTCACCCGTTACGACTACGAGGATGTCGACTCAGAGGGCGCCAACAAGGTTGTTGGTGAGCTAGAGAAGCTTGTTGCTGACTCCAACTTCGTTGGCAGCACCATCGAGGGTGCGTATCATTACTATCTACGACAAGAATACAAGCTAACTTATTACAGGTCGCAAGGTTACCAAGGCTGGCAACTTCTCATACACCGACCTCGACGGCTCTGTCGCCTCCAAGCAAGGTCTGTACGCCGGCTTCTCCTCCGGCAGCCGTATCGTTGTCCGACTCTCTGGTACTGGCTCATCTGGAGCTACTATCCGCCTGTACATTGAGCAGCACACCAGCGACCCCTCAAAGTACGAGCTTGACGCTCAAGACTTCCTGAAGGAGGAAGTCAAGTTTGCCACTGAGCTCCTCAAGTTCAAGGAGCATGTCGGCCGTGACGAGCCCGATGTCAAGACCTAAACAAGTAACATAATAGGTGGTATTTGGACCAAGAACTGAAGAGATGGATGCAAGCATAAGATAATTATGAGATTCTGAGGTTGTTATTGCGTACAACAATATTAAACAAATTGAGCGTTCTTGAAACTACCAAACAACCCAATTGGTCAACAGATGATGTATTTTGAGAAGCAAGAGCAGGCACAGTAGTAGTAGTATGAGTTAGTGCCGCAGTATAAAACATTCTTAATATCGTTATGTTCAAGACACGAGACGAGCCCACCGACTGACCATAATGGCAAACGAGCCTTGCTAAGTATCTTACATTCTGTTTCCTGTCATTCGGGATTTATTACCAAAAATGAAAATGAAAATCGTTATTCGTGAATCGTCAAGCCGTTATTTCTCTCGTGGGACGCCGTCGCTAGAAAAGCATAAACCGGGTTCAAAGGGCTACGAATAATGGGGAAAGGAGGGTGTGTAATAACTGGCATGGTCTCGAGGTCGTAGTGTTAGTTTATGCCCCAATCGTGGAGAGATTATCTTTAGTCGTCAGGCCGTTGTATCGGTCGTCGTGCTCTCATCCGTGAACGTGGGAGCAAATATATCTCTGAAACGTTTGGCCGCTGTACATGTAAGCCTCTGCATCATAATCAATGAGATGAACAACTAACCCTCTTCACTGACAAACTTTATTTCAAAGGCTCCAGAACGGTTGATTCGCTGGTTCTGTTGTCGATATTCCTGACAAAAGACATAGAGATGAATGTCGGCTAAGCGAACTCTGGTTTTGCTCACTCTCTTAATCCATCTCGTCGATGTAGACTGATGCGTGACTGGAGACTCTTGTTAATAGAATATTGCGTCAAGTTGAAGTTCTGACGTACTGAATGCTGTCCAGACAGGACACTGTCGTAGGTCCCCTTCCCAGACTGCAGCGTGAAGACGAAGGCCCTTGGAGACAACGTCCTCATAGACAATAAGAGAATGCATAAAATGGTCATCCACAATTCGGCTAATTGAATAAGCATAAATCGACAAAGTATTGGATTTATAACATACGCTTGAAACAACTTGCGCTCACCCCAAAGACTGAGGTCTTCGTTTGCCATTCGAAGGGTGAGGTTGTCACGAGTCTTGAATGACAGAAAGCAGCAGTACACCAACACCATTTCTAGAAACATTAGCGTTTCGGTATACCAGTCGTATGTCTCAACAACATCCAACTTACCTTCCCATGTCAGGAAGCAAAGGCTGGCCCATTTCTTGGTGCATTGGTCGTTCGCACTCCACTGCCAGAACTGGAGACAACTTCCGTTACGCTCAACGACAAGCTCATGCGCCCCACGAAGCGAGAACCAAGGTGTACCCATGTGGAACGTCCGCAGGAGAAAGTAGGGGCATTGATCCTGTGCAGTTTCATACACCACCAAAGTTATTTGGCGCTCGTTGAAGGATCTGTTTCTGTTAGTCTGAGGTCAACACTCATCAACTGCATTTTGGTCGTACCGCATAAAGAGAATTTTCGCATCGCTAGGCATCTTGATTTGATCCCAAGGTTGTAGTGGCCCCCATGCCTTTGACCTATAACTGTTAAGGACCTAAGAACAGTGAGATGAGGTATGGGAAACTCACGGCTGCTGATGTTTGAGTGCAGTTCGAGATGGCAGTGGCAGAGAGAAGATCTTTTCAGACCAATGTATGTTCTATTAACTTGGTGAGAAACCATTATGCGAAGTCATGATGACTTGACTTACCGCTATGGTGCTCGAGTCATCATCTAGCACAGAGTCGAGTTGAGAAGTAGAGTTGAGGCGGATAGGGGGAGGAGCTGTTGTTTGTTAGCTCTGCATTGAAACTGGAGCTAATATTCTCACGGATGTTCCGGGCTTCTCTAAGCTCCATGAGCTGTACCCGTGTGGTTTCCATTGTATTGAAGTCGAAACTCAGCGATCTATGCAATAGTTATTAGTTTCAGCCCTAGAGGTGATCTTAGAATGTCTGGCTAACCTTGTCAACAACTCTCGTAACAGAGTCAGGAAACGATTGTAAAGAATGAAGCGTTGAGGGAGCGAAAGACCCCCAGCTTCGTCAGTCATGGAATGATACATCTTTCGCCAACGATTCTCTCTGGTCTGGGTCCGGTCTTCGTAAAAGGCAGTGATGTCTCGCAGTGATTTCGATAGGCAAGGAAGGAGAATCTCAAGATAATCGAGCACGATGGGAACACGGGAGAAATGGACCTTGCAGTGCTCGGGTAGTTCAAAAAGCAATTGGCTAGAGGCTCTCATCTCTTCAATAAGCATCATGAGATGAGCATGGTTGCCATCGGGTAGGGCATTGTGAAGTCCTAGCAACTGAAGTGCAACAAGATCGGCCCTTTCTGCCTCCAAGCAACAGCCCTGCAGCAAGTGAATCTCAAGTTGATCACCAAGAACCATCTCCATCATGAGAGATAGAATGCGTATACGAGTGGGCGTCTCTGTTTCATCACAAAACGAGAGAGACCACAATTGGCCTTGTTATGATCCTGAGTCTGCCTTTAATCCTTCCACTCCGCCAACAACAGTCGTGTCAATGGAGATGGTCGATCGAGCCAACGTATACGGTGAAGTGTGCGGAGTAATCGACAGTACTGGTGGAGGTATTTTGAACTAATGGTATTAAGAAAAGTATAGATAACCGACGATGATGGTCAATTGTGAGATCTTGAATCAGATGAGAGACCAGGAATAGATTCAAGACTTGAGAAGAGATCCCTGGTTAATAATGGAAGAAGAGGGGACGACGGGTATGCAAGCCGTCAATAACGTGTGATCCGATCCGGGCAATTGTTCAACACCATCAACAGGTGTACCGACACCAGTCTAGCCATACACACGACCTTCCCTGACGTGGTTGGTGCACGGTTCTCGCTCTGAGCCCAGAGTGAGCCCATCACGTCGATGCACGTAATGTCCGAGGCTCTTGGGGTCCATCGTCCTGTCGTCGCCTCAACTAAAGCCAGGCCTCAAGTCCGGGGGTCTTGGTCCACCTGATGGTCAGATGCCGCTCGCATTGTACATAAGTCTGCAGAATCAAGACTGTCAACTTGGGTTTCATTGAGACAATTACACCAACGAGAGGAGATGATTGTGCTTAGCGAGCGCGGCATTGGGTGTGTATCTGTCAACTTGAGATTTGGGCGCCAGCTTGAATCAACTTCTCAGGCGTTGCCACGATAGCAAGCGTACTGGGACATGACGCCAGGCGAATGCATGGGAAGATATTCGGGGGGGCATCAATTGAACTGGATTAGGATAGAGATGGGTGGGCACTCGCACCAGTCAAATATGACCATTCCCAGAGAAGAGCAGCTGTACAGCTCTGTCCAGTGACAGTCGAGATGCGACGTGTTGCTACGTCGGCGACCCTTGCCATGCATCCGCGGGATGTGGACTTCGTGTGGGGAAAACCTGACGATACTGGAGATTGGGAGAAGGTGAAGAAACAAGTAGCTTCGAAACGACGTTCGTGCTGGGGTATACCATATTTCCCTCCTCGTCCTGGTCAGACCTAAGTTAACATGGCATGACCCTTTCAGTGTTTCTTGTACTCCACTTCGATAGCCGTGGGGGGATGAGGCTCGGCAGGACATGACATGCTTGATACCAGTCCTGGATAGTTTGCGCGATGTTGTACGTTCTCTTATTTGTAAACGTTTCGTACATACGTAGATATATATGACATTGTCCCATCGTCTCCCTGTTAAGGCAAGCATTGCAACTTGCCTTGCTGATCTGCACACTGTGGGTGACAGTAACAATGGCTTTGGTGTTTTTGACTAACAACGGACAAGTACAGTAAGAGTTGGGTGATAAGAGAATTATGGGTGAGGCTTTCAGCTTGGTTGGATTGGCCTTTTTCCCTCGCCTTCCCTCCTTGACATAGGTGGTTACTTATCAGGCAAGAAGAACTGGGGAGAAATCATCTTGCCTTCGTCAACGTCAACGTGAACGGATTGATTGATTGTATTTTGTTTAAGCCAACATGGACAATTGAAGTCTTTACATAGAAATCAGAGGTCCCAAAGCAAAAGAGTTCTTAATATAATCTGCTTCTTTACTAGCCACCATCAGCCACTTTCATCAAACAGGGAGAGCTCACGCCTCAAACAGCTTCAAGCCTCCACGTCATTTTAAGTTTGAGCTTCCTGCTGGTGATTTAGAGCTGCAAGCTTTATGGACTGAATGCATGTGGTAGATAACGTTGATATTTTTGCAGTTTTGATTATTTGGCTCCGTGTTCCCTAATTGTACACATTGCGTTTCCTCGTCCCATGATCCTCGTGTTCGAGATCTGGTTCTCATGGCCAAGGACATTCGAAATAGAAGCCATAGCTCAATCGACCGTCCTCTAGATCATAAACATCTGGACGGCCTTAACCCGTGAAAATTCCTAATAAAAAACAAGGCACTCTTCCTGTGCCATCATACAACACCGCCCAGACCGAGATACAAAGAAGATGGACTTCCTGGCCAGAATCTGCAACACGGCACTGGTGTTGGGACTAATCCGAATCAGATTTCACCTTCTGCGAGCGACGCTTGGGTTTGATATCGGAGACTTCTTTCTAGGAAGACTCTTCCTCCTCCTGGTCGGCCTTGACATGTTGTTAGTATACCTCTGTTTAGAACGTTTCACCATGTCAACTTACGTTGTAAGCCTGCTTCTCATCCTCGTATCGCTTCTTATCGGCGGCAGCCTTGGCCTCATAAGGAGCACGCTGCTTCTCGTTGAGGGCCTTCCATCGCTCACCGAGGAGCTTGCCGACCTGACCGAAAGAGATACCAGGGTTCTCCTCACGGACGTTCTCACGCTGCTCGTTGGCGAAGAACATGTAGGCTGAGAGACCACGCTTGGGGGCGTTGGGGTCTATTGAAGTTAGTTGTGTTTGTTGCGTCGGAGAAGATCGCAACGTGTGCGATGCAAAGGCACAATAGAGAGTGTGATTGCAAACACGAGCGTGGGAGATGCTTCGACTTACCCTTCTTGGCACGCTTGGTGGTTCTGGTAGCACGCTTTCCGGTAGCAGCAGCCTTAGGCATTTTGACGGTGTTCTGTGAGGAAGTGTGAGCAAGAGATCGCAATGCAAAATGCGGTACTAGCAACGATGGAGGGGTAGCTCAAGCTAGCTTGAAGCTGAGCTAGGAGCAATATGGAAGAGGGCAGAGTGGCGTGGCGCAAAAGCGATTGCGCTTTCCAACGCGTAAAAATGCGCGTAAATTGATAGAAAAAAGGTGTATGGAGGTTTTGAGCGTACCTGAGGGATGGTTTTGAGAAATAGAGATTGGTGGTGTTGATGTAGTCTGTAATGCGCTTCTGTTAGCCAAAGTGTCAAGCTATTGCGCGACCAGCGATGTGTAGGTGATGATGCGATAGACCGATGCAGCTTGAACTTGCGATGGGCTTTTTTTTTTACAGTGATCAATATTTGAAAACAGTTGTAAAGCTCAAGACGTGAACAGGCGCAAAGGTTAAATGCAAGAAAAAAAGTTGTGGTTGTTGAAGTATAAGATGGGACGTTACTCACCAAAGACTTATCGAGGCGTGTTGAGTATAGGTAGAGAGGGACGAATTTGGGTGGGAGAATTGTATGGGAGAAAAGAGAGTGAGAGGGAATGTATGGGGAGGGCCAAGGCAGCCTTTTTACTATGGGGGAGTGATTGTGCGTGGGGAGGGAACGCGGCCTGCCCAGCTACCAGACTTGGACTGTTATGCAATGGGCTGGGCTGGTAGGCTGGAGTGAGCTTGCCCCCCTTCCCTTTTTTTTCTCTCTCTCCTCCTTACCCTTCCCTTCCTCCTCTAAGAAAATTGGGTGCGGGTGCGGTGCGTATTGCTCTGCGGTGCGTGTGCTTGGAGCTGCACTTGCACTAGTACAGTCGCAGCAGTCTTGGGTTTGAGAGATGTATCCGTAACCCGTACCTGTACCGCACCTGCCTGGGGCCAATTTCTACCTTTGGGCCTGCTACTAGGGGAGACGACCAGGACTCCGTCCAAGCCCCGTCATCCAAGCTCCTCAGGAGCACCCGTCTCTGACCACTCACCAGCGTGTAAGCGGGTGGTTCTGTTGCTATTGTTGTATGGTACTGTACGGGTACAAGCCGCACGCAGCCCGCCGCGCCGAGGTACAGTACAAAGGTTTTGTACCGCGACACAGATGCTGTTATTCGCACAGTATACTTACGCTCCAGGAGGCAGTCGCAAGTCCCTCTGCCTTTGATTATGGTACCTCTTTTACTCTGATCACTCCTAAACAAATCACGCCCATCCAACCAGCCTCTCTGCACTGGACGGCTACTCTGATGAGCATTCTGCCGTATTATACTACCATATTCGTTATCCGTTCTTCTTACCCAGTCAACGGGCTCAATCCAGCGGATTTACTGTGTGAAACAATGACTTTTTTTGCCCTTGGTTATTATTCCCCTGCTTGTCTATGTCTCTGATTATCTCTTGTCAAGTTTGACTAGATGTTTCTTTTTTGGCTTCACATCGTCTCCTCTTTCTTCCTACTCTGCTACCGTACCTAGTCCCCTCCTGTCCATGTCCATGCCCATCCACCTCTCCACCTCCACCTCTGAGGCCGCTATGCTTCATCAATCTCGGACTTGTCGTCGCGCTCACCTCACCATACCATGACGCTCCGCTACTGACACCCTCCTCCCTGCCCCTTCTCTTTCCTAGGTTTGTTACTTGTACCACACCAATTTGATGTCAACCGCGTACAACACCAACGCTTCCTACTCAATACGGATATCGATTCCTCAAATTCAGTTTACCAGAGCATCAGAAATTATCCACGCAATTAATATTATACAATGCATAACGACTCTTCAACTAATACGATGCGTACACTACATTCGTTTTTCTCTATTCATTTCATCTTTCGCCTATTATGGCGGGCTGTTTGAGGGCGTTGGATCTTATTGATGTAATGTCAAGCTTTCGTGAGAGATGATTCGCTGAAAAGGCAACTAGCACTTTCGCAACGCACGCAAACTTGCCACGACCAGATGAAAGACTATACTCAAGAGCAATTGCTATAATGATCGGACCTCTCGGATCTTTCAAAATACGATATCTCAGTCAGACGTCAATTGAATACTTGTCTTAAAGTAAACTAAACCAAAATTTGCTTGTTCTGGCGCATCTAGCATCACACGTTTCAGCAGCGAGCACAACTTGTGGTTGGAAAAGGGTCCAATTATCGATCCACGAGCATTGACTGAGAACACCAACGACCGGGCAACCGAATGCAATGTCCCGTTTCCGGGTTCGTCTCTAATTCACAACTCGTTCGTTATCTGGCCTTGGGAGGGATTGTCCTCCAAAACCCCAGCGCTAACTATCCTACCTGTGCCTAAGACAATCTCGGGCTGTGTTTTACTTCACTATCCCTCACCCCTGCCATACAAACTCCGACTGATGCACCATTCAAGCGTGCATCACACTCAATTCGGCACTAATTTGTTACTTTGAGACAAAGGTATCACTTGCGCAACTCTGATTGTCAAGAATGACATTGATGTAGCTGGAAACCTACACATTCACTATGGTTGCCAGGCGACCTGGTCTGACTATTCTCAATAGCTTCTTGGTTTGTTCATTTCTCATATTCAGTCACCAGGCGTTTCTTGATCAACGCCAGGCCTGTCATCAGTTCTAGACCACTTTTCACTATTGACGAGTGCAATGATGTGCGGCGGAGTGCAGTACTTTAGCCGTGCGTGATGATCAAGTACCGTCATACGAAAATTGTATGTACAGATACCTACTTATGCGTATCCTCACAAGACCAACTGTTTAACCCTTCGCATTCATTCATCCCTTTATGCTTCTGTTTGCTACTCTCCTGCCTCGACCGAACGTAAGGAGTCAATATTCCGATACCCTCCTTCCTATCCCGCATCTCACTTTCACAGTCCTCTACTAGCATAGGTCTGCTTGGTATGCACCAGTTGAGATCTGACTACAAGGTACGCCTTAGCCTTAGTTGGTTGTTTGAGTCTAGGCCCGGGCAAAGTTACCGTCGCCTTCTATCATGCTACTCGCTCGAGTGCAAAGGCACAATAGGGTCCTAGCTTTGGCAGAGGCAAGCAAGACTGGTGCTGTGTACCCGTGTATCACCGCGGTGCTTTCTCAACTGAGTAAAAATTTGTACTAGTGTTGTTCATAGGCGCATCGTTGAGCAGCGATCAGTGCTGATACCATTCATCAAGGTCATGGATACCTTTGCTAACCCCATACCAAGAAGGAAAAGACAGGTCAAAGCAAGCGAAAGTCACAATGATGCGGGCAAAAGGTACATGGTGACGCATACTCCATTTGCGGACATGGCGGGTACCACGAGTCGCGCGAGAAGCCCTGTTGGTGTAAATGGAGACGGTCGACAGCGCCTAGTCGCAGAGAGAGAGACCAGACAGGGCAGGCAAGCAAAAGCGCCCGGCGATGGCGGCTTTGCCGAGCATGTCTGGTCGCGCCGGACCAAAACAATGTGCAAAGACACGCCGTAAGTGGCCCTCAAGAAAGGTACCAGTAGAGACTTGCAGCGGGTACGCGACACACCTGTCTTTAGGTGGTCATGTAGTCCTCCTGGCACCTGATACTGTGCTGTACCTCGACGCCGAGCCGACTCTGGGCTCACGCCAGAGCTCAGAACAGGGAGCTGAGCGGTCCCCCGCCCAAGCCAATTCTCTCTGTTCCTCTCCACTCACTCTTCTTCCTGCCACCTGGCTTTCACGTTATTTATGCTTTTGACTTAGTAATCTTATATGGGTCTCTCTTCGCTTTTTCTGACGCAAAATCATCACGCATTGCGATATTCGCTCTGGAAGAGGTACCTGAGTACCTTTCTGAGTATTCCCTTCCAACAACCAATTTCTTTTTTCATCTTGACATAATTGCTTCTTCAAAATGATAATTAATTTCCCTTTTGCAATTCAATACTGAGAATGTTGTTTTATCCCTTTTTCTTCCTTTTTCCTTTGGCGAAAATCGTCCAAGGCAAGGTTCGTAGTTCCTGAATAGCTGCCCAATACGAGTCCTCTGCGCAGTAGTCAATAAACACGTCCTTTTTTTCGTGTGCCGATCTGGTTCAGAAAGGCACATTCAGAAAGAACATCGAAAACATAGCCGCAGAATTTCTGAATCACTATTATGCTCTGTCCTGTTATCTCTGTTTTCCATCTCGAAATTGCCAAGAGATATCACGTGTATATCCCAACAGACTGATGGTCATAGCTCCTTGCTTCTACTAAACCCTACCGGGATGCTCTGATGAATGAGATCATGATTCGGTTGTTCGTGAATTGTTAGACCTTGAAACGAGGATGAAGGCTAGAGAGGCTCGAGGCCTGGCACCTGCATGTTCTTCCAGGGACAGCCGCAAAGGTGCATCGCTAGTTGCAAAGCCTAGCTGATGAGTATGGAGTCTTGCTTGCTTGCATTCTCTCAAAGACACCCATTGTCTCCACGTCGGAAGATCTTGCAATCCCGTCCTGGTCAAGACGGTACGTATCCTTCCCGACGGGACGGGACGGGTGTTGACTTTCGTGCCGTGTGGTGGGATCATCGACAAGGAGATGGTCATCTTAGTGAAGCACAGGTAGACAACTGATAGTTGGTAATTCTGGACTTCGGAAAGGGTGTGTGGGATCATTCATCAGTCTCAGGGTCGAGTACAACATCCCGCAGTTCATCGTCTTGGACCCAGTCAATGCCGCTGCCGACTATTATACCTCCGGCCACACCTTTCATGACCCGCCATTTCTGCTTGCTGGCCTTGACATCGGCTTCGAGCCTCTCCTGCTCTTCCATCATCTTCGAGTTATTGGGAGGGACTCTCTTCTTGAGTTTTGCTTGATCTGCCAACTCAAACAGTTCAGCTGCCAGAGTGACATTTTGTCGAGATTTCCGCAGTGTATCGCCTTGCACCTTTGTCAACGCCTTCCATACCTCGTTCGTCTGAGAGGCCTGCGTTGCGACTAAGATTGATGTTTCATCTCTGCGCTCAATGTATGGCAGAAGTTCACTGACAAACGTTAGTAAATGACCAATCCTTCATGACAAAGTACATACCGCTCGATGGGTGCTGTTTCTGCGTTGCTGTGGACGGCTTTGAGTATAGGACTGGCTGTCATGACAGCTTCCATCACATCGTTCCTAAGAACATACTGTGCTCTGGTCTCCAGAAGTCCTGATTGTGCCTTCTGTATTTCTTCTTCATCAGTGAATATCGTAGTATCATCTGAGAACCGTAAGAATGTGTGGCAAGATTGCTATAAGTGAAAACAAACCTAACTGATGCGATTGTTGGGCATTTATAATAGCAATTTCCAGTCGGAGTTCCTGTATTCGATCGTAGAGTGCGAGAATCTTCTCTTCATCTTCTGAGAGGGGCAAATGAGATGCTTCAATGTGACCATCCACCATGGGGATATCACCTTCGTCCTCCATCGTGATTCCGAATTTAACCTCAGATAATTTCTTTGCTGGTGACTTCTCTTGATATAAATGCCTTGACCTACTACAAACGCGTTGCACTTTCCTGATGGCCGTTGTTTGTGGCTGTAATGTGTGGCGGTCAATGTGTGGCGCCCCACGAATGAAAAAGTGTCTGTCACAAGGCACCGGTCACGCTAACACCAGGCTCTCATCATGCCCAGCTAGTATTCTGTGGACCCTTCGTCACGCGAAGATAGCTATAAACCTGGTCATTCAACATCATTCCGACATTTTAGTTTTGGTAGACTCAACCATACATCTACTGAAGTCATCCCTTCTCTTGTAGGTCGCAAACTGCGGCATTGTTTCCAGCAGGAGATGTCTACGGATGGCTCTCCAGGTTTTGATAGCCCATACGGGCCTGCGGCTGGAAGTCGATACCGCACAGTTCTCCATGTAAGCCTTATCGGTACCGTTTTGATACCATAATAGATGGCTAACTTGAGTGCAGCCTCGATGATCTCAAAACATGGGTTTCCAAGAAAACCTCAATTCCTCCACAGCATATTGTTGCCTTGAACCCTCATGGGCGAACGGTTAAGATTGCAAACTTACATACAGAGGTTTGATACCCAACCAGGGTATACAACGTCGCTAACGGTAACCCAGAAAGAGATCTTTGTTTACGATATCCGAATAAGCTCTCCGGGCAATGCGAACCTCATCACCCCAATACCATCGCCGAAACGCTACACTGTTCCGAATGCGCCGAACACTATCGATGATGTACAGTCAATAACATCATGGCAAGAACTATACAAGGACCGCCGGAACTGGGCGATGCATCTTGTGGAAGATTGCGGACAAATGAACTCGACTACTCTGGCACGATACAGTGAAATAGATGTTATTATCAAGTGTCTGGACGCTGCTGTTGCGAACCTCGAAATTAGCATCAAACAAATCGAGCCCAAGTATAACGACCTCAAGAAATGGGTAGAACCCGCATTGGAAGAGCATGCCAATCTTGTTGAGAGATGGGAGCAGTATCTAGATCTCGCCAAGAGCACACCAGTTTCACCCTACATGGTCAAATTTATGACTCGACGGGAAATCAGCAAGGCCAAACCAACCCTGGAGGATCTCATCGAGTTAGACACAGCGAAGAAGGCTGGGAAGCTGGCACCGACCGCCCACCGAAGATTCAGCGAAAAGGCAAACCAACTTGGCAATACAGCATCCCAGATGTATCAGAGCTTGGAGTCGCTGATCGCCGATTTCGAGAAGCTGATGAGCCGCTCTGCTCTCAGCCATAGTACAGACACGGCACAGCTTCTCGAGGATATCGAGGCGGTGGTGAAACAAATGGATTCCGACTATCGAGCAGCACTAGGGTATGGCAGCACGCAACGAGATGTGGCGCAAGCTTCTAAGACAGCTTCGGTGCATACCGAGCATCTGGTACCAACACTAAAGAAGCGAGTGAAAGAGATGGAAGAGCTACTTCATTATGGAATTGATGCGCGCAACTCCATCGCCTCGGAGTCGGCAAAGTTCATGCGCCATGTCACCGAGATTACGTCCCTGCATAGCAACGTCAAGAGTCAGATCAACGTGTTGAACCAGTCAGAGGATGATATGACGACATTCGATTACCTTCGCCTTATTCACCAACTCCCCTATATGTATGCAGCTTTTGTCGCAGAAGCAGTCCGACGCCGCGAGTGGGTTGATAAAGTCAAGACGGACTCTTCTACGTTAGCAAACGAAATGGCCTTGTTTCAGGATGAAGAAGCCAAAAGGCGGCGCAAGTGGCAGAAAATGATTGGTAGCATGTACGGTCCAGATTTGGACACGAATGTCATGGGTCTCGAGGTCAACCTGCTTGGAGAAGACACACCTTGGCCAAGTCTGACTAAAGAGGACCTGACAGATTTTATCCAGATACTGCAAGAGCAGCCTATTGATCAGAACGTTTTGGACGACATAGTAAAGCTTGTACAAGAGCTTGACAACCCAACAAAGCAGCAGTCCAAACGACTCAAGGCTTTCAAGAATGGAAGCATACATGAGGCTGCACTTGGTAGAAGTGGACTTATGATCCGAGGAGATGACGATCTACTACAATCGCTACAGGAAGATAAAGGGAAATTAGAGAACAGGCTCAAGACGGCCGAAAGTCGAGTACGTCGTTTGGAAGACTTACTTCATCGACAGAGCCAAGCCAGCCGCCCCGGAAACCTTTTCCAACCACAAGGACGCGAGAGAGTAAACTCTGGGTCCTCCGTCAGATCGAGCCGCTTTGACGACCGCAGACGATCTTCCGAAGGCATCGATCCTTTAATGCGACGTATCACTCAACTCGAAAACGAACTGCGAGAAGAGAAACAACGATCTGCCAATCTGCAGCAGGAGCTAATGACTCAATCAAATGATCACGAAAACGTCAAAGGTCAGCACGAAGACTTAAAGGCCCAGCATGAAGATTTGAAAGGTCAGATGGCAGAAATTAACACTACCAAACAAGATCTACTCGAGAACATGGAGGCCCTCGAGCGCGAATTCGTCGAAGAGCGTAAGAATCTGGAGATTGAAATCAAGACGCTCAAGGCTCGCCTGGAGGATACCGAAGACGAAATCGACCAATTCGATCAATCAAGGCAGCACGAGAAAGCGGGATTGGTTGTACGGGTGGAAGAATTGGAAGCCGAGCTGGAACAAGTCAACAAGCAGCGACAAGACGATGCGCTCAAGGCGCAAGGGCAGGTTGACTTTCTGCGTAAAGAAACCAGAATTCAAAGAGAGCAACAAGAGGCCCTCGAGCAGCAAATGCAGTCCGCACAGGAAGAGGCCCAAAACGTCTCGAGAAAGTTAAGTGTTGCCGAGGAGGCTTTGGATGATCATTGGCAAGCCTTGACGAGGCTCTTCACTGAGCTTTTGCCCGACACTACTATCCCAGACAATGTTGTAGATCTTTCCGATCTGCTGCTCACGCAAGCCGGGACCTTGGCTGAGAAGTCTCGAAACTCGGGAGCAGATGTTGAGTTGCTAAAGACCCAGGTTGAGCACTTCTCTTCAACCATCTCAGTACTTCGAGAGCAGATCTCCCAGAAAGATACCAAGCTTTCCGAGGATGAGATGGTCGCAATTCATCTCCGCGAAAACCTTGCTGAGGAACAAGCAAAGGTGTCAGCTCTTGAACAAGAACTCGCTGATGGCAGGGAGCAACTTACGGAGTTGCGTGCCAAGCTCAGTGATGGCGAAACTGGCCCTGAAGCTTTGCAAACAAGACTAGAGGACGAGGAGAAAAAGGTCATGACCTTGACTGAAGAGGTGGCATCCAAGCAATCTCACGTTGGCAGCCTTGAAGAAGAGCTTCGGATGTTCCAGGAGAAGGTTGAATCTCTCCAGGGCAAGATATCGCACACGAACAGCCACTACGAACACCGGGACGAGAAGACGAAGGATCTTACGCAACGCCTCTACTCTCAGAACGATCGCATGTGCCGCTTACTAGAACGTGTGGGATACGCTGTTACCAGGAAAGATGGGGAGATGACTGTTACCAAGATACCACGTGCCGAAAGAAATGCCCAGAACCTCACTGATTCTACCGACCCCAGCGCATCCATTCGCAAATCTGGAACACTAAGCCGTGTGCTAGGTGATAGTGCCGACCTGGAACTACTCTATTGGCTTAACAACTCCGACATGCAGGCCGAAGACGAGAAATACGAAGCTTTCATGAACAACCTAGGCAAATTCGACGTGGAGCTCTTTTCCGAAACTGTTTACCGCAGAATTAAGGAAGTGGAACACATGGCTCGCAAATGGCAGAAGGAAGCGCGTTCTTATAGGGAGAGAGCACATATCCTACAGAAAGACTCGCACGAGAAGATCGCTTTCAAACACTTCAGGGAGGGAGATTTGGCCTTGTTCCTTCCGACTCGTAACCAGCAAGCCGGTGCATGGGCTGCTTTCAACGTCGGTTTCCCGCATTATTTTCTCCGCGAGCAAGATGCCCATCGTCTACGACATCGTGAATGGCTTGTTGCCCGTATTTCGCGAATTCAAGAACGAGTTGTCGACCTTTCTAAGAGCCTTCAACCGAGCAGTGAGACGGAATCAATCAACGACGAGGAGAACGACAATCCATTCCAGCTGTCGGATGGTTTACGTTGGTATTTGATCGATGCTTTGGAGGACAAGCCTGGCGCGCCCTCGACCCCTGGAATGGGCAAGTCAACTGTCGCGGCTAATACCGTGGAGGCAACAGCCAACATTCACACTCACACTGCGGGTGGAAAGGGTAAGAGCCGGGAAAGCGTTACAAGTATTGAAGGTATTAACAAGACACTGTCCAAGAGTCTTGAGAGTAGGCGCAGCAGTACCAACTCCAAGAAAGCCCTGCCATTCCAACTCGGTGGCACAACTTTGTTGAAGAATAGTGCTTTGGCCAGCGAAACGAATTCACTCCGAGCGCATAACGCCGACACGCCCTCCGGCACAAGTCCAACACAGGGAGGTCATCTCACATCTACCATCGCCAGCCTGGGACAGAAGAACCAGCGGGTGGAGGGCCCTACCAGACAGCCTTCAGATGAGTCATCGACCCAAGGCGGCGGTGCCAAAGCGGACGAGGTACGAAACGTCGACGCCCTTTTTGGACCCTGATTACGGGCTGCTGATAGTCTATTAGCAGCCCCGAAGCAACGTACAAAGAGAAGATTCAGTCGAGAGCCCGACAAAAAGATCGGTCATATGGGATTCTTTGTGGAGTGTTGACTACAACTATGAGAGCGGGAGCAGAAAGTGGCTTGGTGGTTAAGTTTGTGCGTCTACTATTCTGATAGATTAATTTGTCTCTGCCCAACAATCAGCTTCCCTTTGGGAAACGATGGGCTTTCTTATGTTTGGTGCATCGGCGGTGTCTACAAGACTGGGCGATAGATTGGAGGAGTGTTCTGGTTGTTTAACAGCGGTTAGGAAACGGGAAATTGAGGGATTATAAATTAAGGGGAGCGGCGTTGGGTCAAGATTTCAGCTAACGAAATAAACTTCAATCTACATTTAGAGTCACGTTAACACGTTGGGAGGCTTGATGCTTTTAATACTGCGTATATTCAGCTAGAAAGAAAGGAAAGGAATCTAACTTTCATGTCATCCGTGGCAATTCGATTGCCACTCTGTGGCTGACTCGTCTTCGTCGGTAAAGATGCCATCATTTGGCTTCTCGTGGATGAAGCTTTAGCGATAGAGATCAGCCGTGGGGATCGCAAGAACGAGATGAAGCTCACCGCCTGGCTGTAGACAATTCATGAGCAAAGCGATCATGTTGGGTTGCTCAAAGGTACCTTTGTGGAAATCGAAAACAACAAGTGTCTTGAGCTTCAGGTACTTGCCCATGTTGAGGAGCAGACACCTGAGTTTCTTGAGCGATCTGTGCCAAGTTTCTGTGCTGAGGTCAAAACAGAGACTCTCGAGACCGGTCAAAAGGGACCAATCTTGATTGAGGAGAGTAATATCATCGTCAATCTTTCGCTCATCTATCATCATGCGGAAGTACATCTGATTCCTGGAGATCGGCATCTGGCGTGGGAAAGGATTCGTCGCGTCCCAAAAAACCCATTGGGTCAAGTCAAAACGAGATTCCCACGAAGAAGAACGAATCATAACATGTTTGAGGCGCTGACACTCGACCACATCATCGGACGGAAACGGTTGCTTCTCGCCAGGACTCTGTTCTTCGTCTGGATCGCCATAGATGGGATCGGGAGTTGAAAGCACTGCCGTGAGGGATTTGCAAAGTACGGGGACGCGTTGGCACATGAGATCCAACTCGTCAAACGGGATGTCCTCGTTTGCGATACGAAGACAGAGGGATCTCACGTTATCCACGAGATCAGAGTCGAGAGAACGCTCATAGACATTAATCTGGTTCCTGAGGCGATTTGCTTGGAGATCCTGCTCCCAGATCTTGTCGACAGTGTCCTTAATATCAATATTGCCATCAGCGACAGGGCGCTTGAATATACACTCGTGATAGAAGGGATAGCTCCTGGGACCTTGAGCACTTGCACCTTTTGTGTAGACCAATGTATTACACCTACCCTTTTTCCCGCAGGGAGATTCACGTCTGGTAAGAATGTTTACCCAGTATTGCTCTTTCTGGGTGGTCTCTTTCAAAATTTGGAAAAGAATCTCAGATGGGAGAGCAAACAGCCGATTAGGCTCCGGGGTGGTGGCTGAAGAACTCATGGTGACGATGTTTGCGAATTTTCTGGAAAGATAGTTGGTCGTTGTAAAACTCTTCGTTTGGATAAGTTTTGCAAGGTCGTGTATGTTTGGGTTGGGAAATTTCCAATTCTCTCAATAGAGTGATTTGAATGTTTTATATGTCGTCAATTGCTGTTCAATCTTCTTACGACTTGTGATGTTAGTGGTTATATGGTGGTGTTCTTCAGGGTTTGTTCCAGAATTTCTGTCTTGTTCATCTTATCTCAATTGTTGAAAAGACAATGCGCAGATGATTGGCTTGTTCTGATTGATCTGTTCATGTTATATGAGACGTGTTCGTGGTTTCCCAACCATGTTCGACGTATAAGTAAAGTTATGTATCACTGACGTCAGCTCTTTTGGCCTGAGCTTATCTAGTCATGATAAGGCAAGTTCAGGGTATCCGGAGAATTGACCGCTGGAAGTATAAAAGACGAAATTAGTAGGTCAGCTTATGCTCCTTAGACTATAGTTTTAGACTATTTATCTTATATGCTAACACTTAGGAAGCCAACTTTCCTGCTACCCACTATGCAGCGTATTCTACCTGGCGAAGTACTCTACCAAATCGTCGAGGCTGTTTTGCCCTCGAATCGCGCAATCCTCCCACCATCACATATTTCCACCAAGACGTTACTCTCTTTGACGCGAGTCTCACGCGAAATCTCTTTGCGGGCTATTGAGTTGCTACGAGAGCGATGTCTCTATATCGATTCAAATAAAAAAATAGCACAGCTACTACTCTGCATTCCTGAACTCGTACCAAGTATTCGAACTCGTTTTTGTCTAAGGAGCATCACATCACTCTATTTGTCTCCGTTCGTCGGAGATACGCTCAATGATCTGCCTACGGCACTGTGGGTGCGAGAGTTCTTCTACCAAGTATGCAGGACTTTGCGAAGATTGGTTGTCAATATGCCATTTGAGAGCCTAGAACTGCTTGACGATCACTTGGATGTAAGGAGGACTTTACGTCAAGGCTTCGAGCGCCTGGATAAATTGGAAGAGTTTGTTTGTCTCGGCGATTACCCGGTACTGGGTATTCAGGACTCCCCTACCGAAGTCTGGGGCTTATGGCCGAATCTCAAGCGTCTTACGATATTTGGAGCGCCAGTTGACAACCACTGGTTATGGTGGTACATTGCATCGCATCACAATCTCGAGCAGGTTATCCTTGCGCGGTCGCTGGGAGTGGAAACGATCAATATCAAAGAGGAGTATTTCCACAAACTACCTCGAGACGATGTGCGACTTGACCGTGATATAAAGATTACGCTTTTGGATGCGGCTTTTGTATGGAGAGATGTCAAGACGTCGCGTTGGAATGAGTACGACCCCAAAGGAAGGATGACGGTTGAGTTGTATGATGTGCCGACATCGTTCTATGGTGATGAAACACCTCGGGAGCTTGTGACAACGTGGGTAAAGCGCGGTGCTCTGGAAGGGAGCTTATGGGATTGGAAAGGAAAAGTGGTTAATGGGCCTGCAGAAAACGATTCTTAATGTAGCTGTGGAAGCATGAGAGACGAAACCAGTAGGTTCCTTTATGCTCCTTAGACTATAGTTCTTGAACTACTTATTTTTATACCCTAAGCCTTAGGAAGCAGCTTGGATGAGGTCTTGTGAAGTGGGATTTGAGGATAGCGGCTTTATGGATTTATCCAGACTCATCAACAATTAAATATTGCAAGGCTGATCACATTTAAATCCCTCGACATAATCAAAGCCTAGCTAGTTCAATAAGCACTACCATCTTGAGCGGATGCAGCGGAAATAAATCTCAAATAACCATCCAATGTGCAGCTCCCGGGTAGTTTTGATCTCAATCGGTGGTCAGATTTGGGGGTCCAAAAGCCAAAATGCCCCCGAAGCTACGTCCGATACCCCCCTGTATAGCGGGGGAAACGGCATGCGGACGCCAATAAACGGAGCTTCCTCCTTTGTTCACCTGCCAAAATGGGGTGGAATTTTAGCAAGAGTGGGGATGCTCCGGCTTCGCTTTCTTCCAGAAAACCCGTCATCTCATGGTCGAATCCCCGTGTTTTTCGTTTTACCCCCGGCTGTTACGTTTTGGTTTTGCCAAAAAAACGCTCCATGGGTGGATTGTTTCTCCATAATCTATCTCACCGGGGACGGACCACTACAGGCTAGACTTGACCATTTGTCGATTTCTGTTACATACTCGTTCCTCTTGCGCCCTTTTGAACTCTTAACCCATCTTGCCATGTCGAATTGCTCCGCGAACTTAAACAATACAATTCGGAGTTAGGTCTCTATCGACAAGTAAAAAAAAAGTCTCGGTCGCATATCAAACTCGATACTCAAGACATGCTCCGAAACCACCGTCCTGCAGTGACCGTTTGACCTGTCCGACACGAGCTTGTCCCTCACAGTTCTTCTTGTTCTCCATCGATCCCGAGTCCTCCGAACCGGCCACTAGACCACCTTGTTGAAAGATGCACGATAAAAATACTTCAGTTGTTTCATACGCCGCCGGCGCCTCTCTCGCTGCCGCTGCGCTGATCTATGTGTTCGCGCCGAATTTTTCTATCGACCACGATGCTACTAGTTCCAAGAAAAAGACGATTGTCGGCTTAAGAAACCAAGCCAATGACTGTTTTATCAACTCGGTTCTGCAAGCTCTTGCTGGTCTGGGAGAGCTGCGGGTGTATCTGATTCGCGAGACACATCGTCGCCATATCGAAGACCCTGCCGTATACGCCCGTCTTGTCCAACCGGAAGGTAAGGAGATTCCGCAATGGAAGCTTCAAGGTTTACAAGAGGGACTTGTCACACAAGGACTAAAAGAAATGTTGGACGCGCTTAATGAACGCCCCATCTATAAGAAGTCCATATCGCCGTTCCCGTTCGTTAAAGTCTTGGAGGCGGCCTTTAAGCAGAGGATCAGCCGCCAACAGCAGGACGCGCAGGAATTTCTTCAAATCGTTGCCGAGCGACTCAAGGACGAGTACCATTGCGGTCAACGAGCAAGATTACACGTGCGAAGACGTGGCTTATTCCCTACCAATAGCGCTACCAATATCGACAAGACAGCTGAAGATCAAGCCAATGGCAATGGCAGCGATGAATCTTCGCAAGAACAACAGCCTACTACAAATGGCGACAGCAACTCTGCCATCGAGCCATCCGAGGAAACCGAGATATCACAGGTCGACGGCCAACTGCCCTTGGAGATTGAGGAAGGCTTTCCAATGGAGGGAAAATACGAGTCGCATCTCAAGTGCTTGACATGCAATTATAAGACTAAGCCCCGAGAGGAAACATTCTGCACTATCACGCTGGCTGTCCCTCAAGTATCGGGCACGACGCTGAATGCATGTTTCGACGGCATCTTTAAATCCGAGACCATCGATGACTTCAAGTGCGAAATGTGTCGATTGCTACAAACAAAGGCAGACCTAGAAGCTGAAATGGCCAAGTCGACTTCGGAAAGCTTCAAGGCACAAGCTCAGGAGAACATCGACAGACTCCAACATACGATAGATACAGATCCCGAGAACCCGCCGGAAGATCTCGACCTCGGAGACAGCCGCTATGCACCCAAGCGCAAGATCGCAAAGACGACTCGGATGTCCATATTCCCAAAGATCTTAGCTATTCACTTGTCTCGTTCCATTTATGACGTGGGACAAATGACACAGAAGAACTCTGCCAAGGTAGTCTTTCCTGAGCAACTGCCTCTTGGCGGCTTGATGGACCAAAAGAAATACAAGTTGCTCGGCCTAGTAACCCACCGCGGTGGACACAACAGTGGCCACTACGAAGCATTCCGACGACAGAACGTTCCCGCGCCCTTCTCCAACCCGAATACCTTCCAGCCTTCAGAAGCATTCAGCAAGACGCCAACACCTATGGGAACACCGGTGCTCGGCGGCGGACCAACACACAGCCCGGCCATTTCCACTCCCGATCTCCTGTCAGGCTCGTCTGGTAATTCTTCAACACCTTCTCTAGATTCATTGCCTCCCCCACCTAGGAGTGTCCCGGCAGATCTACGCGGTTCGGCGAGCCTACCAGCAATCGGCAAACCAAAGGATCCCGAAACCAGCAGCCTCCGTTCCGTGGCAGCTTCTACTAAATCTGCCATCTCCAAGCTCACATCTCCCAAGCAGACCAACAGCAGCTCAACCACGCCCAAGCTCGTGCCATCCAATGTCTCGAAGCGATCAAAAAAGCGCAAGGCAACATCAGACAAATGGTGGCGTGTCAACGACGAAAAAGTCAAGGAGGCCAAGACGAGCGAAGTCTTGGGCATGCAGAGAGAAGTCTATCTACTATTTTACGAGCTCGACAAGGAAGACGCTTAGGAGGGCGACACATCGCGCTCTGCGAGATACGCCAAGGTTGTACGTTCTTGGTGGGGAAGTTTTCATTCTAGTCTCACCCGTCCTTTTGCATAGGGTTGGCGTTTTGAGGGAAACAGATGTTTAGGTTTCAATGCTGTTAGATTCCATCGTTTTCATACAGCCGTTGAAGAATATCCGGAGCTTAGGTAGCTGAGAGGGGAATAGAATTATGTAAATACGGAAAGCAGCGATTGGCATACGATATAACATCATGCAAGGAGAAGCGAAGAAACAAAATACGCATTTTATTCAAAGCATTCATGAAAACAGTTTCGTCTGGACTTGTTACCGTATGGCTTATATATGTGACCTGTATCGCAAAACATAATTCAGCAATGTGTAAGTCCCAACGAGAATCCATAACTGACAATACATACTTATTTGAGTTACTTCACCTTTTAGAAAGTAGCAAATATCTATTCCAACCAAACAAGACCTATACATAGGTATTCATAGCTTATACGGCGCAGCGAATAATAGCTGGAACAAGATTGCATTCCGTCTCGCAGCTAATTACGCCCCACAGAATGACTCAGCAGGATATGGGAACAGCTAAGAGTTAACAGCTTTGGAGATGACGACCACCCCAACCTCGTTGATAGGAACTATCGTTTCGTGTTACACTGATATTCTTTCATATTTCTTCACATTTCCTTATATTTAAACTTGTATTTTTCTAGCTTTTCAATTTGTTCTCCAATTCGACATAGAGCTCGCAGATCTTGCGACAAGGGAGCAAATCCTTCACTTGACCCTCAAAGGAGTAACAAGCTTAGCCGATTACCGTACCTCAAGTACATGGCGCATTACATCTCATGAGATTCGACATCCGAGGATGTTGCGCTTAGAAATTGACGACTTGAAAAAGCCCCAAGGAATTCTTGGCGAGATCTTACAGTGAAAAATACAGACAAAATTTATAACCGAGAACACCTTTTCTCATCGCTCATATATAGCAACCACTCTTTCATAATGGTTTTCATCTCTCGACGTACAAAACGTCGTCTACGACCTATTCTTATTCTTCTTCTCATATCTGTGTTTATAATTTACACTATCCTCCCTCACGATTCAGCTATTCGCCTAGCGCTCGTCTTCAATGTTTCGCGTTTCTTCAATTTCCTCCGCGGCGCAGCATCAAACAAAGATGCTTGGCTATACAAGACACCACGTTTCACCGTGGACCTTAAAAACGACGTGGGATATCTCATTAAAACCGGTTATGGAACGCGTCACAGGGTAGCCGAGCAGCTTGCTGCCTTCAAGGCGACAGGAGGTTACCTAGGAAAGGAAGGCGAGAGTTTTCTCGTCGTTGGAGATTGGACAACTGTGAACCAGACAGATGCGAGCCTGATTGGTGCCACGGTACACGATGCTATCAAGAGGGTCATGGAGACCAAGATCAGGGGTAAAATTGATGATTACCCCAGGCTTGTCAAGTACATGAGTCTCCAAGCCAGGCTCCAGGCCGGAGATGAAGTAGAGGCCCTGAAAATTGGCCAAACCTATGGATGGGAACTTGATGCGCTCAAGGTATGTGTCTTCAGACGACTAGCCTTTCCGATTTGCTGACAGATATAGTTCATCATGGGTATGGAGATGATATATAATGAGTTGCCCAACAAGAAGTGGTACATCATCTTAGATGATGATACCTTCTTGATTCGGCCGTCTCTGGAGCTCCTCATGGGCCATATTGACTACCGAAAACCCCAGTATATTGGCAACGCGGTGGGCGATTACAAGGCGCGCTTTGGACATGGAGGATCTGGCATTCTGATATCCGGAGAAGCGATGCGACAGTTGTTTCAACATCCAGGCATCGTGCAGGAAGCATATGCCGAATCCATGACTGAGACGTGGGGAGACCGCCTGGTGGCAACAACACTACAGAAGCTGGGGATCTACATCGAGGAGGCATATAACCATCATTTCAACGGTGAACCGCCGTCCATCACACGTATCTGGGGAGATCGCTTTTGCTCACCCCTGGTTTCTTTCCATGGCTTGCGGAAGCCCGGTGAAATGCGCCGCGTCGGAGAGACCCTTGCGGAGGTAGACCAGCCGGTGCTATGGCACGATGTCTGGCAGTTGTTCGGGGGGTCAGCCATATCGGCGCTTGAGAGCCGGCCGACCGAGTTAATGGCGGACCATGTGGGTAAACCGGACGAGCACACCCGCTCGTGGGGCGACGTCAGAAGTGCCAACGCTTGCCAAAAGCGATGTGAGCAAAGTGGACGGCGCTGCTTGGCATGGACATATGAGATGGAGATTGAGCGGTGTCACACGAGTCCTTGGCTATTACTGGGGGCGGACGGCGCTACAGGGAAAGCATCGGGGATAAACTGGCCTGAGGTAAAGCCATTGCTCAACGGCTGCAGATAACGAGATGTTCCTGTCAACCAGAAACAGCGGGCAGGTAAGCTCCTGGTGATCAACACTGGGGTTCAGTCGTACTGCATAAGTTCGAAACGGTGTCGGAAACTCAGCGTTGGCGCAAGGTATCTGGCGGATGATCTTGTGCTCGGGGCTTTTTTCCGGCTCAACGTATGTATCATACCATGTACCATTTTGTATCGTCCCCCTTTTAGCCTCAAGTGTCAAGTACTACTTGTTTCCACCTCTCGAGTAAGGCAGAAGGAGACGCCTTATTGGAACGTGGTCGAGTACTAGTGACCTAAAAGCCGACCGCCATTGACAGCTAGTGGGGAGGAAAACCGCAACGTGGATACTCTGTACTCTGTACTGTACTGCAGATTGTCTGCACGCACGGAGGAAAGGAGCCAGGAAGGGACTTAGCCAGTGAAGTAGCAATGGTACGGCAAAGGTCGGTGGGCGTCCCAGAGATCCGGGAACTAATGGTAGGCGAGAGAGACTCAGCAAGGCGAGATAGTGAGATGCACAGAGAGAGCCGGTTGGCTCAAAATCTTGCCTCCTGGCATCCCCTAGTTGGCGGCGTTCGCTCGCTTGCTTCCCGTCGCTTCTGTCAGCCAGGATCTTGGTTTTGACAAACGGGGAGGGAGGTGACTGCTATTGCCGTTACCCACTTATACTGGAAGGTACTGTACGGTACAAGACAGCAAGCCAAGTCTGAAAAGGCGGTAGGTAGAGTGGGAACCATCCGAGGACCCGTATGAGCGGGTTGAAGTCAACGAACCAGAACGGGTCTTGGAGTTGTGGAGAGGCTCGTCTCGCTTCCACCGGGATCTTGCCGGTTAGTTCGTTTCCAGTAGTGACGGGTAGGTTGTATAGGTATAGGTTCTATGTACTATGCACGTGAAGCGTGTACGGATACGGTCAGAAAGCTAAAACATGGCCGAAGCAAACTGGCGGCTCAAGACATGTATTTGTCTTGCTGTGCTATGGCTGATGTTAGCTGTTATCTCCTTTGGGCTGTCCATTTCCCAGTTAGGCATTGACTCCTTGGAAATGGAACTGACTGAAGTGATACAGAAGACAGGGGTATCGTATTTGCTGAAATTGGAAAGAGGGGGAGATGATATTGGATATATTTGTTAAGATTGGGAATCAGTGGGCGGCGGCAGGATTTGCGGTTATCCGTAGCGGATACCTGCTTTTGGGGGAAGAACAGCCCAAGAAATAGAGGAGTATATGACGATGGTCAATCAATGATGCTCGCATAATCTTACTCTGTAAGGAGTAGCTTGGAACGGTGGAATTACCGGATAGATCAACGTTTGACAGAATATTATCGAGGTTCGAATATGTGAGTGTATGAATGGAAGGATATCTATCTACTGCCTGTAGCACTTTCCTACTATAGAACGTATGTCTCATGTGAAAGTGTGTAGGCAGGTGCGGTAGTTGGCTTTGGGTTGGGTTCTTTCCTTTGGTGGAAGGGTTCGAGCGAGCGAGCACCGTCTGGCTGGTACCTGGCATTAGCGCCTTCCATAGAAGCATTCGAAGCCAACAGGAGCCCAGGAGTCCTCTACGGGGGGATACTGTGGGGCCAGTGGCTTGCGGGGGTGTCTATGTGACAGTCCAGTTTTGGGGAAGTTCAATGGAAACTCAGAGGAGCGCTTCCAAAAGGAACCTAAGATACGGATACGTATCACTCACCACATCTCTCCTGATGGTGCTAAGTTATCAACGGTCTGTACAGAGATCTTCACTAGTTCGAAGTGAAGTTGCTGGCGCCATGTGTGTATAGGCTAACAGGTACTGACTAGTAGGTAACGAGAAAAGAGAGAACAAATGGATAAACACTAACTTGGGCCCTTGAATGACCTACAGTGAGTACTTACTATTCAGGTCTAGCCAAAGCGTTAATCTGAGTCTGGAGTTCATCTCTGGGTACCATGGAAGGTTGGTAAGGAAAACTATTAGCGAACTAACTAGCTGTCGAGGGACCAAAAGTCACTGGAGGTGAGAGAATAGGGGTGTCTTGATTATTTGGAGTCGACTATAATATTACTAGACTATGGGACGAGAACCTTGCACCCGAGAGCCCATGAGTGGCACACAATCAAGCACAGTTAGCCGCCTTGTCTCAAGCTTTAGCCAGGGTTGCCCAGACCAAATACTGTTCGTCAACTGAACTGTAACAGTCACTTTTACAAGCTTGTGTAGATGAGGCATTCAAGTCGCCTTTGATGATCGTCTTGTCTTACGTACCAGAACAATCCGGTGCAGAATAAAAAGCAAATGGCGGTGTTGCAGACATGAATCAGTTGAACACTCCACGCAATATATCTGTTGTACTTGCATAATGAGACCGAACTTGACACCGCCAGCTTTGGCTTCAGCAGAGTACCGTGATATTATGCTCCGCCATGATTATCCATGCTATTATATTGCCCCCCTGCTCATTGATTGATTGTGAAGCCTCGTTAGCAGGGTCCTGCAATCCACAAAGTAAGGGAGAGAGGAGATTCTCTGGCTTCCAGAGAGCTTCCAGAATTGCCAATTACTGGTGGACCCAAGCAAGCGAGTCAAGGAGAGAGAAAAAAAGCAAAAATATTCTCGTCAATATGTTGCAGCCGCATTGACGGCTGATGATCATATGTATGTAAGATCTAAACAAGATCCCCAACTGCCATTGCCCATGTGCCATGCATACCTGCATGCATGGAACGAGATGAGATGAGATGAGATGTTGTTCAAACAAACCTTTTCGAAGCCTCTTCGGTTATGCTGCTTCAATGGGTGCCGTCTATCTGATGTGCCGCTAATGCACATACTTTTAGGCCCGAGACGAGGCTCTAGCTGGCGGGGAGCTACTGTTGTTCCGTGCGGCTAGTTCCATGATTGATTCATCTGAACACCACTTGGCAGGACCCGATTAAAAAGAATTTCGAGGACTTGGGCCTTCTATGAGAGGCAGCCATGATTCTATTCTAGCAGCACAATCTTATGGCTTTCAAAAATAGAGCTGAGTTTTATTGTTAACTTCTCGAGTCTCATCAAAACGGACATCACTTTTCATTAAGCGAAAGACGTTCTTCATATAGAAGGTATCCTGGTCCAATGCATGCTTGCTAGTGGCCTCTTCAGAGTGAGAACCCTTCTACCCATTATTCTAGAGCTACCTGCCTCGCCTCCATTTCGTCTACGGAACCGTCCGCCTGTTGCCCAAGTTTTGTAACGAGTTTCTACTGTACCGTACTGTCTGTACTGGGCAAAGCTCGCGTCGCGCTTGTTTGTCGAGTATCGATCATCCCGTACCAGCGGAGACTGAATGGGCAGCAAGCCGCCTGCAAACTTAAGCCAAAAAGCCCCCGCCGGCCCGTCTCCACTAGAACTTACAATTTACTGGGACCTGGACGGCCAACACCAACACCACCACCACGGTCACCACTCCCACCACCACTACTACAACGCGGCAACCAGGCAGGGGGCGATCCATTTTATTGTGCTGTACTGTGCTGCGCTGTTCTATCTGTTTAGTCTATCCCGTTCTGCGTTGTGCTGCGATGGTATGGGTGTATTGATCGTATCCTACAGCACCGTGCAGTTATTACGACTCAACTCTATTTGCTATTCGCTCCCGATCTTGCAGCTCTGCCTCTACTAGTCTGCCTCGCCTACCGATCCCGCCTCTTGGACCCCTGGACTGGGCTTCATCGACTCACCTTTCCGATACTTGCTCCTCCAGCTCAGAGCTCCAGTTCTGAGCTCCAGCGCCAGCGCGTCACCTGTCGCTCGCTGGTCTTGGCCCAGTCCACCATCGCGACTTTGCCTTACTCTCAGTGACAGTTCCATCGTCGTCGCATCGTGTCGCGGCCCCTGGTCCCGGAGTCTGCCCCTCTTGCACGCCTTTTTCTCTCCCCCTGCTACGCCCCGGTTCCTTTGGATTTGATCTTCCTTGCCCAGCGCCAGCACCTCGTCTTCCCTCCGTGACCGACCCAGGGTCGCGTCCCCCTGGTCAACTCTCAGTCTTCCTGACTTCGCTTTGAGGCTCCATAAAAATTTCTAATTAAAAAACAACATGGCTCAAGACGACCATGGGCAGAGTCACGGCGACTCTCCCAATAATCCTCCAGCTTCTTCTGTTCTGACATCAAACTCTCCTTCTCTAGCTCCCATTGTCGCATCTGTCACCGCTCCCACAACTCACGCCGCGAGCACCAGATCCGCCAACACAGCTTCAGCTCCTTCCGACACGACTCTCCCGCCCATCACCTCGATTGCCTCGGTACCGTTCACAGCAGCGGACCGTCCGACCACCTCGACGACCGCTGCGGTTTCCACCTCCGCACCCGTTCCCGCAGAGCCCGAACTTACCGCTGTCTCTTCTGCGCCGACTTCTACGCCAGCTCTAGCTCCAGCTGCCTCTACCGCTCCGCCCGCGGTCGCCCAACAGAACGGCGACAGCAGAGCTCCCGAGGCTGCCTCGACAACACCTGCGTCTAATTCGGAAATGTCTAACCAACATCCGGGAATGCCTCATGGCCAGCATGTTAGCTACCATGGGTCTTCGACACATTATGCGCCATCGGTCGGTGTAACAACTGCCCAATATGGCTCTTATCCTGCGGTGACGAGTCAACCGGCTGAGGCGTACCGACCCGGTCCTATGCCTATCGGTAGCAACATGTCCCTGCCTAGCATGAGGACGATTGAAAACCCACATGGACCGCCTGTGTCGAGTCCACAGGGCATGCCAATGAACATGCCTATGGCCCAAGTGCCAGGCGGTGTACAGTACTATCAGCATCAGGGTATGCCCATGGCTCCAGGTTACGGACTTTCTGATCCTATGGCTCGTTACGCTATTCCCCATGATCCCCGTCTTATGGGCAGGGGGCCAAAGAAGGTGTGTAAAAAGTTCAGAAGGACATCTTCGAATGCAGTCTTAGCCAATGGCAGGCATGACAAAGGGAACCAGGGCTGACCGAGAGTGTAGGAGATCAAACGTCGGACAAAGACAGGTTGTCTGACTTGCAGAAAACGCCGAATCAAGGTAAGCCGTGATTTCGTACTCTTCATCCCTCGTGCGGCTTGTGGTTTCAACGTGCGCAATGGAAAGCGATGCTATGAGAGGACAAGCTTGGGGAGAAAAGGACTGCAAGTACGCGCCAGAGCTGGAGAGCCGGAATTAGGTCGCCCAGATCGACATGGCGTATCATGTTTGCGGCTTTCTGCAGATTTCTCGTTTGGCAGAAGCTACATGCGAAGCGAGCAAGACTCAGGTTCACGTAGTGCTGCGCAGCTCCTGGTTTCCCTCGTAATGCCTCTCTGTATCTGCAACCACATGCATACAAATTTGCTTGTCGCCACAGCAAATGAACCAGACCTAAAGCTTGAAGTTTCTCAGAGTTCTGAGAGCTCAGTTAAGCTTACTATTGGTCGCGCGTACTGTACCTCGCAGCCAGCTGCACTGCACAACCCCCTCTCCATTTCTGGCCTATTTCTTCTAGTGGAGATATAAGTACCCCGCCCAACATAGCTCTAACATCTTCTTTTAGTGCGACGAGACACACCCAACTTGCAATAACTGCAAGAAGTCAAAGCGCGAGTGTTTGGGTTACGACCCAATCTTTCGACAGCAAGCAGGCGGGCAGCCTTCTAACATTCAACCGGCACCTAGCCAGAGGACTCCTCCTACAGTTCCTAGCTCCGTGCCTTCGAGCGTTCCTTCCTCCATAGCGTCCAACCCTGTTCTCACCGCTCGACCTGCCAACTCATACGGTAGCCAGCCGTCGATGCTCCCCAGCTCGTATGCAACAGCTCACGCAACAACTGCAAGCCCCAACCCATCTATCACCTCGCTTAGCTACGATTCCAGCTTCTCCAACGTGGCCTCTCCTCCTGTCAAGTCCGAGCCAACATACGAGTACTCGGCTGCCGCTATCGACCCAGCCCTCCACAATCCCGAAAGCTCAAGAGCGGTTGACCATAGGCCTCTTGCTGACAACCAAAACCTAAGAGGTGGCGCCCCTTATTATTGATTTTACCCTTGTTCGTCGTTTGCTGCGCTGCTATTGAGAACATCTGCTTACGCGTGTTTTTGACAGCCAACAAAATGAATATCGATGAGATTATCAAACTCTTGGGCCAAGTTCCGCCGCCCCAGACCGGTCCTCATCCTGAGGGGATGCTCAACGAGATTATCAAGGTCTACCATGAGATGTACGCACATGGTCTCAGTTCTTTCTTCGAAACCACATGGTACTTTTTTACGGAAAATGGAAAGATGTCACTTCCTCGAAACCCTTACTTGGTGGATCTGCTAGCAAGCTTTCTCAAAACTCTGGAGGCTGTCAAGGTCAACGATCATTCGCAAATGGCTTACTCGGGTATTCTTGAGACACGCCTCGTATGGGAGCTTGCGCGATCTGCCTACGAAGCACCTACAACTGTTGTCAACCCTGGTCTGCCGGCTGAGAACGATGCCAAGGAGGCACAAAACCGCGTTCGAGTTGTCGAGGCACTACTATGTGGGGACTATCTGCCTTCCAACCCTCTTTGTTCACCTGCGCAGCATCCTGACAGTTCTCGCACCCGTCAATTCGACTTCTGGTATAGCTTGGCTGAGTTTGTACGGATGCGCGACAACCCTACTGGTCTTGCTGCTGTTAAGGTGAGGGAGGATATGCTTGCAAGGATGCGCTACCTGCTCGATGGTCGCGAGAACCGTGATGTCCTCTACTCTATTGCTGTTGTTCGAGAGCTTTCACCCCACTTCGATTCTGCGTACAACAACGCTCCTCAGCACGTTGACGAGAGCGACCCCAAGAATAGGCTTGCGGTTGCATCCAAATTTATCTTCGACGAGTCACAAGTGACAGGAGGTACGACCAACGTGGTTCGCCGGTTCTGCGACATCGCACATAGAGCATTCGTCAATCCAGGTGTCAATATCGCTCAGAGAAATTAATCAACTTTTGATATTCCGGATGTGCCTTTCGGTTTATCCTATTCAATTCACGGCTGCAGCCATTTTTCTTTTGTTATCAACCCAGCATGATCTTGTGGTCATGCGTTTCCCTTTCGTTTAAAAAAAAAGCACTGTTTCTCAATAAAGCGGGCTGTTATTTGTTGCATCTAAGGCATGGCGAGGGGTTCATTAAAAGTTCATTTTTGGCTTTTGCGTTAAAGGCGTTTTTTTTCTTTCCCAATGGATTGGGATGGGATGGCGAGGCATTGTCTTTACCCCTACTTCCCCTTTGTTCATCATGGCCTACACTACAGTGTGGTCGAGGCGTTTGCAAAAAACAATGACCACTACGGTCGAAGTGTATACCTTAATGCTCCTGCAGTCAGGCAGTGAGGGAGAAGAAGAAATATAGAAATCGGCATCATGGAACGGATTGGTAGAAGCCAACACGGCGAGGATTGGCACAGGAAAGACGAAACACAAGAAGCTAATGCAAGACTTCAGTGGAACCGCGAGTATACTTTGCTTTGCGCCACTTGACTTCCCCACAGACTGGATGGCGGACGATGGTCTTGTTACCCGCGGAATACCAGGCTATGGCTCTAGTTGACCTTTACCGATCAAGACTGCGATTGGATACCCAAGTGGCGGTGACCAACCGACTACCGGTAGTATCATGAATTGGCAACTACACGGTCCAGTCTTGCTTCAGGGAGTTTGGCTGCAATCTAAGCTAGTATACAGTAATGGTTAACATAATAAATATAATTTACTTAATAACTCGGGACTGTGCTTTACTAGACTAGTGTATTACCATGTGTCTCCCGGCTTTATTTCATTCAGTTTGTATTTTCTGATCTTTAAACTGAAGCCCGAGCCTTCTCGATATGTACTCTAAGACTTAGGAGGCCAACTTTCTGCTATAGCATCCGTATCTTTACAAGTCGCTTCTCAGAAATCCAAACTGGACTTCATCCAGGATCTCACCGTTCTTGAAAATTGCACCTCTTCTTGTGCCTTCATATGTGAAACCCAACTTTTTGACTGTAGTCAGACCCGCAGCATTTGAGCTTTTGACCACTGCCTCAATTCTGTTCAAGTCGGGCCACGTCTGAAAGCACCACCGTATGAATGCCTTTGCAGCCTCTGGCATATAGCCTTTGCCCCAAGCCGGCTCAGCCAGCCAGTAGCCTATCTCCCACGTACGGAAGTACATATCGTTTTTGGGCATTGCGCCTATAGCGCCGATGAAGAGGGGCTCCGTCGATGGGTTTTCGGCTGTGTTGGGTTTGAGAAAGATGCCGTTGTGGTACGGATAAGATGTTCCGTCAGGCTTGCAGGCCATGTTGACAAGAAAGTTCTGAGCATTTTCGAGAGTATACGGTGATGGGAATGTGTTGCGTAAGTTGGCAGCAATGGCTTTATTGTTGGCCGCACTCGCTAGTACATGTGCATCTGAGAGATGGTATCGTCGTACGATAAGACGTTCGGTTTCCACAAGCAGAGTACCCGGCTCTTCGCTAGGTGGTGAAGGCGAGATTAACTTGTTAGGCTCAGCCATGATGAGTTCAGTTGAATATGTGCTCTTCGCGGAGTTGATTGTGAGTATCAGTACTGAGTCTAGTAGGTAACAGAAAAGTTAGCCTTACTCTTTGTGATGTAGAAATAAATAGCCTAAGAAATCTGATCTAAACGGCACCTACCTAATGTCGTCTCTTATGCTTTCAGAGGCTAGGAGGTGAGTCAAGGAAGGAGTCACGAAGCCCACGTATGACTTGAGTTTACTTTTGGCAGTTGCGAACCAATGCGATTCGTGACTCACGAAAGGCAAGAGGAGTCCTCGTATAGGATTGTTGAAACAAAAGTCCCTCGACGTAACTGGCATGGCTCGATAAGCGGTTTCACGGCTTGTTGCTTACTGGGGGTCCGCTTCCATGAGAACTGAGTATCAATCGATGCGTATAAAGCTGGACAAACCATAGAGTCCAACCATTTCCATATTGATAGCCAAGCAGCGACTCTATTATGTATGGGTTCTCATGACGAAATATTGAGATGGCCTATTGAGTAGCAGAAACGTAAGTCTTTGAGTTAGGCTAAAAAAGTAAACAAACCAAGAGTAGGGCCAAATAGCAAAAACCGACTCACTAATTTTGTCTCTTATACCTCCAGCGGCCAACTTTTCAAATAACCTGATGGCTTTGGAAGATGCTCTATATTGTGACTAGTGAAAGGTCACACTTATCAGTTCATGCTCGACATGACATCGAAAGCATGCTTATGAGCCACGATATAGATACGTCATGGAATATGAAGTTCTACCAGGTATATGTGTTTCTAATATTATTAAAGATAAAAGCGATTATTCTGATTTATATGCGATAGACAATACCCGTGGATGATACTGATTTGTGTATACAGGTGTATGAGGGTTGGTCTTGGCTTATAGTCGTATTAGAAAGAACAAATGGTTTCTTCATATCCAATCAAGCCAACGAGTTTTATTTACATTGATTAGCTGAAAATGACTGTAGTTCGTGGCAATTTCGGATTTTATAGTCTCGAATTTCAAGATGGATGACGACTTGGACTTTTGAATGGAATGAATGTATTCAATGCTATTAAAAGTCGAAATTTGCGAAGCTGGGATTCAAAAGAACGTACAAGTGCTAGGAATGTACAATTCATGAAGCTACATAAGAGACTGGTCTTTCTTTTTGAATTCGGGTGATATTCCACTATCACCAGCAACTCATAGCCGAATTATGTGATGCAATTGTAACGAGATGCCACTTGATAGTATAAAAATCAACGAGTAATGGTCGAGCTATGATTGGCTCTCTTGATCGCAACAATGATAGTCCGACCCACCACCAAGAACAAAGCTCCCAGGTTTCAACGATCCCCGGACCGCGGGAGATGACGGCCACTATCACGAAGGCGAATTCCCCTCCATCAACTTGCCATTGACCTCGAGCCAGAGGCCCTCTTGGGAGACTCTATACATCCTGTCGCACTTACGGCCGCTCCCTCTCTGCTCACACTATACAATGGCTACTCTCCGACTCGCCAGCCGAGGCGTCAAGAGCCTGTGCATGCGGCCAGCAACATTCGCCGCCCGCCCTTTTTCGACGACTTGCCTGCGAAGAAACGCCGCTCCTGTCGAGACCGTTGGTACCAGACTTGTGCCCGTTGACGAAGATTTCACCACCGCCCAGGACGCCTACGGCCTGTCCAAGCCCCGAACTCCCGGAACCCGAAAGTCGCGCGAGAACTCAGTTTCAGACCGAAAGGTTCGACACTACACTGTTAACTTTGGTCCCCAGCATCCCGCCGCTCACGGTGTGTTGCGTCTGATTCTCGAGCTCAGTGGTGAAGAGATCGTTCGAGCCGACCCTCACGTCGGTCTGCTCCACCGAGGTACCGAGAAGTTGATCGAGTACAAGACATATCTCCAGGCCCTGCCTTACTTCGACCGACTCGACTATGTCTCCATGATGACCAACGAGCAGTGCTTCTCTCTGGCCGTCGAGAAGCTGCTCAACGTCGAGATTCCCGAGCGAGCCAAGTGGATCCGAACTCTGTTCGGCGAGATCACTCGTATTCTCAACCATCTGATGTCCGTTCTTTCACACGCTATGGATGTTGGTGCTTTGACACCTTTCCTGTGGGGTTTCGAGGAGCGTGAGAAGCTTATGGTAGGTGGACGATGGTCAATTGGAAGATAGCGATGACTGACAAGCGTAGGAATTCTACGAGCGTGTTTCCGGCGCCCGTCTCCACGCCGCCTACGTCCGACCCGGTGGTGTTCACCAGGATATCCCCGTTGGTCTTCTCGACGACATTTACCAGTGGGCTACCCAGTTTGGCGACCGAATCGACGAGACCGAGGAGATGTTGACCGACAACCGTATCTGGATTGAGCGATTGAGGGGTGTTGGTGTTGTTCCTGCCTCTGAGGCTCTGAACCTTTCCTTCACTGGTGTCATGCTCCGAGGTTCTGGTGTTCCTTTCGACGTCCGCAAGAACCAGCCTTACGATGCCTACGACCAGGTCGAGTTCGATGTTCCCGTTGGAACCAACGGTGACTGCTACGACCGATACCTCTGCCGAATGGAGGAGTTCCGTCAATCTCTCCGCATTATTCACCAGTGTCTCAACAAGATGCCTGCTGGTCCCGTCCGTGTCGAGGACTACAAGGTTTCTCCTCCCCCACGAACCGCCATGAAGGAGAACATGGAGGCCCTTATCCACCACTTCCTTCTGTACACCAAGGGTTACGCCGTCCCCCCTGGCGAGACCTACTCCGCTATTGAGGCCCCTAAGGGTGAGATGGGTGTTTACGTCGTTTCTGACGGTAGTGAGCGACCTTACCGATGCCACATTCGTGCTCCCGGTTTCGCTCACTTGGGTGGATTTGATCACGTTTCCAAGGGTCACTTGTTGGCTGATGCTGTGGCGGTCATTGGTACTATGGATCTGGTGTTCGGTAAGTTGTTCCTTTCAGAAAATTTATTAATTCATGCTGACATTACACAGGTGAGGTTGATAGGTAAAGCAATGTGGAAAAGAAAGAAGATTAGAATGGGTTCCTTTTGTTTGTAATCATAGCTGATAGGGAGACCACGGTAAATACTCCCACAAGGTCGTGTGCTCGAGCGACAAGCTATGCAGAGGTGATACTTGTTGAAATTTAGCAATGAATCATCTTGAGTTCCATTTTTGGCTCCGATTTCGCCCAGAGTGATTATGTACATTTAATGTTACAAGATAAGAGTATACATGTGTAGACTTTACAAGATTTTGGTTCCGGTACCAGAGGCCTGCTCCATAAAGAAATTCTTCAGGGGGCTAAGGGCATTGACAGCTCTTAGGCCAACTGAACGCAGCGGCACCAGGGGGCCACTCTCGACAGAGTAGAGCTTGTGAAGCTTATCACAGACATTGAGAATGATGTGGTTGGCTGCGTATCGCTCGCTGTTGTAGGACTCAAGAGATAGTTGGGCACCAAGATCCTGACCGTGAGAGACAGCAAACTCGATGGTGTTGACCAGACTCTGGGCATCTCCTTGACCTTGGTTCAAACCTTGACCTGCCAATGGATGAATAGTATGAGCGGCATCGCCAACAAGTGCAATACGTTCACCGGTATATGTGTCGGCATGTCGCAGCTTCAGGGGAAAAGATGCAATGCTGCCTTCCTGCACACCAACGACAGTCTGCGGCAGAGCCTCTACATTGAAGCTTGTGTGTTGTAGGCGCCATGATAACTCTTCTTCCTGGCTGCCTTGCTGAGTGTGCATAAAGCCGATATCGACAGGGCTCAGTCGGAAAGCAGCATTGACCATGGCAATGAAGTCTTTGGGGCTAAGGCTTTTGAGGAGGGCAGCCTTCTCTGGGGTGGTAGACCAGACCAAAGTAGCATATTTGCCAGGCATGGGTAACATCGCAACAGGTCCAGTAGGCAAGAATCGCTGATAAGCAATCTTGTTGAACTGACCACCCCAACCCTCGCCTTCAAGCTCCAGAGTTGCGACAACGCCGTGTCTGCCGTAGTCCCAGCCGCGGCTGTTGATGCCGGCAAAGGTACGCACAGGACTGTTCGCTCCGTCGGCACCAACAAGAAGACGTGCTGCCAGCGATTGGCCGTTCGAGAGCTGTACAACCGGCCATCCACTCAGATCCAAGTCTTCGGTTTCCTTGCCTAGATCGATGCCCTCGACCTTGGTCTTATCGAAAATGTCCACTCCACCAAGTTCGTGCAATCTTTTCAGTAGTCCAGATGTCAAGTTGAGATTCTCTGTCATGTAGGCGATTGTTTTATCTCCAGTCGTGCTGGGTGGCCAGTCGAATTCGATTCGGGCACCAGTGACTCCATCCCATACTTGCATCTCCTGGTAGTCCTGGACCCGATCACGTTGCAAATGTCGCCATGCGCCGATCTTGTTGAGATACCGAGCCGACGCAGGAGTGAGAGAGCTGCACCTGTTGGAGAATTGGGTCGAAGGGAGTGAGAACGACGAGATCTTGGAGAGATCTTGAGCTTCAATGAGGGCAACTCGAAGACCGGCAGTTATAGGATTGGCACCTAGTAGTGTTAAAGACGCCAATTAATTGAAGTTCAAGAACTTACGAAGAGCAGTCAGTAGACTCAGGCCTGCTGGCCCGCCACCAACACATACAACATCATAAGTATTGTCCTGCGTAGAAGTTGAAGCCCGCCGAAGTTGAGACTGATATTGACGAGCACAGGTTCGACAGACAAAGCCTGGCTTGGCTAGAGCTGATCGACGAGCCAGCATTGTTCCTTGACAGCGATATTTTCTATATCCGAATAATTGAGTTGCGACAATTGCAGCACGACTTACAATCCAGCAAAAGACATGTGAAGCACCATATCTCTTTCAGCAAATCGTCTCTCAAACGTTCGATAGCTCGACGACGAAAGTGGCATGGTGTGGCTACAGCATGTGGCGGTGCAATGATCTTGAGCGGGTCAAGTGACAGGGTGGTCGCGAACCTGATTTGAGTTGCCACAGACAACCGCGCTATCAATTGTCATTGCGTCAAGGGTCTCACCCGCGCCCGTCATCAACAATTCGCTTGTCTATCCAGCGACCAGCAGTTCTTTCACGATCCATCACCCCACCACTGCAGATTTTCTGCCTATTTTTCAGTCTCTTTGTGAAAAAGGAGATTTAATTGTTTCCCTTGTGGTGACAGCCTTCTTTATCACTATTACAGACTTAAGAGTGGTTGCCTACACTCCTTGTTGTTCTTTTGAAACCCTTCCGACCTCAGATTTGAAGCTCGAACATACAAAACGTGGGCGGTCCCCTAACCTGCGGCCTACACACCATTTAAACTTTACCATTCTTCTTTTCGTTAAGCCAAGTTAGTCATTATGGCCGATATCGATGATTATCTCGAAGAGGGCTTTGACCCGCGCTCTGTCACTGTACCACGCCTTCGATCAATTCTTGTTACACACAACGTCGAGTACCCTGCTACTGCGAAAAAGTCCCAACTCGTTGACCTGGTTGAGGAACATGTCCTGCCACAAGCCCCTAAGCTCCGAGCCCAGCGCGCACGCGCCAAGAGGTCCAGCATGGGTATCGTGAATGCTGGCAGTCCTGAAGATAACGGCCTTTGGGATGATTATGATCTGGCCCCTCCATCAACAATCAAGAAGCGATCAAAGTCCCCTCGCAAAACATCAAGCCGCATTAAGACTGAGCATGATGTTCTCGCAACTCCTGCGCCTAGAAGTCCTACAAAGCGCAGCACCCGATCAGTAAGCCGCGCGCTTTCGCATACTGACGAGCCTGGTTATTATGAGGCGCCTCGCTCCGTACGTCAGCCACGGAGGGACATAACGCCACAGATCAAGCAAGAATCATCCGAAGAAGAGGAGGAGGATGAGGAGGATGAGGAGGAAGAAGTGGAGGAAGAAACCATACTGCCCGACCACGAAGAAAGTGTTTTCACATACGACAACCCTTTCCAAAGTGGAAGTTCTCCAGCTCAACACAAAACGCCCACCAACCGCCGCCGCACAGCTGAAAGGGATTCTATCAGAAGTGTCAAGTCATCATCGCGACTTCGAACAAGCACTTACAATGACGACTATCAGCAGGTTCACGAACCTCAGACCCCTATATACCGTCAGCCAACCCCGGATGTGGTTGAGGCTGGTGAGGAGTTCACGCCCAACGAACAACTGGAGCTCGAGGAAGCCGCAAGCCGCGGCGAGATGGCTACAGAGCCACGCAAGCCTATAAGTCAAGTTTCACGAAAGGGTGGCTTCAAGGCCCCTCTCTTGGTCCTCTTCCTGTCCCTTTTCGGGGCATACCTTGCCTGGTATCGCCAGGAGAAGATAGCTGTGGGTTACTGCGAGGTTGGCGGACAAGCAAAATCGCTTATCTCACCTGATGTTCCTATTCCAGACGCTCTTTTGCCTTTTGTTGAGCCTCAGTGCGAACCTTGCCCATCACACGCTTACTGCTACGGGGACTACTCAGTCCGTTGTGAGAATGGCTTCCTTCTCAAGCCCCATCCCCTGTCTCTTGCTGGTCTGGTTCCCGTCCCACCCACATGTGAGCCAGATGGCGAGAAGGCAAGGCGCGTCAAGGCTGTAGCCGACAAGGCCATCGAAGAACTCAGAGAACGACGAGCCCAGTATGAGTGCGGAGAGCTTGTCACAGAGGATGGTGAAAAGCAAGACTCCCCTGCCATTGCTGAACATGAACTTAAGCAGACTGTCAGCCGCAAACGCTCTCAAAGGCTCACTGAGGAGGAGTTTGATGAGCTCTGGGCAGAGGCCATTGGCGAGGTTGCGACTAGAGAGGAGGTTGAAATCATCGGGACAGCACCGTAAGTCATTTTTACTTAATCCCCAACAAACCAAACCGCGACAACATTTTATTGCCTCAACTGTTTCTGACCATAAACTAACCAGATCCACTATCGACCCTACAGACCGTCCGATTCCCCCGATCTTCCAGATCGACAGCTATCGTCCACGTCTCTCGCTCGCCTTCCGCTCACCTGCGCGCTCAAGCGATCGGTCCGACTCAGCCTGGCAAGATATCGACTCACAATTGGACTTTTAATCTCTGCCGTCTTGGGTATCTTCTACATGCGGGCCCGGTACCGTACGCATGTAGCTACAAAGGCTCGAGTTCCTGCTCTGGTCGACACCGTCCTAGGAAGACTTGCCAACCAGAAGGAGCTCGGCGAAGAGGGTATTGACGACCCTTGGCTATTTTTGCCAAACTTGAGAGATGACGTTCTTCGAACTATTCACTCATTATCAGAACGAGAACGCATCTGGCAACGGGTCCGAGCTGTAGTCGAGCAAAACAGCAATGTTCGGACCAGCCAACGTGAGGGTAGAAGCGGCGAGGTTGGCCGTGCTTGGGAATGGATTGGCCCTGTCGCTGGCGAAGGGGCGAGAAGGCGACGAACTGGCCGGGTATCCCTTGGTCCCGATTTACATACAGACTCTCCGGAGGCATCAAAGGTCACGCCCGAGGTGAAGAAATGGCAAGAACCAAGGCCCCTTTACTAATATTCACATTTAATGTATTTTGAGTATTCACTCTTGTTGTATTCTGTTATCACCTGTTCCTATTAGTTTATAATGGAGACTGTTTTGGGTAATGGGTTAACAGAGCAATGGAGCAGATGCTCTGGGGAGGGAAGGCGTTGCGATTTTCAGTCGATTCAAATGTACAATTATTCGTGTACAAACAAATGCATGAGAATTTTCTATCAGACATAAGTCTAAGATAAGCCATGATTGAGATACAAGGATATCGAAAAACTCAGCACGAAAAAGGTTAGCCGCTGATAAAACTCAATACACATATGACCCGTTTCGTTGAGTGACGGCATGCAATAATCACTCCAATAATTCAAACATGAAAACTGAAGTCGTTGTGTTGAAGATGTGTTTTTTTGTTATTTTGCGATCCGCCGAGAATGGGCGATGTCGGAGATCCCGACCTTTCCCGACGAGCAATTTACAGCTCCGATAAACCCATTTGAACATAATGGACCCAAATCTCGAAAATCTCACAGACAACAGCTATCCGGCAGTGAAGTAACTAGGGTCTTGATTGATTCGGCTAATGCACAGGTGTTGTTAAGACACAAGGGGGGTACAAAGAAAAACCGTGGAATCCGGTGATCGAGACTCTAGCGGCATGTAATTATCTATTGGGCCTTGGAGGCAACGATCTCTGCAAATTTGTGTTAGTCATGTCAATGGTTTTGGCCTCGATCGGTGGCACATACTCTCAACGTCAGCAACACTCTGCTGGAGGATCTGCTGAAGGACCTTGGGGTTCTCGAGCTCCTTCTGGACCTTAGCGATAATGGACTGAGCAAGCTCCTTCTGCTGGCGCTGCTTAACCTGGCCCTCGTATCGGACCCAGGACTCAAGGACGGCCTTGGCCTCAGCAGCCAGAGCAGTCTTTTGCTCGAGCTCGAAAGCCTCAGACTCAAGCTTGGCAGTCTCCTACAAAAACGACCGTAATCAGCCATAACCCTTTTTTATATCCAACTGACATTTAGAATTTACCTTGGAAACCTCGAACAGGTTCTTGGTGATCTCAACAACGCTACCCATCTGCTTGACGTCCTCAATACGGCCCTTGACAGCCTCGGTGTGGTCGGCACGGGCGCTGTTAAGGATGTTCTTGATCTTGTTGTTCTGCGCCTCAGCCCACTCCTTGTAGGCAGGGCCACCGTACTTGATCAGAGCAGTCCAGACGGAAAGAAGGGAGATGGCGATGATGGTCTCCTCGTTCATGACGTAGTACTCGCTGGAGATGCCGTAGATGGAGAGAGCGGCGGCGGAGCTGAGGATGGCGCTCTTGCTGAGAAGGCTGTTACCGGGAAGAGCGTCGATGATGCTCTGAGCCTTCTTCTTGGGGTCCTCGGCGGGAACATTGCTGTTGTATCGCGCAGCGGCAACGGAGAAGGCAGGGGCAGCTCGGCGGGCGAGGACGGGTCGGAGGAGGGGAGCGCCTACGTATCGGGTGTCAGTGGGAGTCAAAGGCTCGCCAATTGGGGTCGAATTGGCTTCGATTCGAGGAATTCGAGGTTTCTCGACGTACCGACGGCGCTTCGTGCCAAGCGTGACGCCATTGTGGGATAGTTCGTGATGGGGGTATCGGGGGCTTGTCGTTGATCGGAGAGCTGGAAGTGAGGTTGAGGTTTTATCGCGCTAGCTCGGCAACAATCAAAAGCACGTGACCTTGATTGATCAAGCAGATCTGGAGCGCCGGGATTTTGCCGTATGGTGGATGCTTAGAGTTGATTGGTCAAAATTTCAACATCTAAAGATTTTGAAGATTTCCCTTTTCATAACTTAGATGAGAGAAGTATCAATCCTTTGACCATTAATCGTCTCAAATAATCTACTTTTTCTAGATTTCAGGTTAATCGCCACATTTCTACCACTTCTTACTCACAGTTCTACTTTCAGGATCTCATTTTGAACCAAAGTCTCAAATTTGAACATGTCAAAAACAGCTGCTGAGCGCTCGAAGCGCAAGAGGTCCTCTACCCAAGAGGAACCCACCAAGCGCCGACGCTCATCAGTATCAAGCGATGAATCTAAAGATCCCAGCGACAAATTTCTCCTGATGGAACAAGGCATCCTGGAGTCGCGAAAAAACTATAACGATATTACTGTTCTTCTCACTGCTGCCAATGGCTTCAAGGACGGCGACTCAGAAAGCATGCCGGCCACCCTCGTCCTGTGCCGAATTTTCATACGGTTACTTGCGCAAGGCTCCCTATCCACTAAGAAGACTCTCTCCGAGAAAGACCAAGTTGTTGTGGCCTGGCTCAGAAAGCAGTTTGGAGAGTTCAAGAAGACTCTAGCTGCCATTCTCAAGGACAAAGAGCTAGCATCTGCGGTCCTGAAATTGTGTATGAGAACGCTCAAGGCTGAGGGTGAAACTTTCAGCGAAAAGGATGATTACATTTTCCCTCGGAGTTTCCTCCGAGATATCGTGCTTTCCCTGATTGAGAGCGAGGACAGCGAGGTGATGAACGACTTTGTCGAGGAATTCGTGGAACAGTTTGATGATATCCGTTACTACACATTGGATGCGGTCAAGCATATCGTGAAGGAGCAAGAAGGCGACCCTTCACCAGAGCTTTTTGACAGGTGCTTTGCACTTCTGTCAGCTCTCGATGGCGTCCCTGAGTCTGCCGATCAGCTTGAGGACTTTTATATTCCCAAGCCTAAGAAGAAGACACATAACCTTCGCAACATCAACCAGCACAAGAAGCAAGGCCAGGAGGCATGGCTTGCTCTGATGAGTCTCATGGATGGCAAGGAGCAGCGGCAACGAAAGCAGATTCTCGAGATCTTCACAACAGTGATTGCGCCTTGGTTCACGAAGCCCGAGCTTCTCTCTGATTTCTTGACAGACTGCTACAATGCAGGCGGTTCGACTTCGCTCCTGGCCCTTTCCGGTGTGTTTTACTTGATCGAGGAGCGCAACCTTGACTACCCATCATTTTACTCCAAACTCTACTCTCTCCTGGATCGCGATATCCTCCACTCCAAGCATCGATCTCGATTCTTCCGTCTTCTCGACACCTTCCTTGGCTCGACACATCTTCCTGCGGCATTGGTAGCCAGTTTCATCAAACGTCTTGCTCGTCTCTCACTGAACGCTCCTCCTGGAGCTATTGTTTTTGTCACCCCCTGGATCTACAACTTGCTGAAGCGTCACCCAACATGCACGTTCATGATCCACCGACAGATTCAAGACCCGGAGGTGAAGAAGCACATTGAGGAGCAAGGCGCCAAAGATCCTTTCCTCCCCAATGAGACAGACCCTATGCACACAGAAGCAATTGAGAGTTGTTTGTGGGAGCTTGTTCAGCTGCAGTCGCATTATCACCCCAACGTTGCCACAATCTCCAAGATCATTTCGGAGCAATTCACCAAACAGTCTTACAACATTGAAGATTTCCTTGATCACTCATATGCCACTGTAAGTTTTTACCCGCTCACACCTTTGACTAATTTCCCATACAATGATGCTAACTACCCTGGCAGCTTCTTGAGGCCGAGATTGCAAAGGAGATCAAGAAGGCTCCTGTTACCGAATTCCACATCCCAAAGAAGGTCTTTTTCGCTAATGAGGGTGCTGAAGAGCCGGATAACTTGTATGTTAAGTTGTGGGACTTTGGACAGTAGTATTGTTGTGGGAATGAATTTGGGATTTGTGATAGTTACTAATACCAAGCCGTGGGCTAAAAAGTATTCAGAATTTAGATACCTCTGATTTTACAAGAACATGAAATATGGGCCTGAATGAGTGTCTTTTATATGTGCTCGTGTAAACTTTGATCACGTTGGATATATTCTAATCTTCCTTAGATTCCTGAAGTGAGTTCCCCAGTAACAAGTTAGTGGTGATCTGTGTAATTGGGAGATTTGGCAAAAAGGTAACCGAACTCTTGAAGAGTCCGACTTTCATCAAGTCGACGTGGGCCTGATTCGAACAGACGCCTCCGAAGAGAATAGATTTCTAGTCTATCGCGTTAGACCACTCCGCCACCACGCCTTTATTGTTGAAAAAACGATCTCTTATTTAGCATCAAGTCCGGAGTTCGAGTATGTGACCACAATCTCGATGGCATGTCAAGTACAGTTTGGTTGCTTTGTATGGAGACGATGCAACTTTTCCTTGTTTTATTTTCCTTATCGTTAATGATATTGACACACCGATGCGAGTCAGGCCTTCGAAGTCTGTTTGTAAATCGAAGGCAATTTTTCCCAAGTTCAGATTCATTACACTGACACTGGATAGTTACCACACCAACTTAAAGAATCTTAATGTCAACGAAGCTATGTTGCTAAAACTTTAAACAGCCAAGATGCAGGCAATACGAGTGGGAACTTTTCCAGTTAACGATTGCGCCGAGGCCTTGATGAATACAACATTCATGAATATACTGGGATTGTAGTTAAGTGCATTTGTGTATCGTTAATGATTCTCAATCTTGGCAGACAGAAACATTCGATGATCCGATTTAAAGACAAGGATCTATGCTCCTGTCAACACATTCTTTGCGGGTATTTGTCCTCGTGTAAATATTATTGGCGGACCACTGTTTGCAACTTACATGCGCTAAAATTAGTCCAACAGTCACTATAGACTCTATTAACACTTTGATAAGTGACTGTCCTCACGTGGTCAAGTACTTCTAAATGCCAATGCATCTCTGCAATAGCAATTGAACCTTTTCTTACATGATATAAACTTCATAAACATGCAATTCTTATCAAGTGACTCGGAGCCATTCATTCCACCCTGGGAATGGATGAACTCACCCAAAACGTTGCCTGGTTGCTGCTTGGATGTTAGTGCAGACTACACTAAAAGTCCATCCCCTGTCAACCTCTGATATCTGACATCATTACCTCTGCGTTTGCGGCTGCAAGCGAGACCTCGCACTACTACGTACACTTTTGGCGGTCGCTTTTCGTTTCCCCTACCATCGGATTGCTCCTCCCATCCTTTGCCAAACCATCTCCATCTATCTGCGATTGTCACCATGTCGAGCAATCGCTTTAACGAGTTGGGTAACTCGGGCAAATTCGCGCCCGCCCCTCCTACCTCAGATGCGAACCAGTCCCAGGCTCCTGAATCGTCGAATAACTCCAACGTATCCAAGCCAGCTAAGAAGAGGAAGGGACATCGCGGCGGTAGGAAGAAGAGAACGCGCAGAAAGAGTTTTGCGGCGATGGACGATGATGATGACCATGATGAGACTCGTCAAGCCACAGGAGAGGGTTTCTTTAATCTTCCCCGCGCAAACCTAAGCAATACCAGTATCGACAGTGAAGCATTGTTAGATCATCGGTAAGTTTTCCCCATATGGATAATTGGTTTGGCAATCACCTAACATTGAAACAGAGATCATCAGCCCTTGCGCCCCAGACGAACATCTACTGCACCACCTCCTGGTGGTATGTCAGTGTCGTCGCCCTTTGCAAGTTCTGCTGGCAACCGTCTGCGATCGATACCAGCAGTCTCTGCCGAGGAAGAGCACCAGGACCATACACAATGGGAGGAAAATGCTCCTTTGCTCGGCGAATCTATAATTTCTGGCTACGGTGCAAGTGATGCAAGATCGAACCGGACGAGAAGCCGTCGCCCATCGAATAAATCATCAACAACGCGCCTAGGAACCTCATCCGGCGCAAACTACGATGTCAACGCCCCTCCCTCGATGCCTGGCTCGCCTACATTTGGCACCGCTGATCGCATAGAGCTCAGCTTGGGCGATGTTATGATACGGGACGGGCTTGGTGATCGTGATGACTCTCCCCACCGTTTGGTGGGCGAGATCGACTGCCTCTCCGATATGGACAACATGCGGGATGGTCGCCCTGATAGGGGCCGTAGGATGGCAACAGAGGCTGAGCAGGATGTGTGCTTCCCTGTCCCTGGCATGTCGGAGATGGGTGACGACGATGCGCAGTCGCAGGCTCATGAACACCGCCAATATCGAACGCGTCGCCGTCGTGGTCAATGGCCTGACCTGTCCGTTCTAGAGGAGTGGAGCTCCATGGAGAAGGAGGACCGAACAGAAGAGCGTCGGGTAAAGCGTATCACCGAGCCGCAGCTCATCAATGGGCGTCTGCGACCACTGCGTAAAGGACAATTTTATGAGGCGGTCGAAGAGTCACCTTATCGATTCACATACTTCAACGAGGAGTTCCAGAGCACAGTTCACAGTCAGACTATTTCTGAGCTGGTTCAACCTGGGGGTGGATTCCGTGAACTTTTTGTTCCAGATCCTCGAGTGCTCTCAGATGACGAATCTGACGATGAGGAGGTTGAACCTATTCTACCGACGAAGCTCCATAACCTTAGCACGGAAGGCAACTCAAAGGTTCATACACGTCAACCATCTCTATCGACTGTCCATGATAGTCACGAACAACGCGAGGGAACTATATCGCCCCTCAAAGATCCTTTGGCGCATGTAGTCTCGAGAAGTGAGTCTGGCAATGCTACGCCCACCGGTCGGAGATCCGCAGATGAAACTGCACATGCCTCTCAAAACGCCGAAGGTGGCTCAAATGAAAAGATGATCAGATACGGCGAGCGACCAGTCTGGTGGCTCGACGTCCTCTGTCCAACCGAGGCTGAGATGAAGGTCATATCCAAAACCTTTGGCATTCACCCGCTCACTGCGGAGGATATCATGCTCCAGGAAGCTCGCGAGAAAGTTGAGCTCTTCCGTCATTATTACTTTGTCAACTACCGGTCGTTCGATCAGGACGAAAACACGAATAACTTTCTTGAGCCTGTAGATATGTACGTTGTGGTCTTCCGTGAAGGAGTTATCAGTTTCCATTTCTCGAGGACACCACATCCTGCCAACGTCCGTCGCAGAATCCGGCAACTGAAAGACTACCTGATCCTTTCCTCAGATTGGATTTCATACGCTATTATTGACGACATTACCGACGTCTTTGCCCCTTTGATCGAGAAGATCGAAACAGAAGTTGACGACATTGATGATGCTATCTTGAGGTTGCACTCGTCTGCTGATAAGAGACTTAACGAGGAGTCTTCCAAAAACGACGATGCTATGGCAGCCTCGGATTCAAGTGTAGATATGCTTCAACAGGTGGGAGAGTGCAGAAAGAAGGTGATGAAGCTATACAGACTATTGGGTAACAAGGCAGATGTTATCAAGGGATTTGCCAAGCGTTGCAACGAGCGATGGGATGTTGCGCCACGTTCCGAAATTGGCCTATATCTCGGCGATATCCAGGATCACATTGTCACCATGACTGCCAATCTTGGTCATTATGAGAAGTAAGGTGTCTCTCCTCACTTGTATCAGACATCCACTAACGTTCTCAGGATACTTGCCCGCTCCCATGGCAACTACCTCGCCCAGATCAATATACGCATGAACGAGCGTCAAGAGCAGACAGCCGATGTTCTTGGCAAACTCACTGTTCTTGGAACAATCGTTCTACCCATGAACATCATCACTGGTCTGTGGGGTATGAACGTGTGGGTACCAGGCCAAGAGTATGAAGGAGATCTCCAGTGGTTCTTCTGGATCACTGCCGGTCTACTGTTCTTTGGTTTTGCATGCTTTATGATCGCCAAGAGGGTATACAACATTGTTTAATCTCAAATACTTTTCTGATACGGTCAAGGTACGAGGATAAGGGCAAAGCTGGTACATACATCATTCCGTTCTATGTTCAGGAACAGCGGCAAGGCACACAGCAAACTTGCAGCTCCGTTTCTTTCTCTTTTTATTATTGGCATTGGAGGGTTTTATACTAGGAAACGAATATTGGTTTTGGAGTTTTCATTTCATCTAAGCAACACGGTTTCTTGCGTTGGTAGACGGGCTAAGGCTGGTTGGGAGTTTAGTTTTTGTTGTGTTGGTATAGTCAGGTACAAAATTCCCTTGAGCTAAGAACGTAATATCACTTTTATAAATTTAATATTTTTCTCTGTTTGATTGTTTTGTATAGTTTTTGATTAGGCTTTTATTAAAAATAGCTATTTATTAAGATACATCGAAACGCAAATACAAATCAAACTATCTACCCACCCTATACTCGTGATCGAAGCTCGCAAATCATCTTTCCACAACAACATTTCTATCACAATGGGGTTTTACAGTGAGACCAGTATAGTTAGAATGATATTGTTTTGAATTACTAAAAAAGTATACGCCGTAACGCCACCCAAATGCCGACCTAGGTATAATTTTACCTCCGCTGTCCACCAAACTGAGCTCGGAGAGCTAGGATCTGCTGCCTCTCTGCCTCGGGAAGCAAATCAATCTGAGCCTGAGGGAGCTCCATCACTGCACGCATCAAAGCTTCCTGATCTGGCGGGGCATTAGCAGCCGCAGCAGGAGCAGGAGCAGAGTATTGTTGAGGGGGTGCTTGGTATGGCATGGCAGCCACAGGTGGAGTGTTACTCACACCAGGGAAGCCAGGCATAGGAGCAGGAGGGAAAGAAGCAGGAGGCGGCGCTCCTGGCTCAACCACGGACTGAATCGCCTCAGGCGACACGAGACCCATGAGGAGCAGAGCTTGGAATACAGCGTATCCCAGTTGTGGTGCTTGTTGAAGGAGCTCGTTGGCCCGCTGCGGATCGTTGCTCGCAAGGGTTTTCATTTGTGAAAGGATATCGAGAAGCTGGGCGGGAGGTAGGGTTTGGAGTGTTCGTGAAATAGCATCGGTGCAGCTGACGCCGGGTGGGAGTTCCTTGCCAGAGGGTAGAGGAGGAAGCGTGCTGGGCTGAGCGTTGTAGCTGGGAGCGGCGCCGTTCGAGGCGTGCATGTTGTAGCCGGATGTGTTGAGGTCCTTGTCGTCGTCACTACTCTTTTGCTCGTTGCTGAAATCGACGCGAAGCTTTCGGCCCATGATCTCGTAGTCGTTCAGATTGCGCACAGCGGAAGAGGCAGAATCTGTATCGGGGTAGTCTGCGAAGCCAAAACCCTTGGGGCGGCCAGTCTCAGAATCATAGACGAGGCGGAAACGCTCGACTTTGCCGGCGCTGCTGAAGATGTCGGTAATCTGTTCCTCGGTGAGACCTGAAAACAAGAGTTAGAATAAATGCGGGAGCGGTCGCAAAGGGACAGGCATACCGTAGGGAATGTTGCCAACAAAGACAACGCGGGAGGGTGGTCTTGTGGACATGATGTGAATAGGCGTCGCAGTTGACGAGATTGATGTTAGGGACAAATGGAAAAGGGTATAAGCGCGTGGTAAGGATTAGAGAACCGCGAAGATGATTGAGAGCAAGTTCTTTGTGTTGTGACTTGAAGAAAGACGAAAAGTATCACAAGTCGCAATAGTTTGTCCAGAGTTGGAAGAAAGATGGAATTTCTCAGCCTTGCCAATAAATCGACGTTAGGCTGATGCGCGCAGAGAGCTTCGGTGGAGACTTAGTACTCGCGCAGCCAATCACAAACAAGAATCACCGGGGTCTTTGTTCTGAGAGAGTAGAAGTCAAAAGGTATTTTTTATTATCCTACTAATGGTTGCATTCGCAGGATGGGTTCTCATGAGTTGAAGGAGGGTGAAGGAGGAAGAAAAAAGAACTTCTGTGTAAACAAGGAAGCAGGAGCTTTACATAATCTGTGTGTTCCAACTCACAGAGCCTTCTTTTTGATAGAGTTCAGTGACTGAGGCAGCAGGGTTAGCATTTGAGTAAGTAAAAGTTAAAAAAAAGTATGTACTTTTAGAGCAAATTATTTTTTAGTTGTGTTTTTAGTTTCTTATGCCTTCGCCTAGGCCTTTTTAATTTTATTGAAGTTCTTAATGAACATTGATTTATCATCATGAGAGTGTCAGAAAGACATGTTTCTGCTATACCTGGCTGAGAAAGGTGAATGTTGCTGGGCCTGATACCAGCGAGTTACAGGTTGTCTGTATAACAATGAGTCTTGCAAGAAATCTGCCTAGAGCCAGCAGTATTTAACTTTCTCAGCCAGGTATAGCAAAGGTATTTTTTTTTTGATACTTTCACGATGCCTGAACTTACAACTACGTGCAATTGGGAAACATTATATGAATCATGTGTATTATGTATTTAAATTTACTATTTCAACAGAAGTCTGAATTCAGTCTTTCCAACATTAAAATCAACCTACCAGACAGGTGACTTGCAGGTTTAAAGTGTTCTTGCAGCAGCTCATGGATGTCTTAGCAACGAACGAAGTTGATCCATTGGTAGAATGTCTCATGTAGGAAAGTGGATGCAGAAGCTCAGGCGCCAAACCTGACCTGGATTAGCCTATAGATTCCGAGGGGACTAGACCCTTGTAAAACGCCCCCCGGAGCTACGTTTTAGAACAGGACGTCAGCCGCAGTTGGAAAAAGGTGGCCTTTACATTTTGAGGAAACGACAACTTGTAATTCTATTCTCGCATTTGCTTGTGTTTTCCTTTTTCTTTTTGCTCGATCGGATTTCTCGAGTGCCAGGTGCAGATCCGAAACCAAACAAGGGAACATAGACAAATGCTGTCTCTCATTTCTCACAGTTGATAATTGCCTATCTGTATATCCGTTTCCACTCCCTTCTCACGACTATAACCTCTCCTTTTTGATTGGTGCCGCGACTACGACAAGACACACTCTCTCAACTCAACTCAACACAACAATCGCCTCGGCTTTTTGCTGTCGCAGATAAATCGCCATGCCTCCGAAATCGAGATTTACAAGGCTTGATGCCTTTACCAAGACTGTCGATGAAGCGCGAATCCGAACGACCAGTGGTGGTATCGTCACGATTGTGTCGCTGCTGGTGGTCCTCTTCCTGTCTTGGGGTGAATGGGCAGAGTACCGTCGCATCGATATACATCCTGAGTTGATTGTGGACAAGGGAAGAGGTACGGGAGAAATATTCTTTGCCATTGGAGTAAATGCGCTACTTGTAATCGAATTCTAACACATCTTGTCTTGTAGGCGAGCGCATGGAGATTCACCTCAACATCACCTTTCCCAAGATGCCCTGCGAGCTATTGACGCTTGATGTCATGGATGTCTCTGGTGAGCAACAGCACGGTGTTATGCATGGTGTCAACAAAGTCCGTCTCCAGTCCCAGAGCAAGGGAGGCGCCGTTATCGATACCAAGTCCCTCTCACTTCACGACGATGCCGCCCATCACCTCGACCCCTCATACTGTGGTGGCTGCTACGGTGCTCAATCCCCCGCCAATGGTCAAAAGGCAGGCTGTTGTCAGACTTGTGACGAAGTCCGTGAAGCTTATGCTCAGGCCTCGTGGGCCTTTGGTCGCGGCGAGGGTGTTGAGCAGTGTGAGCGCGAGCACTATGGCGAGAAGTTGGATGCGCAACGTGAGGAGGGCTGCCGCATTGAGGGAGGTCTACGCGTGAACAAGGTCATTGGTAACTTCCATTTCGCTCCCGGACGAAGTTTCAGCAGCGGTAACATGCACGTTCACGATCTTAAGAACTACTGGGATGTGCCCAAGGGTTTCTCGCACGACTTCACTCACCATGTCCACTCCCTCCGTTTTGGCCCTCAACTCCCCGACCACATTGCTCGCAAGGTCGGCCACAAGAACACGCTCTGGACCAACCACCACCAGAATCCTCTCGACGACACTACCCAGGAGACCCACGACCCCAACTACAACTTTATGTACTTTGTCAAGATTGTGCCGACTTCATATCTTCCTCTTGGTTGGGATAACAAGGGCATCAAGATCGCCGGTCTCTTGCAGGAAGACAACGCCGGCCTCGGCGCCTTTGGCTATGCCGAGGATGGAAGTGTCGAGACTCACCAGTACTCCGTGACCAGCCACAGACGAAGCCTGGCAGGCGGTAACGATGCTGCCGAGGGTCACGCAGAGCGCCAGCACACCAGTGGTGGTATTCCAGGTGTCTTCTTCTCCTACGTAAGTACATGACTGCATTGACGTTGGCATGATATAAAAGGCTAACTTTCTCTCTAGGATATTTCGCCCATGAAGGTCGTCAACCGTGAAGAGAAGGCCAAGACTTTCAGCGGTTTCCTTGCTGGCCTTTGCGCCATCGTTGGTGGAACTCTGACCGTGGCTGCTGCTGTTGACCGAGGCTTGTTTGAAGGTGCGGCACGTCTCAAGAAGATGCGATCCAAGGACATGTAAGTGGTATTGGGATATGTCTTGGGAGAAATAGAGAAGAGAAAGCCTGGTTCAGCAGATTGGGTTTGGCCAAGATGTCATTGGTTGAGGCCAGTATGCCTACCTACCTGTGTAGACATTCTAAAAGTCCACTGCTATATGCGTTGGCAGGGTAGGCGTTCTGGGTTAGTTGTGATTTTGAGCAGCATTGCAAATTATAAGAAACTGCGTTTTTGCATAGGCATATAAGTTGTAGCATAGGGAAAACTCAATTGAAGTTGATATGAAGCATGTTTGACATGGGTCTGAATGTCTCATGAGAGGATACCTACATAAAAAAAGACCTTACTAGTCTGCTTATAGCACATGGCTTACGAGTTTCCAACGGTTTGACAAGGAAATGTTGATTGGGATCTGCAGAATCGGAATCATGAGGATGGGGAAGGCTCATAAGCTTGTCTGGAACAATTCTTTTTTATTAATACCGGAAGATGGTGGTACCCTTGAAGTAGATCTTTACTGGCTTTGTGCCTGTCAGAAAATGTGAGCACGGAGATTAGTGACGAGTTACTAAATTGACCGTGCACAAGTAATGGATACAGCCAGGGACGAAGCGAAGTGCCATTGTATTTGACGCATGAACTGGCTGGGTTCATGATACTTATTGGCGGAGCGAGGAACGACAATGAGAAAATAGTCATGGACAGGCCTAGATGAGTAGCTAAGCGATGTTGACGGTTTTTAACCATTGGAGAATCACCATTGAAGAGTCTAGTAATACAATGAGATGCGAATGCTTACAGAGAATACGTGTAACATGTCAATTGGGATTGATATATCGCTGCTCTGCTTGAGTTTGTTAGTTGGTGTCTGTAGTTGAGATTGATTGGGAAGATGGAATACGTGATTGGCTCAGCAAGTCATCCCATCGTTCTTCATTCTTCATCCAGACTGGTCACAAGGTAAATCACCAAAGAGTACTAGACTAGCTATTAGGTAGTCAAATCTCTGGAGGTCCAACGAATCCACTTGTGTTTGCACCAGATGCAGAATGCGACCAGTCATTGCAGTGGTGAAACCGTAGCCACACGTAATAATGAACGAATCTGGATTATAATACGCCAGAAACTGTTAGAATGGCTCTTGCATGCTTGCTTCTCTGTGGCAAAGAACAAAAAAAGGTGTGTAGCACGATGGCTTGACGTTGACATCTCGATCCAGCAAGGAAATCAAAGTCAGTGCACTTTATTAGTTCAGCCAGCCTCAGAGGAGAATGGAGATACATACATACGCGTCTGAGTCCATGTGGAAAGTCTGGATGAACACGCGTGCACCAGTTTAATTTGCCTTGTGGTCCCCGACTCGCCTGTATTGGTTGGTTCACTTGGACTGGCGCAGCACATGGGTTGCTAAAAAAAGGGTTGACCCTTGGGCGGAGAAAATATAGTCATGCTTTAGCTTAGAGGCGGAGGGATGTTAGTGAGTATCCGCAAAACTTAGTCTGGAGCTCGACTGCGAATCTGGGACCCATATTCAATGAGACAGGAATTACATTCTGGACCACCTGAAGGGGTCTTGAAGATAATAATTCGGTTCGTCAAACCAACAGATGTGTAAGGGAATCCTGGTTGATACTACTACTGCTATCACAGTGTATTAATCATCCAGGGGTCTGATTCAATTTGTTTGCTTGCTTTAAATCACTAGGTGAGGCTGAGAGTCTCATTAGTGCTTAGTGGCCAGTCACGAGGGTTTCGCAGGTGGTGATTTAAATCGTGAATAGTGGGATCGAATAGGTATCAGCTTTCATCATTAATTACGGTGGAGTCCAGTAGTGAGTCTGCTAATAGTACTGCACACATTTCATTGAGGTATAAATGCAAGGTCAAAGTACCCCAGACCGAGGCGTTGTGGCTACAACCGAATTGGTCCCTTAAAAGATAACGTACCAGGGGAAGCGGCTTGGGATTGGTGGGGTCTTTTGAAGGAGCCCCTGGCTGGCGTCTTGCTTGTCTTGTTGCATTGTTGCATTGTTGCTATCTTGCGTGGCATCGTAGTATGTTTTGATGTTGTGTTTTGATAGCACTGACATCTTGGAAACAAGGACTATGACATATGATAGGGTCGAAGCGTCACTAGAAACTACAAGAAACAAGATTTGGACAGGGTAGAGCGTCATGAGCCTTCTCGAAACAATACACACAGAATATCATGCAAAGATCCAGAGCAATTGAGAAATGAATGTCTTGTTATTGTTACCGCGGTTGCTACTCGGAAGCAACGAGATTAGATTACTAGATGCAAGTGACTATTAACCAGGTATGAGATAGCCACCCAGCTACCCTTTCAAGCAAAGCACCTTAATACCGTAAATATCTAATCTAATTTCTAGCTCAGGGTAATGAAGGACTTCACCTACCTTGAAGAGGTTGTGTCTCCGTCTTGGGGCTGTCAAAACAAAAAGAGGCGCATTACACAAACATGCTGATAAGATACATATGCAATTGAACGCCCCTTTTGGTTACTAACGGTCCAGTTTGGACAAGTTTATTTAGTTTCGGAGGAATTAAGTTAGACTTGGTCGTTGTGTAGTGTACGCCAAAGCGGGGAATGAGATATCAGATCACTTGTAGGTGCTCGTATTCAAGCTTTCCAACCTCAGATACGATACTGAGGCTGAGAGGAAGGATCTCACCTATGTACGTGGGAAGTGGCGAGAGGTATGTAAGGATTCGGCACATCATGAGCACAGACTGCCGTAGAAAGAGGGGGTTTCTGGTGCTTTGATAGAACACATACATTTGCGAGACTATCGTGGTAGATTGATCCTATCATGGGTATCAGATTGGATCGTGTAAACGAGGCATGGGTGTGGTGCACTGCAGTAAGGGGCATCCATCCTTATTTCGGCCATGGTCATATGCTGTGCAACTCAAATTTACCTTTCGTCAAATCTCACATGGATGTAGTTTTGATCAACCTAGGCAGTGCTTTGTCTTTAAAACAGCAACCATGTCTTTTGTTGTGTTGTACACTTTGACGCCTTTTTTATTTTATTTTACCTGTCTGTCTGTTGTAAGTTATCCATTCATATGCCGTCCACACATACATAATGAGTACCTCTCTCTCTCCATCCATCCATCCATCCATCCATGACCCATGCATGCATACATGGATCCATTATGGGAAAAAAAAAAAAGGGAACCCAAAAGGACTGGATCCATTCGGTGATCCATTTCATGACCTGGGTATTAGCATCCACTCTTGTTCCATCAATCGTCTGCACTATAACGTATGCCTAATAAAGCCACACAGGGCACGTAAATTAGCTCTTTCTAGGTCCCTTGGGGGCCTGGGGCCTTGTTCTGGGCTACTTTCACTTGGGGCAGGGCCTAGTCTGGGCCTCATGGGACCTTAAACCTCCACTACCTCCCACCCAACTTTACCTGTAACAGTACCGTCCATACTCCGTCACTTCTCATCCAAGACAAAAGTCGCCATCCATTGTTCGTCACTAACATTTGTACATTGTTTTTTAACTGTCATTCACATACTCATTTGTGATCGCCTACGCTTGCGCCCTTTTCTTCTCCTGGTGCTCCCTTTTGTTTTTGCTCTTCCAACTCTCAATCGACCTCACCTGCAGCATCAGCGCAACGTCATTCAGCGTTGACAATTCGCCGCCATCATCAACAACACCTACCGTAGCGCAATTAGCTCAGCACAAGCATCCCCAAGTATATACACCAGAGACATTGCTCGCTTGGCTGCCGATCCTACTACATCACCTCTCTCCTTCCTGTATTTCCGTTGCCGACTTACATTTTGAACTCCTGGCTCTCTTGCCTGTTTCAACTTTGTTCCATCGACACATCTCCGTACCACATATCGCATAGCGCGGCCCGCGCAAGATCCCTCTCCGCCGCCGATCGCTCCTTGGCTGTTGTCTCGCCCTCGACTCGCCGTCATTCTTAACATCTTGTCACCAGCCATCGCGCATTATTTTTTTTATAAATCTTTTTTGCCAGCATTCATAGCAGGACTATTTCTCATCTATCCATGTTCCTGCCCTCGAATTTCACCTAGATCACCACTCGTTCTTCGCCTCTCAAATAGCAATCGCGCCAACTTGGTCCATCCGAGCGTCCAAGTGTAAACATAAACGGCTAATTTGGTCGAGCAACTTTAAATCCCTGAGATTGAGCTGGAATAATTGGAAGCGGGTGCCTTCGTACTCTTACTGTGTTGTTTAGTTCATATTCTGCATGGAAACAGTCATCGATAGTTGGACTTGACCTTCAAAACGACCATCATGGCGTCACGGCCTTCTTTGTTGGATTTGCGATCGGACTCCTCACAATCAAACCTTTCTACAGTCTCGAAGCCCTTGCGCTCACCTCGTCTCCATGTCGCAGGTGAAATCCCTCCCGAGTTGTCCCCTTTGGACGCCTTTGCTTTGCAGAGTCGATTGCTTGCAAGGCAATTACAAGAGAGCGCCAAGGACGGCAATCGAATGAGCCGCCTACCTCCCCTGACCACCGAGAGTCCTTTAATTGTTCAGGGACGTTCAGATTACTTTCGCTCTTTATCGCAAGACTCGGGCTCCGAAGCTGGCGATCACCCTCCTTTACAGCAGCCCTCGGGCTTTGGACAGAGGACAGAGGTGGAAGATGCCTTCTCAGACGAAGCTGAGCGTCCCGTATCGATGCACCCACGAATGAGTCGGATACCGCCTACCCCCGATGCTGAAGTCCCTGCGATCCCCCCTCGAGCACCATCTAGAGGACGAGTACTTGATCATATCGACGAGGCAAGCTCAATTTACGGCGCCAGAACGGAGCGATCACCATCTCTACTTAGTGACACGCGGTCGCAATCCGACAGGCGACTTGAATCATCTCCATCTCGGAAAGAAGACAATGCTTCGCTGCTCTCCGCCCGACGACCGAGTGGCTCAGTTAGCGGCTCAATCGCAGGCTCACCAGAGAAGCCCAAAATGCATGTTTTTGATGACCTTGGACTTGCGCCGCCTCAAAATATGTTTCCTCAAAGAAGACGTGGAGTTAGCAATGTTTCATCTCCAGCGATACCTTCTGAGGAGGATCATAACATGACAGGCTCTTTCCACTCATTGCCCCCACGAAAAATGTCTTCTGCAAGCGCAATGGCATCACCAGCAATTGGTTCTTATCGACGATCACCATCCATTGGATCTGAATCGTCTGCCCTTCCTCGACCATCCTTCAACTTCTCAAGACCCATGAGCAGATCTGGCACGCCTGGTATGGAGCTACCCCTGAGACAAGCTTCCTCTGATAGCCAACCCTCGTTCATATTGGCTGATGAATCGGCTCATACACCAGTGAGCATGCATAGTGAGGCCTTCCTTGACCAACAGGCCGAAGACAAGGGCGCAACGTCCTACATTTACTCCAAGTTCACACTCCCACGAGGCAAAGCTATCCAGCGAGGAGAATCCGACGAGGATGCTACACAGGTACCCCTCAATTGGCAACAGGATATGGCCCCCCCGAGTGGGCGCAGATTCGAAAATGCCCCTCCTCCCTCACCCCCAACCCGACCTTCGAGTTCTTCAGCCGATATTGTACCAGGCAATTCCTTGGCCACAGGCAGTCCATTGCCGAAGGATTTAACAGAGTTGAGAAAGGTCCAGTCAGAGACAATACCACCTCCCATGCCAGACCTATCTCCAACGCCGGGTAAATCAGCTGAGGAATCGCGAGCTTCGGAAGATGTACCGCGAGGCCGCGGCCGCGGCCGAGATCGCACTCCTCTCTCAATAGCTACCGATGATACAGCAAGCACGATCCGACCGCCACCCACAGCTCGCTCAACAGCACCCACTGCCTCAGAGATGTCAGCAGAAGAGCACCTGGCAAAGGGAATTGCATGCCACGAGAGCGGAGATCTAAAGGAATCGACATATCACCTTCGTTATGCAGCTCGTTTGAATGACCCAACCGCCATGCTTCTCTACGCCCTGGCTTGCCGGCATGGATGGGGCATGCGCGCAAACCAGAAAGAGGGTGTGGAATGGCTACGAAAAGCTGCCGAATACGCTAGCGTCGAGATCGCAGATGATGAGAGCCATGTAAAGGAAGGCAAGCATGTCGATGTGATAGAACGAAGAACCCGAAAAGCCCAATTTGCGTTGAGTATTTATGAGTTGGGCGTGAGCCATATGAATGGCTGGGGAATCGAGCAGGACAAGTCTCTGGCTCTGCGGTGCTTCGAGATCGCCGGTAGTAAGTTGAACTCATGATTTTAGAAAGCCACATACTAACCAAGATCCTAGACTGGGGCGATGTCGATGCGCTAGCTGAAGCTGGTTTCTGTTATGCTCAGGGTGTTGGCTGCAAGAAGAATCTTAAAAAGAGTGCCAAGTTTTATCGCATGGCTGAAGCCAAGGGTATGAGCATGGTTGGGAACAGTTGGTAAGTTTAGATGGAGTATCTCCCATAACACACATGCTGACATGAACTAGGATCCACAAGGCTAAATACGACGACGACGACAACGAGTCTACTACGTCCAAGAAGGACAAAAAGAAGGCCAGGAGCAAGTCCCGCACCAGAGCTATGTTTGGACGGAAGTGAGCCCGAGGGCAACAGCTTCAGTGACACGCTTACTACGATAATGATGACATCTTCGACATACCCATTTAATCGGAGTTTTGACTGGTTTTCCATTGATCGGGGGTTTCATGGGGTCTAGGGAGGAAATATTCTTGTGCTTCCTGCAGCGATTGCTCAGAGCAATCGCCGGGTCAGGCAAAAGGAATTGGATTCAGTTCCGTGTACAACGTCAACCTCTAAAGACGTGTTTTTTTATTATTATCTTCAACGCATGTGTTCCCCTACAAGGGGTTCATGGATTACTTATTTCTGCCTGATACAGGCAAGACACCGCTGCTTTATGTAAATAGTACGGCGGCTGTCTGTTCTCTTCTGAAAGTTCTTATAGAATGCACTGCACATATAGGAAGTAGACGAGACAAAGACATCAAATGGTGTCGTAGATACCTGCGCTCTTTCCCTAATATTATTGGAAATACTTTATTGCTTTACTACCTTCTCAGCCACAACTATGTCGTTCGGTCTAGGCAAAATCAGTCATCCTCTAAGGATTTCTCTACGCCACGCCTCGAACTCTCTGTCTTGGATTTCTGACATAAGCTCCAGCAGTCGCCAAGCTCCCGTTCTGAGGTAACGTGCCTAAGTGTCAACATCCATGTTCTCCGGGAGAGGCACGTCTTCCACCGTAATGTATCGCTTGATCTCCTCCTTCTTGATGATCTTCTCGTTCAGCACCGCTGTCGTGCCCTTGGGGAATCGGTAACTCTGAAGCTTAGGCTCCTTCTGGTTAGGCGTGATGTAGTTTCTCTTGAGTGTTGTCTTGTCGCTGGTGATGATAGCGACGTCGACGTTTGAACCGGAGCCCAAATCGTTCCACACACCAGCCAAGATGGCATCGCTGGCCAGCTTGACAGCCTCCTCTTGGCTAAGATCAGGCTTCCACTGCGTCTCGAACACACTCATGGCTGCCAAGCTACCACTTCCCATGGTGACATAAGGAAGCTTGTCCGTGCTACCGTGAGCATGGACAGTGAACAGGTGAGTGCCGGTAGGGTCGACACCAGCAACGACAAGGTAAGCACCAATGTGACCCTGGTAGCGGAAAAGATGCTGCTTCAGAAGGGTCATGCAGGTGACGACGCGGGGCTTGCGGCCTGTGGATAGGGAGTGCAGCTCGAGCTGAGAGGAGATGAGGGCGGTGGTGAACTCAGTATCGGCGGCTGTACCGGCACCAGCGCACCAAATCTGGGGGGAAATGTAGTGAAGCTTCTCACAGTTCTTGTCGGCGACGATGGGACCGGATGTGGCTCGAGTATCGGCGGCAATCTATGGATGCAGGTGTCAATATTCATCTTCGAATCGGATGGTGATAGCTCCGCTTAGGCTTCAAAGGCTGCCTGCAGAGGGTGAAGGATGCAACTTACCACAACACCACCATCGAATATGCATCCCACGATAGTTGTTCCGGTGCTGGTGGCCTTGGGGAGAGGCACACCTCGAGCGTGGAGAGCCGCATTGCGGTTGTAGTTGGAGAAGTCGAAGCCAGGCATTTTGTAAGACCTATGATTCCCCAATTCGAGATGTCGAAGCTGATATGTAGCACTGATCCCAAAAAGATAACAAGATATCGCAAAACAATGGTGGAATCGCTTGAGGTATCGCTTGTGGTGGGGATGTCGGTGGTCGTAGGAAAGAGGCGAGACGGAGTGAGGTTAACAAGGCAAGAGCTGATGACGAGGCTAAAAGCTGCCTCCAGCAGTTGAGCTTCAGTAGAGCACCTGTAACAGAGTTGAGAGACACGTTCTGATTGGTTGAAACTCTGTAGGCACGACGCAACAAGCTACCACAGGCAGGAGCACTTCAGCAATGATTTATTGCAAACACGTGACGCCGATGCTTTCAGAGCGACTTTGATTCTATTGCAACAGACTGAAATATTGGCACTTCAATCCATGATTGTTCACTTTATCAGACTCGGCCTGAGCCCACTCATAAATCACATTTCTAGATTCAATCACCGCCTGATTTCCAAGTACTACACAGTTGTCACCGATTACTAGGTAGGCTATAGGCAGGCACAGCAAATAACCAATCATATTCCATCATAAGCACGTCCCCTAGCCTACCGCTACCTAGGCCTACCTGCGCGCAGAGCTCCCCGGTCACCCAGCCCACTCCTACGCAGAGCCCGGGCAAATTTATGAACTTCAGGACCTCTCTTCAAGGTCGGCTACTCTGCAACAGTCATGGCTTTTGGCTTTGGCAATTCAGGAAACGCCATGCTTGAGAGTAACGCAGGAGCAGGAGGACTCATCACTGGGTCCCCTCTGCAGACAATTCAAACAGATGTGAGTGGCGCATTACTTTTGATTTTTGTTGTTGATCTTGTTATCTTGT